AAAGGTGCTTGTTGCTCGAGTAAAAATGGATGATTCTTTTGCACATTTATTCGAATAGCGGTTGCATTTAAATCATTTGCAAGCATTTTGTACTTGAATCAATTTTTACATATATGATTTTATTTTTAATTCGAACATTCTAAGACAGACAATAACCACCAAGTCGTCTGTACGGATATTTAGATTGTCAGAACAACATAAACTATCACTGAAAGATAAATCCAAAGAAACTTAATATGAGTGGCATATGTTTCAGGGTAGTTGAAGGAATTTTCAAACCCTATAAGGACAAATCTCACATAATGTGAAATGTTATTACAATTACCTCAAAGTTCAAGCCTAAGCAGCATTTAGATTGAGCCGAGTTTATTCTGTATAATTGTTCAATCTATGGCCACCATAGAATGTTCACCGTGATGGGTCCATCTTTTAAAGAAGGGCGAATTTTCTAGAATAAAATACATTGGTTATGTAATCCAAGCCCTTCTTTCTACAATTACATTCATTTCATTTAAAAAGGGCATCTTCCCTCAACTTTTATCATTTTGGCTGGAATATAAAATCTTAATTTATTTATATATTAATTTTATTAATAAATGACTTTAATAAAATAACTACAAAATTTTAACAATAATCTACGATTAATGTTTCTCTAGATTTTAGATGTTGTTTAAAAATAATATCAGAATCAATTGAAACTCTATGCCTTTGCTATAAATTAAAATTCTCTAAGTTTTTTTCTAATTAATTTTTTCTTTTCTTATCCAAAAAATTTATTGGCACTAAATTAGATGATATCCAAAAATAGTAAATCAATTAAGATGGCAAGTGTGTATGAAATTATCTAATGGATAATTAGTATTTAATACCAAATTTGTTTAATCAGAGATAATTAAATAGATGTATATTCCAAATAAAAATGTGCCTAATATTATCAAGAATAGGAATAATTTGATGATAAACAGAATTATGACTTATTTCATATAAAAAAAGTATTTGATTTAAGTCTAAATTAGAAGAAACTGATTACTTTGAAAATGTACTCAAAAATTCTACTAAAAACGATTGATGATAGGATGATCCACATAGAAATATCATAATTGAATCCAATAACACTTAAGATTTCTCCAATAATAATAGCTTGATTCCACCTCAATAAAATCAAAATAGAACGTTGAATTGAGCTAAAGTAACAAATTTTTTTATAAATAATTGAAGTTAGAAAATGATATTTCTATGATAAATACATTATGTACCCAAAAGTTATTAAGACTAAACTTGTCTTTATCTGCCTGTTGCTATGTATTTTACTGTAATTTGAATTCAATTGAAGCTGTTGGTTTTTCATCCTCAATAGGAATTATTTTATTTCCTTAAATTGCTGCTTTGCTCCTTTTTGCCAATTTCATAACTTAGCCAAATTTATTATTATCTATAGATTTATCACGCTGAGACTTCCCTGCCTAAATGAAAAATATCCCTAATATGATTAGTTATGCAAAGTAAATAATATATAACAGATTGGGAATTTTTAATTAGAACTAAGGAGATCTTAAATAAAGGTAGTCATAATCATTACAAATAGTTGTTGGCGCAAGTGTTGTACAATTACAAAAATAGGATGTATTCAATTCATGAAGTGTGCAATTATGATTTGACCATTCATATGTCTAAGAATTTCTCATTAAGCAAACCAAATTTGTAGTATCATTAAGTGCTTTAAATTTGTATGAGATGTATGTCGATAATAAAATATTTTATTTTCTATTTTATTGACGTATTTAGTAATCGTAAAGAGGATATAATTATAAAGGATAGGGATAGTAACCATCAAAAGAGAAATAATTTCGAATATATATAGCTTAAACAACGTCATAGTATTCTGAATCACTGAAATGATTTCCAGTGGTTTCAACTAATATTCTTTCCTTTGTGATATTAGATATATTACTAACTCTTTAAATTTTTAAAAAGGCTATATCAAAGGAGTAATCAATAGATTCGTTGAGTTCAATACCAAATAGAGACAGTTCTATTATGGCTGACAAAAAGTCTTTTAAGCGACTTTGCAATTAATAGACAGCAGAGTCTTAAGTAAATAAAGTTATGGCCCACATAATTACTGTGCTCTTTAAGGCTGTGTGCAAATCATTCTAATTTTTAAATGATCTTATATCAATTTGAGAGTAATTAAGATAAGTGGTTGACTGATATTGAAGATTAATTGAGTATTGATTGATTTTTTATAATCTTGAATTAAGATTTTAAATGTATTGTTCTAAAATTTATTAGCAATCTAAATTTGTAATTGTATTATTTAAATCAATTAGAGTGGATAAGTACAATAAAGATTAACTAAATAATCTAAACTCATCATCATTTGTTATTGGAATTTTAATTAATTATTGTAAAGCATTTAAAATAAGGTTGCTGAAATTATTATGTTCCTATAGGGTTCCACTGCAGTCGTCAAAATAATATTCTGGAGGACATTTGCACTTTTTATCAAAGCATGTACCAACGCCTGAACATTGTTTCAAGCAAACCTATTATTATTCAATTTCCATTAGTTTAGTCATAGTGTGAATACTTTGCAAATTTGAAAAATTAGTTTGATTATTGAAGGCTTAATATAATTTATTTATCTGATAATTTTTTCTATTGACTTGAATATACTATACTAAATACGACTTTGATCCTTTTGAGGATTCAATTTAACATAGAATGGATATCGCATCATCAACAATTCCATTTGGAAGTTAAAAGGAACCTGTCAATTCTTGAGAATTAATCACCAAAGGAATACCATAATCGATGGATTATTGAATTACATCAATTTAGAGAATATAAATCTCAAAATAGTAATAAATGCTAAAATTGTTTCCAGGTTGTAGGTTTTGGATTGAATAGTTAAAGTAATCTAAAGATTCACCTACAAAAGGATAAATTTTGAATTAAACTTCAGAAGGAGGACTGTTAAGTTGAAATGATATAGATTCATTGCCTGGAACTAGATATATGTACACAGGACTTTTATAATTGGTTGTCAATCCCGCGAGCCTAATCTTTAAAGTTGAGTCTTTAGATTTGATAGAAGCCAAAATTTTGAATTCTTACATAATGAAAGCATATTTTTAATTATTTTTAATTAAAATAGTTATTTCATTATTTAGATTCACAGTATTTTGAGGTACTTCTTAATTTAATACGAATTCTTCCTCGATTTCAAAATCTGTGACAACTATCAACTATTCCTTTACTGTCCATCTCGTGTCTTTAGATGCTTTAACAAAAAAGACGAAAGTAGTATTTTAACTATCTGCAAGGATATCAACAATTCTTCTGGATGGAAATTCCATAATTTTATTTTCTTTTGTCTTACAAGGTTATAAATTGAATAAATTATTACATTACCATTAATATTAAATATTTAAAGTACTTAACACTACATCTTATATATTTCTATCAAAGGCTCTTGAATTAATTTAATTGTCTAATCCAATAAATCTATTCTTTTAATGGAATTAAATTTCAATCCTTTTTGATTTTAGCCATATCTTTTCATGAATTACAGAGCTTCCTGTTGATGCCATAAAAAGTAATGGTGTTTCTTTGGGTAAAAGAGATTCGTCTAATAGAACTTCATAAATTGGATTAATGGATTGCTTTATGACTAAATAAGTTTTATTATTGGAATCAGATACTTAAATAGTCAAATTGAATTCATTTTTCATGTCAGAATATGTGACTTTACAATCAAAAACATAGACCCTAGCCATCAAAGGATTATATTATAGAAAGACATAAGGAACAAGATCTGGTAGTGTGGTGAATGTGAATGTTGTGAAATTCACTCTTTTTATGAAATTAATATATTTGGCTGTTATGGTATATGTAACATTAGAAGCTAGGGTACCTATAGGAATGATGAATTCATTTTTTTAATTTCCTAAGAATGCCTCCATTTCAAAATAGTAATCATCATTTTCCATTTCATGAAGGGTCCAAAATAACACCTCTTGAATCTTCTTTGCTGTTCCTTCGAGTAATATTTGTTTAATTTCAATAGTCTTACAAGTACTTACAACAGATGGTACATCAAAAAGTATATAAGGTTTTGTTTAAGATGATGGTGCCTTCACAGTACTATCAATAAATGTCTCAATATATTATCCATTACAAAGACCTTCATTTACATCTAGGTAAAAAGATTATTAGAAACTTAATTCATCTCCAATATTTACAGAAGCGTAAAGCTCCAATAAGATGTGAACTGCATATCTGTCCCATGACAAGTAGCATTAAGCATCTTGTCCAAATATTTCAGCATTATTAAACCAAAAAGAACAGCTTGAGGGTTCGAACGGATTAATTAAATTAACAGATATTAAATATCCAAAATAAACTATTATTGAATTTAGGTCATCCGAATAATATATATTGACAGATGCTATTAAACAAGTAATACACCAATCATTATTAAGTCTCCTGTTGCATGAACAGTTGGGTACTTATAGGTTATTTTTGCAGACTAAACACTCAGATTCAGAAGTACATTCCTCGCAAGGACATTATTAACAATTATCATAGAATGGATCATCATAAAATCCTCTTGGACATGAGCAGTCAATTTGTTCTCTATTCATTCCTCTGCATTATAAACATTCTGTGCCATTTTAACAAGTCAGACATTTATGTAAGCATTGCTCACAGGAATTAGACGTTTAATAATAACCATCTTTACATTTTCCAAAACAACGTCCATCTTCAGTTAAAACGTAATTAGCCGCACATGCTATGCAATTTTAATTTCCATATGCTGTGCATTAGTCACATTAAAATGAGCAGGGATAACAATTTTTGTTATCAGGATATTGTTGTTTGCCACAAGATGAAACACATTTATAACTTTCGGTGTCATTAAAATAATCACTTGGACATTGATACAGGCATGAATTTTTAAAAGTGAATGTTTTACCTGGACATGATTATGAACATTGACTGATTAATGGGTTTGAAAATAATTTATCAGGACATTAATCTAAACATTAATTTTGAAATAAATAATATCCGACGTTACAACTGTTACAAATGTTAAATGAGATGCATGTGATACATTAAAAAGGGCATTTTTCGCATTTGAAATCTATAGAACCAAAATATCCATCTAAGCACTTTCGAAGACAAGTATTTTTATATTAATAGGTGTTTATAGGACAAGTTTCATAGCACACATTTTGATACAAAAGAGAAGAACATGAATCAACGCACTTCTTTTATTTCAAATCTATGATTCTTGTACATTATGTATCACATGAGTTATACTCAAGGTAAAAATTATCTGAACATTCTGTGCATATATTAAAATCAGTGCAAGCCTTGCACTCTAATTTACATGCCTTACATATAGTATTACCATAATAACCATAGGGACATTGTTTTAAACATTTATTCTAATAGATAATTAAATCGCATTCTTTAACGCATTCATATCCTTTTTCATATGTATTTGGTGAACATTCCGATTAACATTCATGATAAATTTTATTTTAATAGGGAAGTACAATCGGACATGCCACAACACATTCTCCTTTATATTAGTAATAAGGTTCATCACAATTAAGACATTCATATTAATTTTTACAAACTGAACATCTCTCTGGACATTAGTAGCAAATAGATTCTATTAAAGTTGTTCTCCAAGGACAGTCTAAAAGGCATGTTTACAGATATGTATATGTATTAGCTGGACAAGATGCATAGCATTGATCAATATAAAGAAATGTTCCTTCAGGACATTATTCCTCACATTGATTTAAAATAATATTGTAATAGTATGGGCAAAAATTACTACAAATTCCATCATTTAAAAATGATCCATTGCCACATTTAATACAGCCAAAAGAATCGCATTCTAGACAATCCTAAGAGCAATCGTAGCATATGAAATTTGCATCGTGTGTTCCAGGTGGACAGTTTGACAAACAAGCATTAGAGTAAATGTACTATCTACAAATCAAAATACATTTATTTCCATCTAAAAGAAGATTTGGAGGACAAGAAATAACACAAGATCTATCTACTTCATTATATAAATGAGGACAAGTGAGAGTACATTATTAGTCATGCAAGTAATAAGTTTCTTTGCAAACTAGACAATCATTGTTTGATGGGCCAATACATGATGAACATGACACATCGCAATCAAGACATTCTTAATTATTCTAGAATGTATTTTTTGGACATGCATCCATACAAATATTTGAATGATAATATAATACTGGATTTGTGGGACAGCTAACTAAACATGAGTTTTGATATTCAAATAATGATGGATCGCATTATGAGACACATTCATGAGTGGTATAATCCATTTTGCCAACCAAACAACCTAACTAACACCTTCCATTTTCCAAAAAATAATTTTGAGAGCATGCAGTGCAATTTGTTACTGAAGTGCATTCTTCACATTTCTAAGGGCAATTTGTACAGAAATTATTCATAATATACATTCCTTTTGGGCAAGAATTAACGCATTAATCATTAAATTTAAAGCCTAAAAAACAATCCTAAACACAACTCCTTTTATCATAAGATTCTTAATGAAAAAGTTAGGGTGGACATTTTGTAACGCAAGTCTATGTTGTTGGATCCATGTAAAGATATTTATTAGTACAAATCTTATCACAGGTCTACAAAGTTAGAAAGTAGTTTCTACTGCACGCTTAACATATATTTAGGGATGTGCATTTGGTACATTTGCTATTGCATTAGATGCAATATACTCCATCTGAATAATACCCATCTGGTGGAGTTTTCAAACATTTTCCACTACATTATAGATATCCAGCAGGACAAGTTGTCACACAACTTTTGAAATCAGTTAACTCATGCTTTTTATCACAAGTGCTCACACATTGTTATGTCTCGTAATCATATAGGTTTGGGCAAGCTTGTGTACAAGTACTGCCTTTTAATAAATAATTTTCTAAGCAGGAAGAACACTAAGTTGCTAAAGGTCCACTACAAGACCTACATAGAGGGTTGCAAAGTAAACATTTGTCACTTAATTTGTAGGTAAATTGTGGACAGTTTAGGACACAAAGTTAGCCATATTAATAATAATTTGTATCACAATTGGTTTTACAATACTAACCTTATATAACAGTAGTGGATGGACAAGACACTTTACACTTTCTATCTAGTAAATCAGTGTATAATTATGATGGACAAGATATTTCACATTTTTATTCATAAAAATAGTATTCTGATGAACATGATAAACAATTTCCATTTTTTGGTCCATAGCATTCTTAACAATAACTATGGCATGGATAGCACGTTCTTGAGTATAGATAAGAGTTAGAATAACATTAATCAACACATTCATTTTTACCATTTAATTGATAAATAGTTAAGGTACTTGGACAATAGCTAAAACAGTATTTTTTTGCTAAATACAAGAAATGATTTTGTGGGCAAATTGAGACACAAGTTTAATCAGCTAGATTTTAATAAGGCGTTGCATTTGGGCATATTTCAACACAAGTAGTATCAGCCAAATAATATCCAGAATTACATTATGTGCATTGGTTAGCTTATCTACCATAACACAGCCTACAAGCTCCTGCACATGAAGTGCAAGTTGTTCCTTCAAGAAAAGATTGAACAGGACATATTGCAACACAAAGATTCGAATAATAATATAAAGGACAAGTGTTTTTACATGCTAGTTACTCACTAGGTAAAGTTTACAAGTATGTTCCAGTTGGACACTAGTTAACACATTTTCCATTAATCCAATCTTAATAAAGATCTGGACTCACATTACAGACATTTGTACATCTTGAAGTACCTTGCAGAAAATATCCTTCTTTACATGTGATACATGAATTTGATTTTCCATCCTGACAAGTAGCACATCCTTGAGAACAATCGTAACAATTAAGTGTAGAAACTTTGTTATACGTTCCTTTTGGACAATCAAATTCATAACATTATTTCTGAGCATCGTATCTGTAATAATTTTCTAAACAGCTAGCAACGCAAAATCCATTTTAATGATAATAATTATTGTCACAAAAATCAACACAGATATTTTTAAGTGTATCTTTATAAGGAATATCATCAGGACATTCCTATGAGCAAGTAGTATTGTATAAATAAAATCCTGGATTACATTTCTAACACGTAGTTGAATAGTGGTCAACACATTCCTCACATTCAGTTACACATTTATCACATAATTTATAATCAGACTTTTGAACACAGGAAGTTCCTTCTGGTTAGGTATCAGTACATTAATCCTAATATTAGAATTAATTATGTAAGCACGTGGAGGAACAGAATATTTTTAGTTTAACTTCTGTATTAATTAATATATTGAGAGATGTAGTAGTGTATGAATTGCTTGGGCAAACATCGACGCATTTCCAATTTAATAAATCATGAAACTAAGTATCACAATCTACTACACACTAATTATCAAAAAAAAATGTGTTATCATAACAAGATAAACATTCATTTTGTTAGGGACCAGAACAAGTCTTGCATTAATAATAGCAATCGTAACATTAGTAGCCTATGCAATACGCTCCAATGGGGGGAGTCTGGTAGCATTAAAAATTGAGTATATAAAGGAACATAGAAAATATTTCCCCACAAAAAGAAACACAGCCTTGATATTTAATGCCATTAATTTTATCGTTAATTGTAAATCCGCTAGAGCATGTGTCTTCGCACTGATTATTGATATAATTTTTAAATTTAGAAATGCAGGGATTTATACAACTATTATCTTATAGAAATAAACCTGGCAAGCATTTAGTACAAAAATTAGCTGAGTTTTAACAATTATAACAAGGTGAGTTGCATTTAGAGCATTAATTTGTTTTTTATTCAGGATAATACTGATCGTCACATGGATAAACACAAGTACGATATTTCGTTTAATGTAAATAAGTTTATTACTTTTTATTAATCTAGATAGAGCCACATTTAAGTTTGAAGCATTGTCTAATTGAATATCCGTCAATATTAACATTATCATATACAAAATCATTTGGATCACAGTTATTTAAGCAATGATTGACATAATCTTTATTAACATAGAGATATTGTGGATAGCATGTTGTAAGACATTTATTGTCGTTTAAAATATAATGATTTAGACAACTAGTACAAATTTTTTCACTTATGCATGTTTAGCAAACTTCAGGACAATCAACAAATATAGTTATTTATTGGGAAGTATCATAATAAGTCATTAAGAAATTATCTGTAATTTTAGTTTTTGGAAGACATACTGTAGCATTATAAATAGCATAGCCATATTTACAATTCTTGACACATTCTAATTCCTATGTTAAATAAGGTCGTGGACATTCTATTTCGCAAACCATTGTATCTCTATTATTATATTTGAACATTCTAAGATTATTGCAATCCTTCACACAAGTTGTATCATAAGGACTAAAGAATTAATCTTCATAACAGCCCAGACATTGATTTTCCTTTCCACCAAAGCAATATTTACAAGATAAGTGGCAATCCAGTTAGTTTTTATTATCCTAGTTTGAATTAGGATGATCACATTTTAAATACTTACCCGTTAATTCGATATCATTTAGACAATAATAACTGATATTACTTACGTTATTTTTGCAATTTTTCACACTGTTGCATGTGTATATAAGTTGTTATTATGTATTTTTACAATCATACTCGTATAAATATTTTTCTGGACACTTTTTTAGGCAAACTTGATTATATGAAAATCTGTAATCCTGTGTACAAGTCTTTTCACATGTATTTAATTCTGTTAAATAGTAATCTTTTCTGCATTTAAAGCATTTTTAAAAGTATTGAGCCTACAAGCAATTATTTGATAAATCTTCTTGGCAATGAGCCTTAATATTCTAAGTGTTAAAATTAGTTTTACAAAGTTTGCTCATTTCAATAATGGTCTTCTCAGCAATAGATTTCAATATGTTTCTAATGCAAAATATTGCATTAGAATCTTAGCAAGCATATGGAGACACTAAAGAATCTATCTAATAGCACTATCCGTTTTATAAATTGTAATTATCTGCACAAATTTTACACTATTGTCTTTATTGTCTAAGACAATTCTATATCGTTATAGGATAACAGCCGTTCTAAGTTTCATAAAAGCCAGCTGCACAAATATAAATATTTGTATCATCATTTGGATCTTGCTCATAGCAATAATGAGTATTAGGTTAACAGAATGCACAATATGACCCAACAAATAGTAAGCAATCTCCTCGACCTTCTTAAATGCCATAACCTTTAAAAATTCTGATATCTTAAATATCAATCATTTCTGCTCCAATAGTATCAATAAATAGTGGTCCAAAAATTAATCTTTTGTATGATCTTATGTTGTATATGATTTTCTATGAAACCTATTCACTATTAATATAAACTCTTAATAGCTTTTTTTAATTTGTTGGAATAAAATCAGCATTATAACTTAGCTCCAAAACACCTGCTGTCACATGAAACCATGTTTTATTACCAAGTAAACCTAAGAAATAATTACTATAATTTTAATGAAATTATAATTAATAATCTAAATTTACTCCAAAACCTAAGCTTGTCGACTACAATGAATCATCAGTCAAAGAAATAAACTAAAAAAGCGATTTTATATTTTATGGTTTAATCCAAAACATCATTGTTAAGGAAACTAGATCCTCCATAAATGTGTACACTATCTGTGTATTTTTAAACAACAACAATCCAATAGAATCACTATAAATTATTGGGTTAGACTTTTATCTCAGATTTACATTCATATATTAATCTGAAACATTTAGACCTTTTAACTGATAAGGTTTTAAAAAAAATTTCAGTTCTAAATCATAGTCCAAATAAATTTCTGAATCCATAGTTGTCCATCCGTTATGGTAATAAAAATTAGCAATGTTGACACATGCTTTGTAATCAGTAGAGGAGCCAAATAATTACTCATTTGTTATTCTAGAATGTACCCCAAAGTTATATTTTAATCTAATACTAATGAAATTATTTACTTTTAATTCACTAGAGTCTCCTAAATTGAATTCATCTATTAATCTATCGTAGAAAAAAATTTCAAATTAATAAATGTATGGTTCGTGCTTTAATCTATAGATAAAACTATATGATACCAGCTGCCAATATAAAGATCATTTTACCTTGAATATATAAAATTTATACCGTGTTAAGTTAAGGATTTCTGGAGACTATCTCTAATTCGTTAATGTCATATTATAATTTCCTGTAGATTATTAGTAATACAACATTAAATTAAGATACTAATATGAATAAATACTTTACAGGATTATTTGTGTTGCCATCAACAAAAGCAAACAAAATTTACTTCCCATTTAATTTGGATTATTCATAAACGTTTATCCATAAAGTAAATGTAATCTTATCAAGATTTTGCAGAGTTCTAGATTATGAAAGGGACTGATAAAAGTACTAACTTCCCAAAAAGCCATTGTTTGCTAAAATAAATTAATTTTTTAAACTTTTGTCTATCTCTCTGCAATTCATACGTATAGACTTCGATCCTTAAAGTTTTACTCTTTATGCTAGGCTTAGCAAGGGTAATAAGAGTATAATTGCCTTTATTAAAAAAACCATATTAATATAATTATTTAAATGTGATTATATCTTTCCATTTAAATTCTCATTCTGTGCATAATATTAATTTTTTTCCTAATAATAATATCTATAAAAATCAGTTGTCACAGTTTTAGATGATAAATTCTTATTTTAGAAAGTCAACAAGTCTTTACTGTATTTAAGTGACTAAGAAAAAATTTAAAAATATATTTGATAATCTTTGAAATAATTCAGGATTTATAATTAAACAATCAATGAATTTAAGAAAAGTCTCTGACATTATAAACATTATAAAGCTCTACTATTAAAATAGATGAACTCATTTACTCATAAATATTATTTTCCAAAGACCTTATCATTAATTTAATCAAAGTACTTATGTTGGTATTCATATGTTGATGTAAATTATCTTTTTTGAAATTCATTCAAAAATTTGAAACAAACACCACTTTTTAAGACTATCAAAAGTAATGTCCCTTTTTTTTCAATAAATTTTATAAAGCGAAAATATTAATATATAATTTATATTATTATTTAATTATATTTCATTTATTTCCATATATATGGCCACTAGGTAGTATATAAATCCAAATGATTCAAAGAAGAAAATAAAGATAACATCGATAACTCTCCTAAAATTTCTAAGAAAATGTTATATCAAAATTGCTAATTTATGAAGTTTAAACCTAGAATGTTAAGATCAACCTTCGTAAAACAAGTGAAAGTTTATTTAAATAAAAAAGGATATTGTAAGGATGATTGCAAATCAAAAAGTTCAAAGAAAAAACCTTGAAAGAAGAGTTGAAAGGAAAAGGTGATATTGCAAATGAATCACAAAATAAAATATATTACTATTAGTAGGAAATGAAATTGAGAGTGAAGTTGAAGAAATATTATGAAGGATTCAACAACTAAGTTAATAGATTATTATAAAACTGAAGAATAGGAAATGGTTTAAAAGTATAAATGATTGATGTAATAACGTATTTACTATGTCTTATGATCAAAGAAATTTGATTCTTCAAGAAAGCATCAAGAAATATTTACAATCCTTGAGACAAAGTAATTTATTTTTGAAATATTGGTTTAGAACTTTCAAAATAATTGAATAGTATGGAATTTAAATTTATTATGCAGAGAATTGAGTTTCAACAACCAGTAAAGGCAACCATTTTTATAATTAAAGATTCTTAAGTAATGAAAAACAGATGAATAAAGTCATAAGATAGAATAATGTTGTATTTCTAAGCAAGACTAGCCTTCTTTAAAGTTGTTTCAATATTATTCAGAATAAATTGTGAATAATTTAGGTGGCTTTCATCTTTAAATAGTATGGTTTAAAATTAAATTGCAATTTTTTAATTTCTCAAATTATTAAATGTATCCTCCAATTCTATTAGAAATACTCTTAAAATTCTAATAAGAATACAAATTCTTATATGACATCTATCAATATATTTTATGAATGAGAAATACAACTTAAAATTCTTGACTCTTTCAATATAATTAATTAAATAAATATATTAGAAGACTATGTAAAATAACATGCGTATAAACATACTTGTTAGATTAAGGAGTATGCAAAATAAACATTAGTTTGGCTAAAGTACGGCTTGATCAACGAATCAATAAAAGTAATTGATCGAAAACATGAAATTTTCTTAATGATGGTAATTTAATCAGAAGTGAATAACTAAAAAGAAATTTTATTGTTATATTATCTAAAGAATGGCGAGGCTAATAATTTTTGTTGATTGAGTTTTGTTTAAATGAGTTACACACAAGATCTATTTTTTTAGAGGAATTATTCATGACCAGGTTTCAATATTATTAGGAAATACAGAATAAACTAGTTCTGTGTGTACCTGGCCTTTTTATTAAAAGAACTGAGGAGATAAGGATAGCTTATTTGGGAAAGGAAAGGAAAGCAAGGTGTATATGATAGATATCAGTATAAATGATAATGACAAAAAGGAACTTTAGGATTATTTTTATATATTGGTTTTAAATGGATATTCTGTGAAGAAGTAAAAAATCTAATAAGATAAAGAAATGATAATTTTTATCTGAACAACGAATATGGGATCTGAAGGAATATTAGAGAATCATTTGAGAAAAAATTACTGAGCTTTAAATTTGTTTGAAACACTCAAATCTAACTTTACAGTATAAGATTTGATTAAGGATGAATCTCTGGTTGTATCAAATAAGCTTAACCATATTTTAAATTCTATGGTTATGTAGTTTAAGGAGCCAAGCGTTGGAGAGATATTGATATTGTGTATTATTCTTGAAAAATCCTAACTATAGAGAATATCCTTAGCAAGGATTATGAAGATTATTTCTCATCTTATATAATATTAATACTTCAATATCTTACTTTATTTAATACTTAACATCTATTGATTATAACGATAATGAATCATCTATAAATTTCAAATAAAATTATAAATTAATTCTCAACCTCAATCCACAAAAGGGTTTGCAAGCATATACGATATTTTGTTAAATATATTAGAAACTATAAGAAGCTCTATTATGATTTGACTTAAGTTAAGAAATCCAGTTATTGTGTAAAAAAAAAAAATAGGTTTCTGGAGTTACACAGATTTAATTAATTCCTCATTAAAATCCAATACAGTGAGTGCAATAATTAAATAAATTTGAAGAACCTGAAGATAGATTCCATAAAAATTTTATATTATGTGAATATAATATATTTCAATAATTATTCAAATGTTCATCTAATGTGTTATGCTTAACAAAAAAGTAGATTAATTAATTCAAAGGAGTAATTATTTAATGTCTACTTTACATGGCAATATGCCTAAAAAGAAATATTCTTGAGAATATCATAAATGGTTCGATTATGACATAAAATTAAAGGAGTGAAACTATTGTAATAATGGAAACCTTAAGGTTGATTATTTAAATTTCTGTTTAACTAAAAGGATTAATTCATATTTACCATTGCTTCAATTATAGAACAAGCCCTAGATAACATAAGAAATGTATTAGTAGATAAAAGATGATAACAGAATTACTACATTTCCCACCAAATCTGTAAATCGACTAAAATATTTTTAGAATCATTCTAATAAGTAAGTAAATTCCGCAATTGGCAAATGATATTATGGATATTGGAAATATATCAATCAGAGTGAGTTACAAAAATGAAAATAGGATGAAAATACTTATTTTGATTGATAGCTACAAAAACCGATAACTTTTTGGAAGTATAGGATCATCCATATAAAAGCAGGATAATACTTCATGAATAAACTAGATATTTATAATGCTATTTACTTTGAAGTATTTTTTGAATAAAGCAAAATTTCCTGGATAAAAGATGATTTACTGAGTTTTTACGTAGAAAAAAGCTGGATCTACACTATTTTCTGTTTCTAATCTGGATTCTATCTGTAATTATTTAGATCTCATTTCAATTTAAAGTAATTCATAATAGATGAGGTAAGAAAAAACGATGAAAATGCCATGAAATAATAAAATTGGTTACTAATCTAGTTTTTCATTTGAATTGTCAATTCTATTTTCCTAAGGATTAAAAGTGTCATTTTATAATAGAGCTGAGTTGTTGTGGTATTAAATTAAAAAGATACTTCCTAGTTTTTGACATCTGCAAGATATTACCATAGTTTTATTATCAATCTCCTCTGTTATAAAATCACATTTAAATAATTATCCTTTCAGATTGATATTAACACACTCATATGTATAGAGTTTTTCTAAAGGAACCTATTCTTAGCAGTAAGGAATTTAAATCATATCGATTATGTATGTTGTAAGTGGATCCTAATAATGTAGAGAACGATTATTATAAAGATGATTCTATAGATAAACTCTCTATTATTTCTTCTCATATATTTTTATAGTGGTAACATTATAGAAGTCTTACAATTATGTTTATAATTGTTGAGATAGATTTAAATAATTGTAATTTAATTCTATTTGTTCTTTTTGAACGAATTCAATCAATTCATCTAATTAATCTCTTTCAATGTTAAATTGTTTATTAAATTATACCTTAGTAATTTTGGATAATTTCCATTTTATGATTTCCCCATCGTTAATTAAAGGAGGGCCATTTACCTTTGCGTAATCGTTAACATGCATTGAAATCACTTCAAAAAGACCTATTAATCCCTCTGCTATTTAAAAAATCTTTTCTTTATCTAAAGTAGAATTAATGTTGGCCATAGGAATCTTAAGATAAATATCATCTATTAAAAGCTAAGCAATTAATAAAGACTCCAAAGTGGCTACTTTGCTCTAATACAGTTTTTCATTCAAGAACAAATCATTTTTGTTAATTTAATCTTTAATGTCAGTTAACTTTTTTATCATTTTCTAAACAGTATCCATAATATATTGTAAATCTGCTTGCAAACTAGATGCATTTAGAAATGATGAATTATTAAACAGTGTACTTTAGACATAAAATGATTTTGAAGAATTCTAAAAGCAACTCTCTTATTTATCTTCTAATAATCTCTTTGAAGTGTTCAAATTATTACGATTTCTAATTATTCTTTTATACACTTTCACGGTCTGATAAACTAAGAATTAATCATCATCATCCTCAGCATTTAAAAAGGCTTTGATATATGAATACAACTATTAGGAAAAATCAATACAATTTTATTAATCTTGATGGTTCAATATAACTTCTAATAATAATGAAATTTAATATCTTAAAGGATATTGCTAAATATTTATCTAGGAACAATTAAGCACAATCTAAGTTATATTTAACTATCTTTAAATATTTGAGTATGATCCTTTGGAATCCATTGCTTATATCAGAAGAAAGCCATCAGAAAATGGAAAAGAGCCTTCCATAATATTTGAGCTTGAATAAGGACTCAAAATTAATGAATAATCATTTTTTCTACTCAAAAAATCAATTAAATCTTAATTATGAAGAAAATATCTCAATTAGTAGGTAAAAGGAGCTGCATTTGAAAAAAGGCAATTTGATATAATCTTTTACGGTTTTAATGCTTGAACTATTTATTCACTCAAACTCACCGTGCATGAAGGAGGTAAATTAACCGTTAATTATAAATCCTCTTGGCAAGGTATGATCTCATTAGTAAACTAAGCCAAAAATTTCAAATTAATTGTATTTCCTTCTGAAAATTTCTAAAATTAATCAAATATATTAAATTAGAATTAAAAGTATTCAGATTGTAAAATCCTTATGAGTTCAAAATTATAAATGATAGCCACTTGATATTCAAGAAGATACTACCTATCTTGAAAAGGAATATTAATGGTGAACTCCAAATTTTCATAGTTATTGACTGGTCTCTTTAAATACCCTTAACTATAAGTGACATTCAATAATTCAAAATTTTGATCTATATAGACAATTTTAACTTAAAATTTAAATGAGCGTGATAGTTTTTTAGCTACTACTGTCCAACATTAAATAGTGTAAGGAGATATTGTGTATTTTGGAATGACTTGGAAAGGATCAGTTTTATTGATATGGATTATTTTGTTTTATAAATCCACACAGAGGGAATTCCTATTAAAGTCAACACAATTGATATCAATTTCAATATTAGGATCCTAATTCCAGTCATATTAAGTATCTAAGTCTTTACAAGATATGAATATTTAAGTATCTTTTCTAAAATTCTAAATCTTTTTGGTGCCATTAAATTGACACATAATACCTCCAGAGCTAATTTCAAGTGTAATATTTTTTTTAGTTGAAAAGTTAAGTATTAAATCGTTTGTTGTTTATTCAAAAGTATATGCAACCATTGGAGTCAAAATATATTTTTCAATGGTAACAATAAAACTGTTTTAACTTGTGATTTCTGAATAATTCACTCTTGATGACCTGGAATTAGAATCGTTCTTATGCACTTCAATTAAGGATAAAGAGTATTAAGATTTATCAACTTAAGTAGCATCAGTGTCCAAGCAAACCTTTTTTTTTATTTTAAATTCAATAGCAATAGGTTCAAAAGTATAATAGATAGGTTTGGAAACCCAAAGGATAGTGGGGAAAAGACCAGAATGAGTTTAAAATCGAATTGATTTTACACCAAATTCTGCAACAAAATTTTTAAATTCTATCTCAAAGGTAATATTGGACTACTTTGGTAGAGTTTAGATTGGGATAACTAATTCTAAAATCTAGTATTTTGTTTATGAAGCAATAAAGTTGTCAATATTACCTTTGCCATTTGACCCAATTACAAAATAGGTCCATTTTATTTCAATCAAACTTCTAAGTCCATCATTTAATATTGATTTCAAGGGTATTATATTATCATCACAAGGATTTATTAACTAAGTAGGTTCATCGTAAATTAGAATTGGAGATACTGGGTTTAAGGGGCTTTTAATTTCATTAAAGATAAAATAAATTAATAGTGAATCGCAACCTTGATGACCAATTTAGTTTTCTTAGAATAAGATCAGATCTCCTAGAAGAATCTTAGGATCTTTTCCTACCCCTAACATTATTATTGTATCATCATTAGAATCAATATAACAATTAGGATTCTTACCAAGTAATTAATATGTTTGATCCTTTAATATTCTTGAACAAATATTTTCTTAGAATTGATTAATGAAAAAACTTGGATTTAAGGGGAAGTCGAATTTAACTTATATAGACAGCAAATCATCGGAGAACCTAATATTGAGTACAGCAACTTAACAAGCTTTGATATTAATAGAAATTAATACTTGAACACCATGGAGTATCAGGGTAACTCACAGAATCTAGTGGTTAATCACAAGTCATTTCAGGAGATAAGATCCTATTTGCCTTACATATTAGGCAGCCGTTTAAGTTACATGTTTAGCATAACCAATTACAAACCTAACAAGAATAATTCAAGTAATCATCATAAAAACCATCAGGACATGAACAAATAGGCATGTTGATACGATCTCCTTTACAACTTAAACAATTTATGGCGGAATTCTTGCATGTTTAGCATTAAAACGAACATTCTTAGAGTATAAATATTAAAATACAATCACATTGAGGCTATCCGATTTCATAATACCCCTCTTAACATATACAAAGTTGAGTGACTCTCCCTTCTTTGCATGATAAACAATTAGAAGGACTTTTATCACAATTATAACATTAATTTTCACAAGCTATATTATAAGGATAATTGATTACGTTCACAAAACCCAAGGATAGTCTCAAAAAAACCATGTTTACAGTTACAAGTAGGAGGTTCTTATCTCAGATCACCATAGCAAGTTAGACAATTATTTGAAGAGTTTTAACACAATTTACATTGTGGACTGCATTTTTAGCAATCCAATTACAAGTTATTATCATAGTACCCATCCTTGCAAATACAATTGTTAGAGATATTTAGTCTATTTGAGGTTTTTGAATAAGTACAAATTAAGCAGTTATCATTCTATTAAACACATGTTTAACATTTATAATGACATTCTGATTATATAAACAAATAATACTTTAACATTAGTCATTTACATCTTAATAAAAACCTTTTAAACAAGGGCATTTATTTATAATAGATTGATCAATTCTTTATTATAAAATATCGCAACTTGTACAAAAATCCTTCTACCCTGTACAAGTGAGACATTAGTTGGAGCACTCTATAATATTAATCATAATTTTACTTTGGCAAACCAATTAACCAATATCATAATATCCACTTTAGCAAATACATTGATTTAGACTCAATGATCTAAAGTGTTGGGTTTAGTTACAAGAAGTACATTAGGTTGAAGACTTCTAACAAGTTAAACAAATTGTATCACATTGTTAACACATCTCAATCCCAATATCATAATAACCATCCAAACAAATACATTTATTAAAGTTTAAAAATCTATAATAAAGAGCTTCGCATGATAAGCATTTTGTAGCTGAAGTTTAGCAAGTCTTACATCCATAATCACATACTAATATTATTATTAAATTTTGTACATTAACAAGTCTTTGCATTAACCTCATAATATCCGTCTTTGCATGGACACTCTAGTTTGTCTGGGTCAAAATATCGAGTAAATTGTTCGCACTCTATGCATTCTTACTATTACTTACACTCCAAACACTTTATATTACAAGCTGAATGAATATCAATAATTTATACCTTCACATTTTAAACTTAAAGAGTTAAAATATAAACCTGTAGAACAAACGCATTTATTATAGACATTCAGACTGAGGTTGTACTTAGCATTACAAGTTAGGCAATAAGTAGGTTATGTATTACAAGTTAAACAAGACGAATCGCAAGGTTTACAATCTAAAGAAACTGAGTCTTCATAATATCCATTTTTGCATACACAAATATTCCCTGAAGAAAATATCCTATAAAGATCATCTGAACACGATGTACAATAGTTTTCTTTTTTAATACATGTTTTGCAAGTTTTATTGCAATATAGACACTATTTATCACTGCTACTCTCATATGTACCATCTATGCAGTTGCATTTATTGCTAGATAAAAATCTCAAAGATTTGCAAGAAGTACAATTAGTGATTAAATTTGAACATGTATCGCAAGTAATATCACAATATTGGCATTATCCATTTATTTCAGTTGTTCCAGTCTTGCAAACACAAGTTTGAGTTACATTATTTAGAATTCTCATTAATGATTAATCACATTTAGTACACATATTAGATTTAATTGAGCAATTTAAACAATTTTGATCACACTTACCACATGAAATTTGATTTTTTTCAAAATAACCTTCTTTACATATACAACTATTTCCTTCGAAATTTCTTGTTGATTCACAGGATGTACAATAAGTTGCAGTGTTTAAACAAGTCAAACAGGAAATCAAGCATTTCTGACAAACAGGAGAGACTCCATCATCAAAATATCCAGGTAAACATTAGCAGAATCCTTAATTAAAAACTCTAAAAGAAATTGACTTTTCTTTACAAGAATGACAAAATTAATTTCCAAATTAATTACAAGCTAAGCAAGAATAATGACATTTTGAGCAAGTTTCAACTCCATTATCATAATAAGATTCAACGCAATCACAAGTAAATATTGATGGATTTATTACTCTATTGGATGTCGACGAACATGTATCACATTTTGTAGAAATGGATGAGCAATAAGAACAAGAATAGTGACATTCTATAAATCATATTATTCTAAAGTACTTTAGCATATAGGATTTGATCCATCATCAAAATATCCTTATTAACAAATACATCGTGAAATTGATAAAGTTCTAAAAGTGTTTGGAGCACATGTTAAACAAGTGGTAGACATACCACAAGTTTCACAAGTATATTGGCATTCTATTAATTATGTCTACAATTATACATTTACATTTTGGTTGCCCAATATCAAAATAGTGTCCAGCACAAACACAAGTAGAATTAGATAAAATTCTACTTTCACGATCCAAACATTTAGTACATTGATTAAATTCTGATCCATAACATTCTAAGCAAGAATAATGACAACCTATGTTAAATTAATTAGATATCACTTTGACAATCGGTTTTTCCTTTAACTTCATACTTACTTATAAGGGCGCCAGTTATCTTATTCTGGCAAATACAAGTATTCCCCTATAAATATCTATCTGATTTACAAGATATACAATTATCCGCAGAGTTCACACAAGTCAAACAATTGGCACTGCATGCTAAAATTTAATTTGATTTATACGTAAGCAATCAGGTTTACCAGCTTCATAGTATTTATCCATACATAAGCAAGACCCTGACTGATTTGATACTCTCATAATTTCAGCATAACAGGCTGTGCATTAATTTGATTGAGGTCCATTACATGTTAAGCAAGTGTAATGACAGGCTAGTTTAAATCACATATATACGAATGCAAATTGGATTATTAGGTTGGTCATACATCTTAGCGAGGCAAGAGCATGAATTATCTACTCCTAGATCCCTATAAGATTAGGGTGGACAAGCTGTACAATTTTCTATTTCATTACTGCAACTGGAACAACGATATGAGCATTCTAGTATTGAGTATATTATTTACTGTAACACATAGCGTCACCAATCTATTTTTACATATATGTAATATCTCGACATAAACACAAATTAGTTTTCAATACTCTATTGTTACTATCCGCACATGTTAAACAATTATTTTCAGCTGGACCAAAGCAGGTCAAGCATGTATAATGACAAGCTTTTAATACTCAAAATAATTACGGAGACATTGTAATTAGTTTTCCCCATAATATCCACCAGAACAAATACATTTTCTCATTGAGAAATTTCGAAAAGCATTTTCATCACATGTTAAACAGTTATTATATTCAGCCCCATAACAAGTTTTGCAAGTGAAATGACATTCCTAGCATTCTGATTGTGTATCATCACTATATTTATGAGAATCATTGCACAAGCATCCAAAAGTTGTTCCTATTCTATCAGGTTTTCTTGTAACTGGACAACTTGTACATTAATCTGCGCTAGGTGAAGCACAACTAGAGCAAGTATTATGGCAATTTTCTATAAATTGAGATCTTTAATCACTTACTTTCACAGATGATTTCGTTTATTCCAGTATCAAAATATCCTTAGTTGCATAAACACTGACTATCAGAAGTCAAAATACGATTAGATTAGGATGAGCAAGTTGTACAATTATTTGCTAAGAGACCATTACAATGTAGACATGTATAATAGCATTCTAACATAAAGAAAATAATTACTAAAGCAAACTTCAGAAATGCCATCCTCACCATAACCTGTTCCACAAACGCACATATATTGAGAAGAAACAACTCTATTCTATCCTGCTATACACATTGTGCAATATTGATTAACTGTATTATCAAAATACATAAAACACCTCTGACATTTAGGGTGGCAAGCTAAAATTTAACTCAAAGTAAAATACTTTAACATGAAGTAGTCCCATCTATGTTATCATATTCAACCATTCTTGCTAAGCATGTGCATTAGCCAGCCACTAATTATTTTTAATATCTTATTGGGTCTCCACAATCAGTACAGTCATCTAAATTTGGACCATCACATTTAAAACATGATTTATTGCAAGCTAAATTAAAATAAGACACAATTACAATAACAATAGGTCCCATTCCTATAAGTTCCTTCAGGGCAATCATTATAATAAATTAAAAAGTCCCTGATGCCAATTGAATCATCCTCAATTATGCCACTTATATTGTTTTTGATATAAATGGAAATATCTAATTAACTACTCGTATGACTGATATAATAACGAACTCTATAAAACCATGTTTTTTGACTTTATGGTGAATCTTCACAAATAAACCCATTGCCGCCATCCTCCCAAGAGTGCAATTTTGAACGAAGCACACCATCTACTATAAGATATAAATATATATTCTCCCACAAACCAATTTTAGCGAAAAAAAATTCAATCCACAATTCGTTATGGTTTGGAATGTTATAAAAAGACTGTTTGAGGACTGTATTGGCTCCTATCTTTTTATAGCCACCAAATAAAGCAACAGCTAATTCATATTCATTTTTATATACATCCACAGGATGTTGATTCAGCAATTCCTAGATATACATTCCAACCATCAGATGATATCTCTGTTGCATTTAGTTAAGTCCAACTTTTATAAAATACAGATAAAGCTAAACATGAAACACCATTTTTGAAGATATCACAAAAAATGCATCTTTCAGGACATTTCTCAACAAATAAAATGATTTCTCTAATTCCCCAAGAATTCTTAAAAAATAATCTTATTTATATTACATAATAAGCTGTTCTTGTTAAATTACTTTTAAACTAAATTACAACTGAAGGACTTGTATGATAAAAATCTATATTAAAACGATAGAACCTGTCGGCCATTGCTTGATTCCCACAATAAAAAGATCCATCATTTGCAGCCATGATTTACCTTACTGGATGCCCATCCATAACAATCGTAAAATTCTAATTATCCCATGAATCAATTCTATAAAATCCAAATTGCAAAGTTATCATATAATGAGGTGGAAGTGCAAAAGTCTTTGCAACTACAGTATTTGGTCCAAAAACACTATAACCTCCAAATAATGTATAGCCTGAACATTTAGTGAGCTTTGGCTAGGCTCCATTTACAACCCAATCTAAATTTAAATGAATATCATTATTATTACTATCCGCATCAGAAAAAGTAATTTCTTAAAATGAAGTCGATACCACTTCTCTAACTCCAAAAACTTTGATTATACAATTCATATAAAGAATTATTGCGAAGCATGCTTAAATCATTAATATAAATAATGTGAAAATCTACAGTTTAGACATTTAAAATAGGTAATTTTTATAACAAATAAAATTGTAACTCAAATGAAAAATAAACAAAAGGATAGGCATCCTTTGCAACCGAATTTGCTCTTAAAATACAAATTTTGGAATTAACTCAAAATACTCACTAATGCAACCAGAATTAATTTTATTTCTTTGTATGTTTAATAATTGATATTTGCCTCATTTTGCATATTATTTAATTATCAAAACACTAATTGGTTAAAGGCTAAATGCCTTTATTTTACAAAATAAAAATATTTAAATGTTGGTCGCTCCAAATCCACTTTTAAATAATTTAAGTTCAAAAATTATATTTCTATATTATATTTAATATTTGAATTAGATTCTAAATTAATCGGAAAACTCAACCATAAATGCATAGATTTGAGAAATCCTCAATGAATAATTTAAATAGAACAATACTTTTCTCAAAAGTAATCAAGAGAATAGACACACCTTCTGGTGGAATAGATTATGATTCCACATCAAGCATAGTTAACGACATCAGACAAGCTTATGGGTTCTACTTAAAGTAATAATCAGAATAAAATGATGGAGTAATACCCAGTTCAGAAAGTTTAATATCTTTTCCATTTACAGAAACAATTCTCATAACCACAATAGGATGTACACCACCTCTCTATGAAGACTCTAGATCCAATCTTTAAAGACTCTAGACCATATAATATAATAAAAGATTAATATTATTGGAAATATCCATCTTTTTTTTGGTATGAATTTAATTAGGGGGTTTAATTATTACAATAAAATTTTATTAACTTCCAAAGAGAATGAGCCATCATTTTCAAATTTCTCTTTAGATCTACCCCTAATTTATTAGTATTAAATTCTATAGCCTTTAGACTCCAAACAGGCTTATATATAGATAATCAATAATATGATTGAAACCGAGGGAAATGAGCTGGGAAAATTAAAATAAATTTATAGTGAATAAATTATTTCTTGAAAATCTATAAGAGCTATTAATATAATTTGCTATTATTATTCTATTCTAAAATAACATTAATTACCAAATGACTGATTTGAATTTAAGGTTTCTTTTGTTCTCTAAGAGTTCTTTAAAATATATAAAATAAATTGGGAAGGATAAAATTCTTAAGATAGATTGCATATTAGTTAAGAATTTTAACGCTTCACAATTACATCCTTAGTTTCTTTGTAAAATTCTATAAAGATCTTTGTTTTCTGCATTACATCAATACTAAAAATCTAATAGTTACAGTATTATTTAATTCTTGTTGCGACTAACAAATTACTTTCTATCTTGTAAACACAAAATGAAAGAACTTTAATTATGAATTGAATTATATTAAAAGAGGAGTTTATGTTGAGAAAAATAAAATTTAAGACGTTGGTATTATTATTATAGAAAATTGAATAATAATACTTAATTATTTATATAGTCAGTAATTATTTACCAATAGTGGATTATATTTTTAATAGAGTAGCACTTCTTTTAAAGATAAATTAAATATAAAAATTATACTGCTGTTAAAACTTACTTGAAAACACTGTAACACATATTTTTGTTGATATCATATTGTTTAACTATGATTCATCATGAAAAATATAATCGTTTACAGCAACTTTATAATCTTGACATTCCTTAATTATTCATTTTATTCAATTATACAGAATTAAAGAACATCCAAAATGTTATTTTATTTAAATGAAATCTTGAATTGCAAAATAGTTAGATGCACTGAAGCTTTCAAGGTTGAATCGAAGATTTGCTTTATTGTAAATTTTTCAAACTAAACCCAGTAAAGATTCCCGAATCATAGGTGAGTTGTCCCAAGACTTGATTTAAAAGATAAAGAAGGCTAAATATACATTAACAATAACTATTTCTCATAACTATATAAAATATTATAATTATTAATAAGCCCTTCCAGAAACTTTAGATTATAAATTATGAAATCATTTTAATATCATATATTTTCGTATACACCTCTTTGATTTGATCTATTTGATATTCAACCTCTTCGTATTCATTTATCATTATTTAACTTCTTTAGTTTTATTATGGTCCAAACTGATTTTCTTCATTATCTGGTTGTAAAAACATCTTTGGTGATATTCATCTCTATATTTAAAAAATTTGTATATCCCTTTCATGGATTTTGGCACAGATAATTTAGATTTTTTTTTGGTGTTTATTTTAATTTTATCAATATGTTATTCTTTATTGATGCAGATAATTTTATCCTTAATTTTAAGCGAGTTTAAATTTATTTTATAAAAAAGTTGAATTTTAAATTCACTACCAAAACAGATTATGAGCGTTTCTTGAGAATCTCACTCATGATTAATATTTTATATTGCAACTTAAATTGAATTGATATAATTCAATTAATAACACATGAAACTTGCTTAAACTAGATTTGCTCTGTTGAATCTATCTCTCGGCTAATACATACATTAAAAATCAAAATAAAGAAGTCTTCTAACTGATGTTTTTGTTATATGATGGGATTAAAAAAAGTGGAGTAATTTAATATAAAACAGTTTTATCTATTTCTAACTGGGCGCAAATTTATATTGAATTGTGATTAAGTAGATAAAATTAAAGAGAAAATGCTGTGTTTTATATATATATGAAGGAATAATAAATGGGGATATTCCTATATTTTAAACATTAAATTTACAGTGATATATGCATCTATCAGATAATAGAATCGTTCATTTAGAATTAAGGAGGCTCCTCCTATTATAGAAGTGAAAATAGAAAACTTAAAATTATTAATAGTATTAGGATACTTGTTAATATTTTAATTAACATTAAATTAATTATTCATAATAGGCATTAATTTTAAAATCTGCATTATTAGCTATTAATCCTATTTAGAAAATCTATATTAGATATTTAGATAATTTTCTATTTCTTATTTAACTAAGGATAAATAAAATTGCATTATACTCACAATAAATTACACAATTGATTTTAAAAGGATAAACTGACCTATATAATTTCGAGTCTTTTTTGAGGTTTTTCTTTCCAATATTTTATTATGCATTTGAACTTGTTTTCTGAATAATATTGTTCAACTATATTTTTCTGTAGTGGATCAACACTATTTGTTTTTAAAGGAATTTTAAAATGAGCATTCTATCTTTTAAAATTGTTAAACAATTATATGTTTTATGATATAGAATATACACATCTGTAAATTCAAATCACAATATTTCAAATTAGGTTCTTCAATATTATAGAAGATGGGCGAACATGAAAAAATATTATATTCTAACAGGAGCACAGGAGAACATATGTGCTGATCAATACATATAATATCAAATCATAAATGAGAAGAGTAAATTAATGTACATATAGTATTAAAAGTTTACATAGGGAAGTACCTTAAATGATAAAATCAGCTCATGAAAAGATATATTTCTATTTAATTTTATGAATTTTCATATTTTTCAAGTATCAAACTATCAAACTTAGAACAATTATTAATAACTAGAATAAATAATAATTGAATTTACTTATTTATATAATAAAAAAACACATTATAATTACAGAGTAAATGGCCAGTATTTCATGGTTTATGAAAGTAGTCTTAGTAAAAGTCTATTGAATAAATTGAAGTTATTAGGGATACAGAAACTAGAGTTAATTATTTAGAAGTATGATTAATTTTTAATATGATAATAGAATAATAGAACTTTGAGTGCAATTGATAATGTAGATTTGAGTGATTATTGATGATATTCAACAACATTTTTCTGATTGTTAAGCTTAGGGCATTTATTAAACCAATGGTTTATTAGTTGTCTAGGGTGGTTAATTAATCATAGGATTCTAATTGTCTTATTGATTTTTCAATAGCTCTCGACCTACTGACTCAAATAATTCAAATATGCCATTCTTTTCTTTGGCAGAAACTAGTCTCAAAAAACATCCATAATTCTAAAGTTGATTTGATGAAATACGAATACCTCAGCTAATTATTTTGCTGCATCATAGCTCACCTCTTCTTTGTCTACTTGATCTATTTTATTGCCAACTATAAATTTTACTTGAATATTTAGATAATAATACATGCAGGTTCGCTATTTTCATTTAATTCATTAATCCAATCTGTTACTCTTTAGAAGGATTTGTAGTTAGTGACATCGTAAACTAAAAGAGCTGCATTAGAATCTCTGTAATATAACCTTGCTAGAGATTTAAATTTCTCTTGTCCTGCTGTATCCCAAATCTATCGTTAAATTTAGAGTCTTACGGCAAAGTTGATTTGGTGATTATCAATTTTGCAAATTTGAGAGTGATAATTGGCACCCGATGTGGCATTTTCATAAGAATTAAATTCTTTCTTCACATAAACATTAGAAATGGATGTTTTGCCTACTCCTTTTGAGACTTATTTAAGAAATTACCTTGATCCCCAAGAAGGACGATCTTGAATTAATTCTCCCTGTTCATTAATTAATATTTGTATATAATTGTCTATATAGCTGAAACAATACGAATTAATAAAATCGGAAGATAAGAATATTGAAATTATATTATCATAAATTAAATTTATCGATAAAGGTGGAAAAGATGTAAAAATTTCTTTATGGATGGGTATTCAATAGAAATGAAATATAATACTATTTATAATTAAAGAATTAAATGTTAAAATTCTTTTTTAAAAAGTAATTAAATAATCTCATTTACATGTAACAATCTTAAGTCGTAAAAAGAATCCATATAACAGAAAAAGAGAATCAAATTTTCAACACAATTATGTAATTTAGAAATGACACCAATACTTAATCAGTTTTGAGAGTAGCAGGGGGATGGGTCAGAGATAAATTAATGGGCAATGAATCTCACGATATTGACATCACTATTGACAATATGAGTGGCGAATAGTTTGTACTCAAAATGAAAGACTATTTTGAATCTAAAAATATCAAAGTTAGTGGTTTTGGAGTAACTAAATTAAACCCTGAATAATCAAAGCATCTGGAAACAGCTTGCATTAAAATACTTGATCAATCTATTGATTTTGTTAATCTGAGAGGAGAGACCTACACATAAAACTCAAGAACTCCTTAAATTGTGGTAGGTACTCCGGAATAAGATGCTTTTAGAAGAGATTTAACAATTAATTCAATGTTTTACAATTTAAACACCTAAGAAATAGAGGATCTTACCAAAATGGGATTGCAAGATCTTGAAAATGGAATTATTCGAACTCCTTTAGATCCTTACATCACATTTAAAGATGATCCTTTGAGAATACTAAGAACATTTAGATTCGCTACTAGATTTAATTTTTAAATTGTTGAGGAAATCATCAAAGTGATAGAATTATAAGATATCAAAGAGGCATTGCAAAATAAAGTTAGCAGAGAAAGAATCAGCATTGAAATGGATTGGATGCTAAAATCTGAAAAATGTCTTTAAGGTTTAAAAAATTATCATGAACTTGGACTTTGGTGTATAATTTTTGAATTGCCAAAACAAAATCAGAACCAGTGCAATGTAAAAGTGGAGGATTAAGGAAAATATCATTTGGAGTCATTTAAATATCTAAAAACTTTACAAGATTTAAAATATTTTCCTAAATTTCCATAAATCCATGGCTTCGAGAGCTAGTAATAACTAAACTTGTATCTAAATCTAAGTTGCATTTGCCTGCCTTATTAGAAAATAACCTATAAAAAAGGAAAGAATATAGAAAGCACTATCATCTATATATTGGCAGAGTCATTAAAAGTATTATATATTAAATATCTATAAGATGACAAGAAAGTCAACTGATGAAATTTATAATGCATGTAGATTGGTGGAGCAATTCAACTAGTTAAAAAAAGAAGAACTAATTAATAATTACAGAAGAATTGGTATATATATTGTTTTAATTTTAGTCACCTTCTTACAAGATGCTAAACAATAATGGGAACTAATTCTATACATAGATTATTTATAAGAATACATAAATGATCCATAGGCGACACCTCAATTGAATGAGAAATTTTAAAATTTCGTCTATTCATAAAATTTATAAGAATTTTATAATGCAAAAGCATTGATAGATGTAACATCTGTAATAAATTTTAGGGCAATGAAATAAAGTAAATTTGGAAAGTAGAAGCAAAATAAATAAAGGATGTGAAATAAAATATTTTGATTTGGCAGGCTATGAATCCAAATGGAACTAGGGAAGATATATTAAAAGTTATTGAATAGAATAAAGAATAATTTTTGAATAACTAATGAATAATAGGTTTTAAAAATAATAATTTTAATTTAATTACATTCCATTATCAATTACAATTTTATGTTATTATTTGTGTAAAACACAAAATATAGAACATAGTTTCAAATTGAAAATTGAGGTTAATTGAGAATCAGCAAAAGTACTAGAAAGGGGTTTTTTTTATTTCAATAAAATTTTAAAGCGATGTTAATGGTAGTAAACAAGTTTGAGGCAATTTATTGCCTAAATGATAATTAGAATTTTCAATTAAAATAAAAAAAAATGAGTGTGATTCACTGGACAAATGTTAATAATGAATCTCCATCAAAATTCAATAGGCAATCTTCAGAAACATTGCCTCCTATACGCAAAAGAATATAAAAGAGAAACGAAAAGGGTCTGTAGGAAACTACTTACAAGTCATTATATAAATAGAACAAACTAGCTGAAATAGTAACTAAAGCCTAGAAAAGCAATGAAGATCTTTATGAAGAGTATGACGAGATAAAGATTCAAGGCAGCATATTAAAAATCAATGATAACGTCATAATAAAAAATGGTGATCATAAAGTCGAAGATTATGTTGGAACAATATAGAAAATTTGTTCTGTTTTAGAACCATAGACTAACAAGTTAATTTGTCTGTGTCAAGTTTAATGGTTCTTGAAAAAGAGTGAAATTGTAAATCATAAGCCAAGAGCTAGATGTTGGATTGGAACTTAAGAAATATTTTCAACCAAAAAGAACGATTATATTCTTGCCTAAACCATAATTTAGAAGTGCTAAGTAGTTAATTGTGATGAGTTTGTGAATCTCGAAAACAGTGATCTGACTACATATTATAACAGACTTGAATGGGATGTTGAAAATAAAAAATTTACTAATATGAATGAAATCTAGTTGTACTGTCTATGTCAATAACCATGGAATCCTGAACTCAACTACATTTAAGTAAATTTTAAATTTTATTTTTAGTGTGATAAATGTCAGAAATGGTACCACTTCGAATGTGTGGATTTGATAGATGGATGTTATGACGATAAGGAGTATATTTGTGGATATTGTAATTGATTTCTATTCTTGTATTAAAGTCTTTCTTATTAAACATTTATTTAACTTATTTTAAAACATAAGCAAACTTTCTAAGGTTATGAAAATTAGTTAGCTTAAATTTAAAACAAAAAAGCCAATAGGATTAACACTGGATTATCTGGAAAACCAGTAACCCTAAAAAGAGATACTTCCAGAAGTAAAACAATGTGATTAATAAGGCTTAAGAAATAAATTAATTTGATGATATTTTCAATCAACATCAACAATAATCACAAAAAAAAGAACTTTATCCATTGAATCAATCAAAATCATCGAATTTTGAACACTGTTAAAATGATGAATCAAGCAGTTCCAAACCTATACACTTACCAATCAGTATAAAAATTATTGTTAATTTTTCCAGACGAAGACGATGACAATGAAAAGGTTTAAAAGATTATTTTTGAAGAGTATTATCCATAAAATAATGGAAATAGAGATAATTCTGAGAATACTCAAATTTAATAAGAGAACTTATCAAATATTAATTCTAAATTGGTTCAAGAGCCTCCAGCACCTAAAAATAAAGATAAAGTCAAGTCAACTTTTCCACAAAAAGGATCTTCTATGGCAGGATGTAAGTATCTTTGTTTATCAAAAGTGAAGAAATAAATATAAATTGCAATTCCTGAAGTTAAACAAAATATCACTAGTTCATATGAATAAACAATGATAAAATAATAATAAAAATAAAATTAAATGAATGATTTAGAATTAAAATCATAAATATTTTAATTGTAAAATGATAAAGATAGGATTAAAAATTAGTATGAACTTGAAATCGTTGAATTAAATGCCCTTATCTAAGATTTATAAACGAAATTAGAAATAGAGTAGGAAGAATAAATGCAGTTGAAACAATAAAATCAAAAATTATCAAATCTTATTTCATAAATTGATAATTAACTTAATCAAAAGTAGGATAAAGAATAATTAAGGTTTAGTCATAACAATAATTTAAATGATAAAGAAAAAATATGTTATTTAATTGAAAAACTAAATGTTAAATCAACACAGAATGCTAAATTACATTATGAGATAATCAAATTATAAAATAATGTAAAAAAAGTTTAAATTAATAGGTTGAAATGCTTGAAACTCAATCAATTCTTAACCAAAACAATGCTAATTAAAACCATAATCAGGATAAATAAGCTATCAATTAAGTTCCACAATACTTAGGTATGGAAGTTCAACAACCTACCTAAATTTATAATAAAAAAGAAAACATAAAAGCAAGCGTCATGATGTAATAGAAACAATCATTCTTAAACCTAAGTGCAAATCACTCATAATTAGATTAGAATAAAAATATGAACTTGTATTTCTTCTACTAAACAAAATCTTAGTTCAAATGTGATAACACCTTAAGCCAACAAAAATGAAGTATCTACTTCAATTCACAAAAATTTGACTTTGCATTAAACAAAAAATGGCTATTTCAAAGAAGATAATTTATAGTAGATTAGAAAAATACAGTATGAAATCGATATTTTACTTAGAAGCACAAAAAACTCTACATCTGTTGGTGAATTGAATATTTTAAGATAAGATCCTACCAATTATTCAAATATATTACAAAATATGATGAAAAAGGCTGCTCCTAACTCGCCAAATAAATATCTTCATGCAACATAAAAGTTTAAAGAGACCTTAGATTCAAAATTAAACAATATTTCTGATAAATAAAAATCATATGCTAGTTTGCTATTTTCAGGAAGCGATTTGAAAAAATCTAGATACAAGGATGCATATTGTAGGCAATATTCTCCTCACATCAACGACGACATTTAGTTTAAAACCAGATAGTAATTTCTGTTTTTTAAATTAGACTATTTTCATTGAAACCCTATTCGAATTCACGGAAAGAATCAGAAACAATAAAATCTGAAGAGTCTCATAAACTAAGCACAGATAAAGCTAAAAATTAAAATAAATATGAACACTTAAATTATCAAAAGAAAGGTATATTTTAATCCACTTTAGATATTTTGCAACTGGTGAAAGACATAAATAATTAAAAAATCGGAAGTAGTTATGCAGATAATAATTATTAGTTTCAGCAAAAATAAATTACAAAAGAAAATGCGATGCCAAAAATGAACAAAAATCTAATCTTCGCTAGTACAATAACAATCTTTATTGAGCAGGAGTAGAACAAACATGAAAAATATATTTAATTTAAATAATCCTACATTGGTTCTAAGAAATCTTCATAACATTTTAGGTAATGGTATTATTAATTAATAAAATTAATATTTGCTAAATTTTCTGTAAATGAACTCATAGATTTTGAAAAGAAATGCAATTACATATATTATTTTATGTTTTGTTGTTTATTTGTAATAATTGATCATGCTCAAATTTATCCAAGGTGCAATAATCTTCTACATTGTGGATTAGCCTCAATAAATTTATCTAAGTTTTCTTAAGCGCTAATAGTTATAATTTTGCTTTACTTTGGTTCTTCTAGGTGGACTTTGGCAATAAGTTTTAAGCATTCAGCTTCATCTTTTGGAAATGCTCCTGCATTTTATTCCAAAACTCTAGAAGTTAATAAAAATATCTACTTTAATTTTCTTAAGACTTCAATTCTATCCAACTAGTATATGATTTAATGTGGGTCCACATGTGGATTATCTATTATGACATATGTAATTATACTTAGTCCCTTTCTCTAAAATTGGGAGATGACATTAAATTCCAATTTTTAGAATTCATCTAATGTGGATCTAGTGATATTTTAGAGATTCTAATCTTTATTGGCATAGCTATTTCATAGAAAAATTAATACTGTAAGTAGGATTGATGTTTGGTATGATTCTGTACTAAGGCTTCATTTCTAGTTGTGCAGGTGTATGGTAAGAATTTGGCCTCAACGTTAAAAATTCTAAGATTATCTACTTAATATACCTATGGACGGTATTGAAAGCCTAGAACAATCTGTTTCTGATAGCCATTTTTTATTTTAAATAATATGATATATATATAATTTATTTTTGATTCGCATAAATATTGCTTCAATCATGTTATAAATAAATAATATTCTTCCAATACACCAATTCAGAAATGCATACAAATCATAGATTAAAACTAAAATGAATCCAAACAATTGATATAATAAAGCAATATAAAGAATAGAATTTAAGCTTAAATTTATGGAAAGGATCATAATAAATTAAAATCTATTTTTATAAATAAAAGATTAGACATTAGTATTTAATTCTTAGCTTAATTATGATCATTAAAATAATAAAGGAGAGCTTCGAAAAATATCTTTAATCTTATGATTCTCCACTTCACTGGCCAACTTTCCTCCAATGAAATGTGAGTATGAGACTTAAAAAAGGTGGGTAATATTTTAGATTGATTAATCTAAGTGCAAATTTCTTTAATTCATTATAATTTAATAACAAAAAATCACAACGGATACTCATTCAAGTATTTCATTATATAATTTAAAATAATTAATCGACATCTATGTTTGAATTATGTGCTATTGTAGGATATGATATTGATAAAAGTAATGCAAGTATACATTATTAGAGCCAAATTTGGATATGTTGTTAAAAAATGAATACGAGCCAGAAATATTAGAAATTTATCCTTCTCATCTTAAAAAATCCCCATTGATTTCGCATTCAATATCGTAGTGTTTTTCTTAAGGACAACCTTCTTTATATTCACATGATAACAAGTTGATCCATCCAACCAAATTGAATTCGAAAGACATTGGAATATCATCTAAAATCCATTAATTTTAGGTTCAGTTAGATGACTCTACATATAAATATTGCCATGTGTTATCATTTTATGTAATGATGATCTGATTTATTAGGAATAAGCATACATCTAAAATATTGAAACTTTGGCTGGTAAAAGAACAAAGATTATCACGTGGTCTCCATAAATTGATATCTAAGCATTAATTAACAGCAAACAAGTGACAGCTATTAAATCAACATTACTCTCTAATAATGCGAATATATGCATATATGTGTAAAAATCCATAGTTGTCGTTTCCAATTAAAATGAAACAGGATGTGAAGCCACACTAGTAAATTTTATAAATTAACAACTTTCAAGTATATTATGAGTCTATAAACTAGGAGACTAAAATAGATCACATTATTTGAATAAACAATACATATAAACCCTAACTAATTCATAACAGAATAATAAACTGTTGAATGAATTGCTAACTATAAATTAAGAATTGTTCTAAAATCTACTAAGATTACCATCTTTTGAGCTCTCCAATCTGATTGAATTTTTCAATGTTTAGCATTAAGCATAAAAATAGTATGCATATTACTAATATAGATTAGTTATATCGAATTTAGATTTTGATGAAAATGTGAAAATCCAACACATCCCTTCAATGAATTTCATTTCTCATGAATCAACACAGGAAGGACATTGCAATATAATAAGCCAAGAGTTATTCCATTTATAAGAAATGCCTAAAGATGTATTTTATAATCCTCCTGATAAAATTAAACAATTTCGAGAAAGAGTGAGAAAAAGTAATAAGAAAGCTAAAAAACCTTTAATACCAATTTAGCCTTAATCTCATATGGCTAAATAAAATCAGTTATTGAAAGCTAAGCCTATAATGAGACCATAAGATTTTAGTTTTCATGAGGTTTAAAATAAAAAACCACAAAGGAACTAAATATTTAATAGTTTGAACTTTCCTTAAACAAAAACATTACTAAAATTATGAAAATTTATTATATATGCATAAATATTTTTATTATCTTTCGCAAATATACTTTATTTGTTTTCTTTCTAAAGAATCTACAACAAAGATGGTTTGTAAAAATTGACCCTTATTTCTTTATTATGCATATCTTTAATTTGAATTATTATTATAGCTTAAGGATATTTTAGTATAAAATTACTCAAGTTTTAGCTTAGCAGTTTTTTACTCCAAAAACCCCTTAGTAATTAAAATTCTAAATTTTAAATTAAATGACAATTAAGATATTAACTATCATATCAAACTAGTGAAAATATTGTTTTTGGCTTTCGAATAACGCTACTTCCTAATAGTTTCTCTGCGAATGGTATAACAAAATGATTATCTCTTAATACTAACTATATTATATATAAAGATTATTTATAAATAGAAAGCACATTATTGTAAGAATCACTGTGATAATTAATAATATTTTCTTTTATAACGTATTTTCACAATTATACGAAAGAATTAAAATTCTGAAAAACAGAAAAATGAAAAAATTTGTTTTATTTTTTAAACTTTATCTAATAAAATTTTCTTCAAATCCATTCCTTATAAAATCGTATATAATTAGAAATTCTCAATCAACTTGCAATATTGATTAAAATGATTTCATAATCAAAGTACATAAAATATTTCTATAATTCTATTTAATCTTTTCCATAATAGAATTAGAACATTTTACATTGTATTAATTAATTATTGCTTACAAATATGAAGAATTCCAAACAAAAATTTGATATTAATAGACTTAACTACTATGAAGGCGACTTTTCAGAATTTGGACCATTTATATTATTCAGATCTATTTTTCCAGATCAATATAAAGTTAAAAGTTGGACTATTAAACCAAAAGAATTTAAATAGAATTGCTAAGCATTAATTTCTAATAATGAATTAAGTTTTTAATGTTTTACATGTGGAATTGAAGCAACACATATATATTGCTAAGAGTGTTTTGATCCTAACCAACATTTAGGTAGAATATATTTATTAAATTATTAGGCCACTAATGTATTATTAATGGAAAAAGTAAGGGATTGTGCGATTGTGGTAGTGAATCAATTATTTCAAAACAAGGGTTTTGTTCCAAACATAGAAATTATGTTCTAGACGATGATGATGAAATAAAAAATATTTCCATTAAGGTACAAAAGAAGATCACTAATATTCTTTAATCACTCATTGTTACTTTCACAAGTACGATGAAATAAATTAAAGGGAAATCAAATAACCAAATTGCATTTCTAATTCTCTATCATTTTGCTACATTAACATAAAATTAAGACTTAATGTAAACCATAGAGGAAAAGTATCCAATTGAATCAACTTATAGACTAATAAAAAAGGCGTCAAATATTCATACTCTTATATTTAACACAATTGGCTCTCTTATTAATTATAGATATAGATATTTAGTTTTTATTTAAAATTTCCTTTCGGAGAAGAATTGTTAGAATTCTAAATACACATATTTAGAAAAGATTTTGAAGTATTAAGTTTATCTTGAACCGTTTCAAGATTTCAAAATCATGAAGATAGATAAAATTCTTTATTAACTTTATGCTGATGAAAAGTCTAAAAGATTTCTGTTTTCTATTATCTTAAAGAATTTCTCTAAATTGTGGTGGATTGACACCTTCAGAGTAACCAAGTATGATTCAAAAGTAAAATTTAACAACTTAAATGTTACTTTATGCACTCTATATGTTTATCAAATAAATTCAGCTTTAAAATAAAATTCATGTCTAATCAATTTTGTTTACATTAGTAATTTACTCATAACTGAATCTTAATTTGTATCTTTCGAAATGCAAAAATAATTCTTCTCGTAAAACTAAAATATTTAGGACTTAATAGTTACTATGGAAAAATTACATTATTCTTCAGGTGCTTTATGTTCTCAAAGTTAATTAGCACTTCCATTATTATTTAGAAGGAGATTTTAATATAAGGCCTTTGGATAAATAGCTTTAGATTAATTAAAAGAAATACTAAAAAACAATTTTGATTCATTTGCAAAATAAGATATTAAATTTGATCTAATATATTAATTCAACTATAATAATTTTGCAATAACAACATTAATTAACAGTTTAGGGAAGGGAATTATGAAGATATCTTAAAATAAATAAAATCAAGAAATTATACTAGCTGACGTTGTTCATTATATTATAGATTAGGCAACTTATTATAGTGCGATTCGTGTTGGTTTAGAGAATCTATTCAAAAGATATAGCAATGAAATGTTCGAAAAAAACATAATAAAACTCCTTTTTTATTAAACGTATTAGATCCTGAAGAATAATACTTTCATAAATAAGCACATCAATAATGACATCGCTGATCGCCTCCTATGTTTACTAGAGAATTATAATTTTTATCCAGAATATAACACCCAGAAAGAAATTAAATAAGGTATGGTAATACAGAAGTTGTTTATTTCTTATTTAGCCCATTTATATTGTACGACATAATTTAAAAATGGAGGGTTATTCCTAGATTTTTTACTTGATATTTTAGATGAAAACGAATAAGAATTTAAAAATTTTCTTAACTCATTATTAGGTAATATTGTTCAGGTTTATTTGACAATTCATTGCAATCAAAATAAAAAACTACAAAGCGTTTATTAAGGAGCAGAAAATTTCATAGAGTATTCCTAATTTCATAGAGTAGACACCTGTCTTTTTAAATTATATATATTTTTATACGGTGAACATGGATTTTCTTAATTTTAGAATATGTTGGAGACGTTCAAAGTAAATGACGGAATATTCAAAGTTACAAATTAAACAAGAATAATTTAGTAAATATCTTAATTATTATTAGGTAACTATTTGCTAGCATGATTCTAACAGACTTGGATCTATATAATGTATGTAGCCCGTTATTAACTACCTTATCAAATGATTTAAAATTGACTTTAGTGAGAATGGTGGGTAATTATTTTATTATCTCAAACTCAATAGAGTATGGAGATATTTTAGAAAAACTCTAAAAATCTGGAGTGCTTATAACTAAAAATTTTTCAAACCATATTTTACAAATATGTGAACTTGACTAGACAACAAAAAAATTAAAGCTAAAAGCTGAATATCAAATATTTTATGAGCCTAGCCTTATATAAAATTAAAAAGGATTGAACACTCAAATCATCGAAAGATTAATTGAAAAACAAAAATCTGAAAGCGAAATTTTACTGGGAAATGGGATTATATGGGACATTTAATAATTTTCAAATTAGAGGTATAAAGTGTTATAGCATTTAATATTGATGAATTTTTGCCAAAATAGTCTATTTTTGAAAAATCTAAAATTTTTATAGGAAACTGCCAAATCAAAACAAATGACGTTATTAAATGAAAATACCAATTTCCTATAAGAGATGTGCCAACTTATTTATGCTCAACTTGCCTTTCATAATACATTTAACTAAATTTTATTCTAAGAATTTGTAGATACTGTTAGAGTTGAATTGGAAAAAATTTACAATATGAATTTAAAAAAGGAAGAGTAATAAAAGATAAAAGTTCTTATTTCATCAATTAATGAATTGAATAAATCATAGATATAAGAAAATTAATAAACCAAGTTGAAATTTTAAGCTTAAAAGGACAGATATAAGGCAAAGTTCAATTAAATATAATCTTCAAATTTGATATAGCAAATGTTAAATGAAGAGTAACAATAAGAAATAGCAATAAAAGATGAGAATCTATGTTATGCTTGTAAACTTAGTTTGAAAGCTTAAAACAGTGTGGGGACCCTATCTATTTTTCTTAAACCAAAACCATAAATGTATGATGGGACTCATGAGAAGCTTGAAAATTTATTAAAATTTAATTTATGTTTAGGAATATAAACATGTTAGCACTACTTTCATAATTAATGTTTAACTAAATACTTTCAAAGCGATTAAATTAGAAATTAAGATTTTGGATACTACAAATTAGATTTGAATTGCCCAATATGTAAACAGTCTGTAATATAGAGATTTCCTATTGATGATATAGACAAACAAAAGTTGAAGAGTTTTAATTCAGATTTACTTTTGATAAATGATCATTTAGGTTTAGACTTTGAATAGGATTAGATGAATAAGTTAGTGTAAATATACATTAATTTATTTTTTGATTTGGTGACCTCGTTATTTATGAATGCAGAGAACTATAGGAGGGCTCAAAAGAATGTTTTGTTCAAATAATTACTTATTTGCTTTTATGAAACTATTTAAGAAATGGATTAAAATAGCAGAGAAATGTTGAATTAAGTATAGATTCCAAAATAGAAAAATAATTTAGTATTCAATACTGTGAGGTCGATTTACAACATTTTGACAAATTAATCTAGTTTTAATGAATTAAAATTAGATATAATTGAGCTAATCAGTAAGAGTAAGTAATTAAGTAAGGATGAAATCTCACTGTTTCTAAGCTCTTTTGGAATAGAAGAAGCTATAATGGAATAATAATTGAATGCAGTATAAAATATATCTAAAGAAGACTATACTTTAAACTTTTATCAAACTCTTTAGAGTTAAGCCGTTAAAAAAATTTATAATAAACTTGGACCGACATTTCTATAATTTCATAGTAAATATTTTTCTGAGAAATGCGACTATTGCAAATTTTAAGAAAAAATTTTTTCATATTCAGGAATCTCTGTTTGTTTATTATGTTAGAAAGTATTTTGCAACAAATCTTGCATAATTAAAAATAAAAATAACTTAGAGCATCATGCAACTAATCTACATGAGGGAAATTCAATTTTTGTGAGCCTTTAAGATAGTTCAGTTACTCTAATTTGTGATTTAAATTCTACTTAGAAGTTCAAATGCTTGTATTATAATAATTTAGGAGAAAGAATAAATTCTGAAAATCCTCATTCGGATTGGAACACATTCTTGCTAGATTTTACTAAAGCAAATGAATTGGCTTTGATAATTCTAAATGATAGATATGATAAAATAAATGAGATATAAGAAAATCAAATATTTACTTGAGTTTTAGAATTTTATTAAAATAGTATTTTTATTAATTAAAAATTAATTATAAATTTGATTTCACTCATTAACTATTTTTCTACTTAGAAGCTTTGGTTTCCACAAAATTAATATATTAAGTGACTAGCTCGTGCACTTACTCTGTTGTTTATTCTTGCGAAGCACGCTTCACAACCTTTTTATAGACTAGTGTTGCTACGACTAAAAATATAAGTAGAACAGCCAATAGGATGATAAGTAATTATAAGAAGGAACTAGATTGTTATGAGAGATCCTATCTGCGCCAGTCATCTTTTTAATTACTGCATATTTCAGGGGGATTTATGAAACCTTGTAAGATCAAATATTACTTTCGCAAATATTAATGAATATATTCTTGGCTGTGATATTTTTTACACCAACATGATTGTTCAACATCACAGGTGGGAGTTATGCATAAGGGAATTCAGAAATTATTTCTAATTACTCTTCCAATAAAGCATTGTAAAAATTCAAATTATTTTATGATTAATTTATTAACTTTTTGAAAGAATCATCATAACAATTTTCTACAGTCTAGATTGAATAATTTAATCGAATAAGCAATTCAGAAAAACAATATTCATACATATAAGGAAGCTTACATTTATCTTTAAATAAGTCCTAGAATATATCGATATTAATACTATGTAATTAAAAAATACATCAATGTCTAATTTCTATAAACAAAGTTATCTTATCATTTCTTCAATGACATCTTATCCTGTTCCGTAATCATCTCCATCAGGGTCATAAGTACAATATCTACCATCAGAAATGCAATTTAAGGATTCAATAATAGCATTGTCATCCTCTTTCATTTTCAAACTGTAAATAGGATATAAAAATTGATATTTCACTTCATTGGTATCGAATAATTATTGATAAGGTTTGTAGTCACTGAGAATTTGAAGTGAACTATTGTTTAACAAATCAATAGAGAATAAAACATCAACCTTCAATTATTTGATTACATCAAATTTCATAAGTAGTTTAATTGAATACTCTGAAATCGTAGCATAATTACTAAATATGTCCTTAAACTCTTTACTCCATTTACTACCTATAATGATGGAAGGAATATGAACGGAAGATCCTTATCCATCATTAAGCATAGTAAATGAATTGTCGATGTCTTCATTGGCATTGTCTCCAATGATGACAAATTTATATCCAGCATTTTGAGCGTTCTTCACTTTAGTAACAAAAGTACATTTTCCTCGTTCAATAAAAATAAAGTCATGGTCTTTTGAAGGTAAGATGGAACCACATCCATCAATAGGATATGTTGGAATCAGTGTACCAATCATCCTTTAACCCCAAGGTATATCACTACTTATGAATTACTTAATACCCAAAATGGGCTATGCCATATTTAATTTCTGAGCCCAATTTATCAATAAGGCTTTCTGGTTGAATTAATGTGAGCTTTTCAACACTTGATGCAAATAAAATAAAAAGTATAAGCATTTATATTAATGACTGCCAGGATTTAGAAAAAACTATAATATATTAATTATAGTTCTTAATTGGCTTCTCTGACTTTTCCTATTAATACTTGGATATGTGTAGATAAATTATAGAATACAACAAGCATTATGATAAATTAATATTGAAGATTAGATAATAAACTATATATTAATAATAAGTAAATTAGGCTATTCAAATATAATATCCCCAGAATACATTGATATGCAGTTAAAATAGTATATAAGAAATTTTGGTCCAAATGACTTAAATTATTTGTGTAAACTTAATTAGAAAGTCTTTTAGGTCATTAGTATACTAACTATGGAATCAAACCCTAACGTTTTTATGTATAATTCTATGATACTATAATTATCATGTCGTTGCAATGAAGAATTTTAAGGACTTTCCAAAAATATCAAGATCTAAATTAAATTAGATTATGATAGACATGTACACAGCTTTGAAAGATTTGAGATTTATAAAATAAGCCAAAAAAAATCAGTGTTTAAAAGTAGAAATGACAACTCCAGATGGTTAAGGAATAAAAAATACTGTATTTATTCTAGTTCTACACTCTTAAAAAGATTACTAATATATTCAGAGTAAACTTAATTTAATACTCACAATGTTATCAAAGTTCAAATCCTCACTTGTCAAACACACAGATTTATAAGAAGATTATAACAACTATGATCCTTGAACTTTTATTATTTATATACACTTAATTTGCTTTAAATGTAAATTTAATTTAATCTATAATATAACATAAATACTCGAGAGTTTCAGGTAAGATCTATAAACAAAAGAGTGAATTTGGTATCTCCTTTAATAGTTAACATTGTTATACTATGAATATAAGTTATTGCCATAATTACAGATGCCTTCTTCTATTTTACCTTCTTTAAAATAAACAAAGATTTAAACCAACAATCTATTTTCGATGCAAATAGAGATGGTCGAAATGTAAGTTGATTCGTGTTAAAAATTAAGGGTTTGTTATATAGGATGGAAATGACTAAAGGCTGGAAAATAAAATAAAGAAAATAAAGAGTAGTTGGAGGCCTCTAAAATAGAGCAAACATTATTAGTAGGAAATTAGATTATCAAGGCTAGGAACATCATAGTAGAAAATTATTCAATTAATATGGCGATATATGAATTAGAAATAATTAGATTGAAACAGTGTGGTTGAGATCTATTTTGTTAATAAAACAACTATAAAAGAAAACTTTAAACTAATAGTAGAGCTACGGTGTTGATCGGTAAAATATAAGAAGTAGAAGCTTAATAGAAGCAATACTTAATCAATCTTTAGTAAGATCATTTAAAAAGAGTTTTTTTTGTTATTTGCTATGTCAAAGAAGAAAGGAATTCAGAAAATATTTGAGGAGCCTTTGGATCAATTAATTAGATTGAGAAAATAAAGACCCTTAAAGACATATTGGAATATTTTGGATTTGTGCGGATTATATTTTAATCTCTAAAGCTATAGATATAAATGATTGACATAAAGGAAGGGGAGTAACATTTATGAGAGCAGCCAAAAAATTAAAAAGTTAAAACAAATTCAATAATGCTAAAATGCTTTTGTGGAGATTCAAAAAAATAGTGATCTCTCAAAAAGGGGGAAGGCTAAGAAATAATTCATATAACTAGGAGTAAAATTAAAACAAATAAAAAAATAACAGTTTCGTGTTTATTATATAAAAAAATTAAAGAATGAAAAAAAAAAGGAAATAATGTATTTATTGAATTATCACAATCCAAAGGAAATTGAATAGTATATTCATAATATTATAACTCAAAGCAAAACTTAAATAAAAGTTACTATCATTTTCAACCAGTATTGAGTTTTAATTGTATAAAAAATTATATTAAATTCAAACGTTTACATGCCGAATTATTGATTGGCATTGTGAGAATTATATAAATGAAAGTAATATTTAAAATCGAGAGTTCAATATTTAATCTTATTCAACTGGAATAAATAAAGGTTAAACATCTAAATTACAACACTAAGAAATGTAAATTTTATTAAGAGTTTTATTCAGGAATGTAAAATTTAAGCCCTATTACTTGACATCTTAATTAATTTTTCTGTTATTATATTCAAAGATCAAGTAAATTATCATCGTATACTTTTTGAACCATATCGATGTTAGAATTAAAGTATGAATTTATGAATAAATTTGATTTATAAATCCAAATATTTGTCGAAATTAAATTATTTAAAGAAGAGAATGGGGTGCTCTATCCAGAAACAGAAACCAAATCAGTCTCAGTTGGTTGGTGCAAAAGAAAAGTCTCTATCAAAACTGTTATCAAATTATGATCACTCTAAACAATAGATTCCATATTCACCTCCAACCTGCTCTAAGCCTCCTTCTCCTTAATAAAACTCTAAATCTTTGACTTAGTAATAGTAGATTAAGATCCAAGAAGTTATTTTTAACAATAACAAAAACTCAAAGTAAACCACTCTGTTGAAATGTGATGAACGATACAAATTTTAACAAACATTGATTAGACTAATCAAAAGATGACAAAACTTGACTTGGTGCCTTGATCTTTCTATATTTTATGTGTAAAATAAAACTTATTTATTTGATTCCTTGTATATTAATTTCAATCATAATTAACTTATTTATATACGATAAATTCTTTCAAATTCATTAATTTTATATTAAATGTATAAATTTGAAACTTAAAATTTGTATTTAAATTTCTGCATTATATTCAGAAAAAATTTCTAAAAAATTATTATTTAATTAATGGGAAACTCTTCAGTTAGAACATCGAATGCTTGTCCTTAAATAATTCGCATCAATCGCTTGCAGTACCAATTAAATTTTGAAAATGAAAACAGCTTTGATAACGCTGATGGCAAAAGCATAGCAACTGCAGCACCTAATTCACCAAACCATTCACATCAGATCATTACTGAGGTAATATATGTTAGAAGAAACATCCGAAGAAAAGCTATTATTATCTCTAATTCTTCACAGAATATTGATGAATCTGAGGTTTAAACTGAAATTTGAATGATCAAGAAAGATATGAGCTTAAATTATATTATATTTGCTTTTATATATTATTATGTATTTGTAATCTTAAAAGAATAAATGTATGTTTAATATTTCTACTGATTCTCAAGACTTATTATGAAGTATTTATTAATTTTGATAATATTATTTATGTATTAATTACATATCAATACTAAATAATGATTTGTTAACTTTTTTAAATGTACTTACGTTAAGTATATCCTCAGCTTGAGATTATTGGAACTTTAAATAAAAGATTTTTCACAAATTAGCTATTTTTCATGAACTGGTAAAATAGTATGTAACAACATAAACATTAAAAAATAAATACAATTTTCTTTTAAGGTGTAGGTGTTATATTACTTTAATTATATTGAGGTTTCTGCAATCTACATATAAATAATTTAATTATCATTACCCATTTTCTAACAATAGCAATCAACTATGATTAAATCTTTTGTCAAATCTTTCTGGATATAACATATTAAATAAAGAAGATCAAAATTAATAAACACAAATATAAAACCATTCTAGATGAATAATGATGAGAAAATATTTGAGATTAGACCAATTACTTTTGAATTCAAGTGTCAATTATATATTACTAAAATAAAAGTTAAGATTGACTGATAAATTTAAATTTCATGAGTTAAACTAAATTTTTTATCCTTAATAGTTGTTTGGAGACTGCATGGTATTGTGAGGAGAATAGTTATGTTAAAATACAGGTTTGATTGACTCTCTTGGATTCTAAAACTCATCCTATTCATTAATGTCAGCTAACATGTTATTATTTTTGTTCCTTCTTGATGAGGAATTCTCAGATATCATTGATTATCTGATTGCTTACTTATCATTTGGAGTAAAGGATTGTCTAGGTAAAACTCTATTCTATTGTTATTTCTACTCAGTCTTAAAGAAATATTGTTAATCATCATGCTTAATCTCTAATTCATGTTCATATTCTAATAATAGAATAATAAATGAATATACATTTTTATAGTAAGTTCTTTTTCTTAACATTAGCTCCTCTATAGACTATGACAAAACAGGCGAACACTTCTAAAATCAAGCTGACTATAAATATCCAAAAGATTGCAATCTAATTTGATCTAAATTTATCAATCTCATCTAATGTGTCACTCATTATATATAAGAAATCCTCCTCTAAGCAACGACTTTTCACAATTCTATTAATGGTATCATGAAATTGAGCCTCATAGAAGTACAACAGACAAATGATAGTGCCATAAGATAAGAAGGAAATAATTCTAATAGCATATACTATTCTTCTAATGATTTTGCTTTGCTGCTGGTTCATTATGGGCAGAACCAGAATAAAGGTGAAATCAGAGAGCATGAAAAAGTGTAATAAGTTTAGGATTATTCCGATAAATATGCAATATACCAAAGTAAAAAGTGTTTGAATGTACAATATGTAGCCCAAATCCTTATAGTAACCAGGGCTTTCCAAGACTCTTTCAATGAGAGTGTATCTGCAGTCCATATTAAATTCAATATATCTTTCAGCGTACAATCCAATAGTATCATTGATTGTAATGTTATTAGCATTGGTGATTGCATTGAGATCGAGTACTTCTGAAGCCTTCATTTTTGAAATTTCCTTGTAGTTCAATAAGTCTTCTGAGCATACTTGAAATTCAGCTGAATCTTTGCAAACTTTTCCATTAAATCCAAATCTGAAATTGGTTATAGGTTGCCTCGATTAAACGGAGGACAACACCATAATGGTTTTATTTACAGATCCTTAGCGCAATTGCAATTTTGTTTCATAGAAATAATTCGTAAAGTTTTATAGACTAACACTCTAGTTTTTGAGATAGCCATTAGTGAAGTTCTATTGAATTAGGATATCATTAAAAGGGCATTCGAAAGCAGAGGTAATTTAATTTATGTTTATGCAATATTTGGAATTCAGTTCAACACCTCCGCATAATTGATATTCCTATTCACAATCTGAATCAAGTGTATAGTTGTTAACAAAGGTGAAGGTATCTAACTTTTCAATAGTCAATGCAAAATTTTCGTTGTCAATTCTATATGTTTGAATTTTTTGATTTTCAAATGTAGCAGTAACTTTGTTTAGATCGGTTTCTTCTGCAATCCTTATCGACTTGATAGGATATTGTTCCCAATTGTAAATTAGTAATCCAAAGTCTGAGGGGAGGTTGGAATTAAAATTGATATATTGCGAATAGGAAAGCAATACAATTGCTAGTGAATAAGTAAAGACGGATATCAAATAAAGGATAACAATATTTTGTTGTATTTTTTAATCGCTATTATATCTCTCTTTTATTATTGAATAAGATAATTACCTTCGTATGTTAAATTATTTTTATTTCCTAGCATGAATAGAAGAATAATAATTTAATATAAAATGAATTATAAGAAATGAAAAATCTTAGAGAAATCTTTTGTTTAATGAGATGGATTAAAGTCATGGGAATGAGTATTTAATATAATGCATTGTTATTTTTAAAGTAATTTAAAATGAGAAGATATTAATTAAGAGTGGTACAAAAATAATGAAAAATAATAATGTAATATGCTGTATTTTATTGATATTCATTGATGAACTGCTTTTAACAACCTATTTAAGAATGTATTATTTTCAGGTCTGTCTCTGAATAGTGATTGAATCTTGGGTTTTGGTTATAAGTCTTGGAGCAATTATTTCTCCAATGGAGTTTGGACTCCTCTGATTGCTGGGGATGTCCATTGATTGGACTATCTTGCTAACATCCAAAGAACAGTGTTGTAATCGTTAATGAAATAGTAAGTAGGCATTTGAGTATAATCTTATGGTCCAAGTACGGTTTGAGTCACATGCAATCTGTATCTCTATTCTTTGGTCCATGTCCATTTTGATTCTTTGACAACGATGGCTAGAATGACATCAATGAATTGGGATTACTTTCAGAGAGTCTCAATAAGAGATTTGGAACCAAGACTTTGAAATTGTTGACTCCAAGCTCATTCCAAGTTGCAGCCCAGACATCGCCATTATTGTACTCGCCAGCAGTAAATGTTGCATTTTGCTGTAATAGATAACAAGTCTTACGAATTACTATTTGACGTGAGATTCCACCAATTAAGCAATTTGTGGGACATACTATTGGGAATCGATCATTATAGGGTAATCATTCACATATGGGTAATCTCCCAATCTGAAGAGATCGTCGTATTCTAGAAGGCTTAATTCAAAATATTACGATTTTAGAGTCCTTTATTCATGTAGATGTGTTTGGCTGGATCCAATCCTTCAAAAGGAGCACCAAAGACATTGTATTGATAGACTGATCTGAAGCACATTGAGTTGATCTTACCCAAACTAACCAACTTTGTGAGCATTTGTTATTTTTATTATAATATTTACAAATCAAGGATTTTTAATATGTATTAAAACGATCCTATTTTAATCTTTTAGCAAAAGTGTCGTATTCTTAATATATTAAATCATTATCGGAATTCCAAAATTCTGTAAACTCGCATGTGTTGAACAACTTTGAGTGATGGAATCTGGAATGTGTTCAGTTACAAAGGATGAATGAATAGAGTTATTTATATAATATTTATTCCATTATTTAAAATATATGCAAATTACTCAAACTTAATTATTAGAATGGGTAAAGGATGGAAATAAGGCTACTTTGAAAAAGCATTTCGAAGAATAGTTAATGTTTTCACAATAGAAACTGCAGGCATTTTTTTCTATGGTTGATGATTAAAACAGAAATGTGGTGCATTGGGCTGCTTATTTGGGATAATATAAATTGTTAAAGTGGTGGTGTAAGTAATACAAGTAGATGATCGACTTAAACAAAGGAGATATGCACTCCTACACTCCCCTAGAATTAGCAAGCATCAAAGGGTACTCAATATCACAATTTATTCTAAAGGTATTCTGGGGAATACAATCCGGAGAAACAAGAAAAGACAATACAATTATTGCTTGATCACGGTGCTCAAATTCCCCAATCTAATACGTCTAAGCCAAATCCTTTACATTGGGCATTTTATTATGGGAACAAAGAATTAGTAGATTTTCTGATCTCAAAAAATTTTTAGCTTCAATTAGAAACTGACCAACAAGGTAATTATCCCATCGATTACTTGTTTTTGGAGAATAGACCAGATTAATACAAGTATAAATTTCGATATTACCCAATAGAAAAGCAGTTCGCGAAATATTTGAGAATACAATAATCAATTATGCTCAGGCAACTACCAAACAAACATTGAATAGAAAACCCAAGAGGAAGAAGCACAGATAAGCTACCATCATAACTAGCTAACAACCCTTCATTTAAACTTAAATCAAGGAGGACGAATCAACACCAGAATCTGAACCTTCCAAAAATGGAATACCATATTCCAATATTTCCAATTATCATCGAAGTCAAACCTCGAACTCCTTCCTCTCCAAAAATAATATGCCCAAAACAAATCAAAAACAGACTCCCAGTCAATAAATACTGATTAAGTTCCAACAAAGGAGTTGCTGTCAAAAGATATAATCCAAGAATATCGATGAAATTGCTGACATTCCTCTCTTCGACGATTCTCGAATTGAGATGAAAGAACCAGAAGAAGAGAAAATACCAGAAATCAAGATTTCCAATCTAAATCAAAAAAACACTGAAACCAATCAGGAAAATTAATTCTAAGCTGATTAATGTAATATCATTATAACCTAACCTCCTCCTTTATTACTAAATCAGGAATCTTCTCCTTAAAAACACATCCATCCAAGGTAACATCAGAAAAGCAATAAATTCAATGTCCACGATCTGGAGAGGCAAACCCTTAAAGAATCGGAAAAGTTTACTATCTATCATAGTAAAGCCAATCTAACCAAAAATGAGATATATGAATGTCGATTGCAGTATTGGTCTGCCAGTCAGGGCAACACTGAATTTTTCATTTACTTCTTAAAAAGGAAGTGCAACCCTTTCCTGAATGTATATTAGGGCTTCAATTGTCTTCATGTTGCAGCCTTCAAGGGAAAACTGAAGATCTTAAAAATCATCTTAGAAAACGATTATGAATATTATGATTATTCTGGCGAAGGCAATCACAAAAACAAAAAATAACTCAAAGATTAAATCTTTGATAAGGTATCTAATATGCGATTATACTTTATAGAAAGAATGCATAAACATACTGACAGATCAAAATCCATCAAACGCATTACATTTGGCTATCGAATAGGAAAAGTATGGGTGCATGAAGACCTTGATCTTGCATGGGGTATCAGTTGACACAGTCAATAGTAGATGTCTCAAACCATTTGAATTGACTTTCAACCAAAACTTTATGAAGTTTTATAAAGACAATATTCAAGTCAAATAATCAATCAGTAGTTTAACTGAGTTGGGATATTAGTATGTGATTCAAACCAAGGGTACTCTGAGTGTAGATAAGGACATCGTGTATCTGCAATTGCAAAACATAAGACAGACTTTCGCAGAGAGAGGATGGAGCTTCGAATTTCTAATATTCCACGCTCCAGATCTTGATAAGCTGGAACTGTACAATGACAACACCAAGACAAACAAGGTTAAATCACTCTTTCATTATTACGTATTAAAATTGCCCCCTGATTCTGTTTATCAATTGGCACACCTCTATCAGATATCATGTTACAATTTCAAAACCAAAGTAAGTTACATCTTTAATTGTAGCATATATGTTAATTTCACTATGATAAGAGGGGTTTCTTTGAATTTCCAAAGGATCTTCAGGTGCAAATGCTGATACTGAACACTCTCAATGACGAATTTGATGTTGACAAATTCGTATTAGAGAAACTGATAATCTCGCATTATCCTTTGGAAGACATTCAGAAGTGCGAAAAGATAACCCAATTTTGGGATGAACAGCAAAATAACTGCATTCGCGATTCGATTCGATACGAAACTTAATAAATAGCTTTGAGACCCTTGCATGCCATAGCCTCATATTTTGGCCCAGTTGTTGCATGGTACATAGCCTTAAATGTACAAATTATAGGTTGGCTCATGATACCATCTCTCTTTGGAGCGGCTTTGGGAATTTACATAATAATAACAGAAGAAGTCAAGTATGAATAACGAGTAAACGTATATTAGTTCTTCAATTGTTCCTTTCTACGCCTTACTCATGACACTCTGGTCTACGTTATTTATGGAGAAATGGAAGAATCGAGAGTCTGAGTTGAAATTTTGTTGGGACATGCACAAATTCAGACAATCTCAACCCTAAAGAGTGATGTACACAGGTCAGTATATCATAAATGAGGCGACGAACAAGATTTAGATTTACGATTACTTTACTACGTTTAAGAGACGGTTGATTGCAGAAGGGCCTGTCATTTTGATAGGGATAGCAATCATAGTGGTAAGTTTTTATGCATTTAATCTGTGGTTACAAGAATGGAAAGACGATAAAATTATGCCTATAGTGATCAATTCTTTAAATGGAGTTTCGATGACAGTGTTTTGTGATTTATACAAACGGCTGTGTACATCATTGGTGACGTGGGAAAATCATATGTATGAATCTGAACAGGAATACTCTTACATTTTGAAGGTGTTCCTTTTTGAGTTTCTGATCTCTTATGTGTCTGTGGTTTACGTGGCTATATTTGAGAATAATGCCTCTCAGTTGAGTGTGTCAGTCGCTAGCATTATTATAACGAGAGGAGTGATATCCAATGTGAAGAGTAACTTTTTGCCGTACTTCTTATTTAAGTAGGAGAAGGTGATTCTTTCTAAGAAGTTTTCAGAATTCAAGAGAATATTCACAACGAAATTGGCAGAGAGGAAGTAAGTGCCCAACATTTGCAATTAAAAATTCAGTACAGATCAAGTGAATTCAGAAATACAGTTGTCATTTCTTTAGGAACTGGAGATTGGTAGAATTAAACAGCCATAGAAGGTGCTATATGATGAGTATACAAGTATTGCAATTCAATTCGGATACACGACCATGTTTGCTCCGACTTTTCCTGCAGCTCCCTTGTTTTTCATGATCAATTGTTACATCAATTTGAGATGGTCAATTTACAATTATCAACACATTCTGAAGAGAGAACGAGCGTAGGCTGCAGATTCAATTGGAATTTGGTTGTAGATATTTGAAATCATGAATTATTGTGCCACTTTCATGAATTGCATAGTGATTGGGACTGTGAATAAGGAGCAATTCAAGGGAATCATTGGGAATCAAGATGCCCTCGTAAGTGCTTTCTTCCTTGCTGCAATAGAACATGTCTTATTACTTATTAAATATATTCTTGATGTTTCAATTCCTGACTGTCCTTATTGGGTGGAGAAGGAACTTAGAAGGTATGCATACTTAGAAGAAAAATACTAGAAAAATAACAATTGATGCTTAATTTATTTATTTTATATTAATATCAATATAATAATATTCTGCTCATGGGCGACTAAGACTCGATCTATGGAGAACTTTGCATCTCCCTTGTCGAATCCTAATGGATAACCAAAAGTATCCTCAAATTGATAGTGCAACAAAGTTCTGCAATAATTGTCAACAAGCATATGAACTCCATTCTGCCTCAATTGGGATACAATTGGTTCAGAGAGTAGGTTATTGTATTGATGGAGGAGTACAATTTGAGAAGTGACAATGTTGAAGAAAATGTTATTGAAGACCCTGAGCCAATTGCTGTCAACATAGAACATTGGAGGAGGTGTCAAGGTCAAGTCACTTAGGGTGTGTCTAAAGAAAACTCCCACTCTCCTGTGATTCAGAGAAAGGATACTAAAATAATGTCCAAATTGATGACCATTCGGACTTCCAGACCAAGCGAATGCTTTGATTCCTAGCTTATCAAAATGGGTGACTCTGAAGATGAATAAGAATTCGACCCAAACATTGAAAGTATAAGGTAGGCTAAACTGAGATAAATTACAATTCAATAATAAAAAGAATAGAATGACAAAATTAAAGTACTCGAAGTCCAAGAACAAGTGAAGCAATTGAAAAGATTAAATGTGGATTCCAAATCCAAATACACTTTTGATTATGAGGGCAAGGTTGTTGTCTAGAAACCTCCAGATTTTGAGAGATATCCAAAATCATTCTAAAATATCAGTGAAAAACGAAGTTTAGTGGAGGTGAGAGATCTTATCCCGAATCACAAGGTGCAATCAGAACTCATACAATTGACTAGTAAGAATAGTCAAAATATTGGATAAAACAATTAATTTGCCATTAAAACCTCAGTCTCCTAAATCGAATTGATGATCATGAAGGAAGGTGTTACATTCTATGATGGTAAACAAGAGAAGAAGAAAAACAGAACCTTTCCCTTGATGGATATCAAAGACCCCCTCTAACTCCAGTAAACATTGCAAAGACAAAATGTACAAATGTCTAAAATAGAATATGAATAAATTACCAGCACTTCTTAAAATAATAATAACTATCACAATAAAAAAATGAGTCTTTCAAATTCTTAATAATAATAATCACACTAATTTACAACTAGATTTTAGTAGCAAAATGATGATCTATAAAATATAAATGACAGTCTCGTAAGTTAGAGGGCACCTAAAAATCTGACCACCATGAATCATTCAATCTCGTCCTCAATTATATAAAAGTTGAATGGTTCCATCTCTATATTAAGTGAACAATAATTCGAGGAATTGCTCATTCCTTAAACTGAAGGTAATAGGGATCAAAGAGATCACCCCTTATTCCTCAAGAGAAAGAAGACTGAAGTGGAAGTGAAACCAGCAAAAACAATCCCAACCTTTGAATTGCCTCAGATACCTCCAAATATCTTATCGAATACATTGAGTAAATTGCCTAGGTCATTTCAGAGTCAAGGCACCTTTCCCAAATTAATTCCCAAGTTTCCCAGGCAGAGAATTTCCAAATAGGCTATCCAATTAAAAATTGAAACTTGATGTTGCTTATTAATATAATTAATATGATTATATAACAAAATGAAGAGCCAGACATTTTTTAAAGACAGGAATCGAATGACACCGAATAGAAACTAAAAAGTTCATATGTGTCTAACGATTTCAATGAGGCTGGGGGTGGGAGTCCATAAAACTCAGTGGATCTGAAGTAATTGCAAGCTCCCCAAATCAATCAAATACCCAAGGTTATGGTGAATGCGAGCAGTTATCAATCAATCCCTATGAGTTCCCAATTTCGATATCAAGAAGATCAATAATCGCAAAAGATGAAGACGGGACCCAGTGATCAATCAAAGATCACCCCAGGCTATACGAAATATATGATTGAGGAATCAAATTAGTAATATGATTACGTAAGAGGGATGTTCACAGAGGATGAAATTAAGGAGGCATTCAATTTCTTGGACATGAATAAGGACGGAGGGATAACTTCTGAGGATTTATCATTCTTCTTGGATTTTATTGGTGAGAAGGCAACATCTGAGGAGATAGAAGAAATGATAAGAATGTGTGACAAGGATGGGAGTGGAGAAGTAAAATTTGAAGATTTTAAAAATCTAGCTGGTGGCTGGTCATTGCCCACTTTAGGATAGGCTCATCCACCAACAAAGGAATTAGTGGAAAAGCGTACTTAAATCAATTAGACTATGATGGAGAAGGAGGTGTAGGAGGTTGCCAGAAAAGGTAAAATCACTCCTGACATGGTTGAACAAATAAGGAAGAATGAATTGACCAGTCCACGATTTGGTTAAGACGAATAGTCCAAACTTATGTTCTAGTCAATCAACAACATAGCATCTCAGAAGAAATAGAGACAAGTCATAGGGTAGAATCTCAAGGTAATTCGATCTGAAGAGGGTTAAATAACTCAATAGACGAAACAGAAGTCTTCGTTGAGTCAAAGGGAAATAATGCTGTAGAGGAAAAATAATGCGATGAGGTTCGTAAGAGAGAAGAAGATCGATCAAGCCTATATCTTGGATGTTTTTGAGAAAATTAATAAGCTAGACATCATGGAATCATGCACTTATGAGGATTTCATTCATTATCTGGACATTTTAGATAGTAACAATACAACAATATTAAAGATCACCAATCGAAATTGCTATTTAATTCAATGAATGAAAATCCAGTGAGGGAAGAATATGTTAAGAGTTCGGATAATGTCATCGTGGACTAGATTGTCAATTTGAAAAACACTCTTCTTACTTTGCTGGGTTAAACCAACTGCAGGAAACATGATAAACTTGAGATTGCGTACTTGCTCCAAGATTCGAATCAACAAGGGTACATTTTCTTAGATGATTTGATATCTTTACTAGTCAATTTGTATTGTATTTCTGAGGTTGGGATAATCGAGTAAAAGATATTGAAGATGACTGCGAAGAAGGGGTTGAAGAATAGAAAGGATACGATAAAGAAGGACATCTATATTAGTATGGTGAATGAATATGGATAAGTATTTGAACCAATTTGAAAGATTAATTATTATATATATATGTATGTTTGCTATTGAAATATTAATTTAAATCAAGCAATATTGATGTCATCAATTAAAGAGAAAAATATTTGTACTCATTATCACAAGGTGCTGCTTTAGAGATCCTTGCCTAAATTCTTTTAAGAAATATAGAAGTTATAAGTAGTTTATCATGGATTATTCAGGTGCTGTACTAAAAAAACAATTTAAAATGTGAATAATGCTAATATAAAATTGAAGTCGGGAATATCTGTTTAAGATGCTAGGCAGTCATTTGCGACTTGGAAAAGCAGTGTCTCCATCATCACAACCAATGTATGAAGTTACTCATAATAACACCTAGAGAAAAGCGATCATTGCATTTTCATTAATCTGCTTTCCACTTAAATGACGTGTATAATTTGTAAGTTGGAGATCTTGGACTTCGAACAATACGGATTAACAGGAAATGAAGATGTTTTTAGTTAATGGATTAATCCATAAAGAATTAGGATTGAATATCTCAGATACTTTTAAAAGCAGGAGTTAAGTATATAGAGATTTAATTCTCCCAATGTCGGCATCTTAAACATTGCTAATTTTAGCTTCATGAATAGTGTTTTATAAATTTTACTCAATTTTCCTACTATTTAATAAATTCTCTCCAAAGTGCATGCCGAAATGGAGAAAGGTGACTTCAACGTGAAATCCATAAAAAAAATAATACTCAGAAACATCTGTTGTATAAGTGACGCTCTCAAATCAAAATCAGTGAAATTGCTCAATCCCACAGAACTCATCAAAAGCATTGCCCAATCTGAAAGCAAATTGTTGGGCTATGGCCAAAAAGACGCTTACGTAAGTATCCACCATTAATAGTACATCAGGAGGCATTTAAATATTTGATCAATTTTTTGCATGAGGAATTTCGATATACCAACAGTGTTTCCTATTGGAAAAACATCATCCCATTTTTGAATCAAGAAGCAATCCCACACGATTGGCTATTATTGTAATTGTATTAATTCAATAGGGGGGATAGAAGTTAAGCATCAAAATTTCGGGATTATTCGTTCATCTAGAATGTCTTCTCTGGAGAACTGCAATCAACGTTGCAATGTCTGAATTGCAATCGACTTACTCTGGTGAATGAAAACTACTCAGCCATATCACTAGAGATCCCCTAAATTAACGAATAGAATGTCATCTCTAAATTCTTCAATAAATTAACAAAAGATAGACAAGATGCCGTTACATTACAAAATTGTTTAGATTTGTTTTATGAGCCCATTTAAGAAATTAATTTTCTATGTCTATGTGGATCGCGAAATGGTAGAAGAACATATAAATTTAGCAAATTTTCTAATATCCTTGCTATCCACATATAAAGATTCAAAAATAAACATTAAAAAGATCAAACTTATGTGTCTTTTCCAGTGGAACAAACCAACTTCTCCAACTTACTGAATGTATTAATACTATCCTATTGAAAGATGCAAGGAGATTTGAACTATCAACTTTTTGGATTGATTGTTCATTATAGCAATGTTGGTGGTGATCATTTCGAATCCATAGTCAGACAACCTAACAATACCTTCATTTCAATCAGAGATGATCAAATTAACCCAGTCACTCTCAAATACGTAAAGGAGAGTGAAGCTCTTATGCTCTTTTATCAAAAAGTAGATTCACCCACTAATTACAAAACTATTCACAATGTCTTAACTTAGTATGAACTAATTTAAACTGGAGAAATAGTATTAAAAGACGATGAATTAAGCTTTTTGCCCAATTTCTGGTTTGAACAATTTTTGACTCTAAGCAATCCTCAAATGATCATCACATCGCATTTGCTGTGCTTTCACAATCAATTGAAACCTGACTATTGGGACTTTAGACAATCCTATGAAAACGTTAGTTCACAAGAACAAATGAACACTAGCTTTGTCTGTGATCAAAGTATTATTTTGTAGCAAAATAACAACTCCTCTTCTTACTTCTAGTTATAACTCTAATCTGTCTAATTGCCAACTGCCATATGCTAATTCTTAGTTGAAAAATATGGCGGGGGCCCTTTAATATAAAAGACTATCTAAACTTGCACCGTTTGTATTGAACAAGCTCAGAACATGAGTAAGAGAAGAAAATTGGAGAGAAGCTTGATTTAAAAATATGAGAATTGCCAATCAGATAGACAATTCATCATCAATCTGGATTGGATACTAATGTGGTAAAGGTACCTCTACAATTCAAAATCTCAACTGCAAAAGAATTTCATATTTGGCAATCCTCCTCCTGGGGAAATCAATAATTTACCACTTCTGGATGGCAATCATCAACTGCTCCAAGACAAATAGATTGAGAAGGATTACAGTCTCATAAGTGAGTAATTATGGACAGTGCTAGTTTCAATTTATGGCGGAGGTACTTTATATTAAAAGTGTATTGTAGGTCCCATTATTCAAGTAAGTTCATCTTCTATTGAATAAGGCAATTCTAAATTAAAGTAAATTGAGTTAATATATGTATTAGAGCATTCGATTTAGATCTTGAAGACAATATTAAGGTTAAAGAAATTAGGATAATTTTGAATCAATGCTTCAAGATGTATAATATTTGCGAAAATATAGATTGTATATGAATCTAAAAATCATTATCATTATTTAAATATTCTTATTCTCAAAATTTAATCAATATTCTATTACACATTTGTCACATGTTCATCGACTTATAAACTACAGGCTATATATTTCTATAGAGTGTTTTCCAAAAATTATCTAATATGTATGTTTTTTAAATTATCTTTACATTATCATTGAATTTCATTTATAATAATGACTATTACTATTTTTATTTGATAATGTTATTCCTAATGAATTAAGAAATTTAATTTAATAGAAAAAACAATAATTATTGTAATTAAATTATGTTCCCGTATTCTCAACCTATTTATTATGTTTCCTTTTTAAATAAATGAGATATTTAATTTTCTTCTATAGAATTATTGTATTATAAATATTTTTATTTTTTAATATCATTTCTAAATCATGATAAATACATACACATTCGAAGTACAAACAACCAATGGTCAGATGGTTAAAATCACTTGTTTATAAAATATGATGGACTTTAAGAGACAAGTTTCAGAAAAGGAATTAACTATTCCTTTTGACCATTTAATTATTGTAGATGATAATGATTAAGTTTATAGCTAAACCAATTTAGCTTAGAAATATTAAAATAAAACATAATTTAGGGTTTTTGATTCAAACACCCTATTTAAATAAAATCAATTTCTCTTATAGGAAAATGAAAAATTGAAAAATTATGCAAATGAAGAAATACAAAGATTAAATTAAATAAATTTATAATTAGAGGAGGACAAGAAATTACAATTTGAATAAATTAAATCTTAATATTAGAACACTATGGAAGATGTTTAAAATGAGAAGGTAAGTCAAACTCAAAAAATGTAGTAATATATATAGAATTTAGAAAATGAATTTCAATAAACAAAATAATAGGCTACTAATGATAAAGTAAAATTTGAAAAATAGATTCTTGAATTGAATAACTAAATAAATCAATAAAAAAAAGATATTGAAAATCTGAATTTAAAAATCAAAAGTATTCAAGATGAAAAATTAGAATAAGAGAAAAAATATTAAGAGGCTTTTTAATAATAAGCTTAATTAGCTCAATAAGAAATCTATTAATATTAGACTTAGATTACATAAATTTCAAGCTAATTAAATGAAGTCTGTTAATCGTATCAAATGTATGGTTCATAAGCTTCTTAGTATATGCAATAATACGCTTAAAAAGTCTAAGAATTAGAATAATAAAATAAAGACAGTGCTCAAGAGGTTGAGAAGTTAAAAAATGATATAAAAATATAAAAATCATCAATAAAAGAAAAACAAAGTTTAAACGATGATAAAGATCTAAAAATTCAACAGCTAGAAATTGATTTGTAATCTCTAAGACACAAACTTGGATAAAAATGAATCATATACAAAAATTATTAAAAATTTGTCAACAATGGTCTATTATTATTTATTTACGTGTAAGAGATAGTTAAATAGGATGACCAACAAATATAATAATATAACTAATTTAAATATTAATATAAATAATCAAAATCAATTTTATAACGAATATGTTAATTCCCCATGCAGAAGTATGTCATCCTTCAATTATTAATTAGAGAAATCCAAATTATTTAGAGGACACTGAGAAGACAATAAAGAAAGAAAAGAATTATAGAAACTTTTAAATTTACTAGAAACCCAAGCCAAAAAAAGAATAACCCAAGCCTCCTAAAAAATTGAAAACAAGGGAATTATTTGATTTCTTGAATATTTGGGATTGCGAAATCGGAAAACGACACAACTATCTTACTTAGTTCAATCATTATCTAATATCAAAGAGAGAGACAATTGAATTGGAAGAAATTGAAAAAAAGATGAAGAAACCAGATTTCATTAAATTTTTTAAATATCTCAAAGACAAAGAACAAAAAAGTGAAGATGAATTGCTTGACCACGATGTTAATTTGCAAATTGCCTTTACTGCAAAATAACGTCGAGATTTAAATGCTCAGGAGAGATTGAAAAAAAAGCACTCATATCCTTAGGCAAGACCAAAGGACATATTGTTACCTGCCTCATTCAATCCCGATTTCGAAATCCCCACTCCTTCGCCTGATGACTTTGTAATTGTCACACATTTTTATAATTAATTTTTGGAATACCCAAATAAGTCCATTCCTAAATCAGTATTATGCTCATACATGTTGGAGAATAGGAAGTTTTGTGATGCTTATAACATTAACAAGAATTTGCTAGAAGATTAATTGAATGAATTTCCCACTTAATTTGAGGAAGAAATAACATTAGAGGAATTTATTAACTTCACATTATATCCCAAGATCCTAATTATAAAGGATAATTACGACTTGAATTTGTTGAAGCCTGTTAAAGGAATTTAGGAATTCGAGGAATCATAGAAATCAATATTGCTAAAAGTTTATGATGAATTCAATTTAGATTGCGAAGAAAAAGTGAATCCTCTAAAACTAATCGCTTCAATTAGGACGAGATATGAAACAAGAATAAAGCTGTTTGATACTTTTATTTCGTTTAAAGAAATTAATAAAAATATACCATTTGAAAAGTGGCTATATGAATTTGAAGTGTATTGTTAAAGATTAGATTTGGAATCCATATCCAAATCTTATTTTAGGGAATGGCAAAATTAATTATTTGAGATACCAAACAAATTTATAATCTTAAAATCATCGTAGATATCAAAAAAGAGGAAGTATGATAAATTGTTTGAGAATGAAGAAATATCGCTTTAATCCAATTTCTTTAGTGAATTGGAAAAGATTTTCAATCAAATAAGGAAGAGCAATGAAAGATTTTCATAAAAGAAATTGGTCGTTGATAATTTGATTGCCAATGAAGACTTTTCAAGGAAATTCTTCAAATTGAGAGTCAGAAGAGAAAAAACCAATCAATTACCTATAGAAACTGTAGAGGAAACTCTTAATCGAATATTGCAAGAGGCAGATGAATACATCGATTTAGATGAACTTATAGATTTCTTCACCATAAGAGGTCGTCCTTTGATATTGAGTTAGAAATTAAAGCAATAATACACTCTAAATAAGAAGTAGAAGGAGAACCCTGTTGAAAACACAAAGTTTGGAGCTATAAATAAAATTGATAATGGATTTTTTTTAATTACAGTACCTGATGGTAGGAAGGAAAATGAAAATTAAGCGAAATCCATTAGGTAGAAGGAAGTTGAAAAGATGTTAATAGACAAGGAGAAAGATTTATTAAAAGAGCTCAATACTCGGTTTTAAGCTAATCCAGTGCCATGGTATGTTAAGGAACCTTTGTATGATCAATTGAATAGGGAGAGAGAGGAGAGAAGGGAAAGAATAAAAGAGGAGAGCAAAGCTCGATTAATGCAAAGTATGATGGAACCTAAAAGCTTTGAAAAACAGAAGAAACAAATATTGCCACCAGAAGAAGATATTGAATTCAAATTCATGTCTCGACCTGTACCAGATAGCACAAGAGATCCAAGATTTAAAATGATAATGGAAGAGCAGAGATCCAGATCGAAGAGCAATGTAGAAAAGAAAAAAGCATAATGGGCTGATTATTTCGCAAATTCAACCTAATTATAGAAAACTTTAGAGAGGGAAGAGATTAGAAAATCCCTTAAAAGGGTTCAGAATAAGAAGAAATATAAGCCAGAGAGTTTTGAAAAGTTCAGAGCAAAGAGTTTACCTAATTTTGAAAGACTTCACACAGTTTTTGAAAATATCGTAGCTTCAAGAAAAAAATCCTTTGTCCCAACTATTCCATGTTAGACTAATCTATCGATAACTCATAGAACAGTTGATTGCACAATGTTAGATTCTGAAAATTAGTCAAATATAAAGGGGAAATAAAAGATTGCTGACATAGATAATAGATTAAATAGTATTCTTAAGAGTTCTCGTCCAAATATTATTAAAACTAAGTCTTCAGCTTCAATTAGCAAGTATAGACGTAAGTAGAGATATGAGAAGGAGCAAAAATAACAGTTAATAAATGATGAACTAGAGCAATGGAAGGAGGAAAGAAAGTAGTTGTTGCCTAAGGGAATGAAAGTATCTAATCCAGCTGTAATATTTATATAATAACAATTCATAGGCTGAGCAATAGAAATTACTAGATTAAGAGCTGGAGGACTTGGTAAAATGGAAGAAGAAGTACCATAAAAACTTGGATAAGGATTATTAGAATGATCTAAAGAAAATGTAGAAAAGAGTTTAAAAGAGGAAACTCTTGCGATTTTAATCAGATAAATTCGATGACTAAGAGGATTCTAGTTCTTAGTCATCCAAATCATCTGATAGAAGTTAAGAAGTTCATCACATTGACAAATTTTTATGACTTTAAACTAAGTTAAATTATATTATTAAATACTATGTTACTATAAATAAAGTATCATTTAAATAATAATTATCATTGTTGTTATTATTTTGTAGATTCTCTTGGAGAAAGAGTTAATTATTCATCGGAAAATATACTTCCAACAAAGTTTTTTGCCCTTGTGCTCATAGGTTGTTAGGTTTCAAACTGTTAGGGTTGTTGCGATAACTTTTTATTGGCTATGAAGTAGGGTTGGAGGGGGATTGTAGTTTTGGTTGAGTTTTAAGAATTCCCGATTCTTGAAGTGAATGGTTAAGCAATATTGGTTGGTGACTTTTGGTTCTAACACGCTTGAGGGGTGGATACTTTATTTACATTCCTAGTTGAATCTGGTATTTGTAGCATTTTGTTATCGATGATACTGTTTTGAATTTCTTGAGACAGCTTTTTATTTTCTTCGAACCAAAATGGTTATTTAACAATGTTTTACTAGTCAAAATACTTTCTATTGTTATATAAATATTTAATTTGAGTGGAAGAGTTGATCGTAACCCAATATATCTGTTGGATCGACAGCAATTGTTGCAGGGGCATGAATCTAAAAGAATCAAGTAGTTTGCACAACTAAAATTATCAGATGATGATAGTACTTCTTGTGTAGCAAATTTGTACATTACCATGCAATCATTCCAAAGAACGCAGCTAATCTCAATGAATATATTTTTGCAATCTTGATTTTCTAATTGTTTTAAAGTGTTTATGCAAATATTCAAAATCTGAATGCATTGATTCAACAAGTTGTGCAATTTAAATAGATATAGTATCTTCTGTTCTATTGTTATGCACCCTGTTTACTATTGCATATGCAACTCTAGCTTCTTTTGTTGATAATTTCTGTATTGCAAATTGGTATCTCTGAAATTATTGTTCTTTTTCAAAATTTGAAATTATTGAAACTATTGATCTCTTGTATTCTCTGAACATTGTGTGTAGGTTTAATCTTAGTCAAAGATTGGATATTGCCCTATTTTACAGGCGTAAAACAATTTTAAATTTTATGCTAGTTTCAACAAATACATGAGATAGTTTTAAACAAAATTACTGAATTGTTGATTTTCTTGAATGCGAAGTGATGACCCTTCTTTTACCATTTCATCTGCAATAGAATCTCCAATTTAGAATTCGTAGAGAATTAAATGGATAGTTAAAGTAATTTTAATAGCAATGAAGCCATTCATTGGTTTATTGGTGATCGCTTTGAAAAACTATTGCAAGTATTCTTACCCTGTAAGATAAATTCCATTGCATTCTGGACCAAACCCTTCAAAGCATTCTATCAAATACAATATATCTGTCATCAAAATTATAGGATTATTCTACATTATGGAACAACTATTCAATTTTTGCACAAATGGTGTATGTTACTTCGAAACCAAGGAAGATAATAAATTCGTAATCGATTTCATCAATAATTATTTTTATATTATTATTATTCAAAGGAGAGTCACAGAATACCAGTCTTATTACCGATAATAAAGAGAGCCATGTGATTATTGCCATTTTTAAAATGAATGAAAATATCAAACTAATCTATCCAGTGACAGCAATCTGATTTCTCCTTGATTAATTATAGAAACGATCAAATACATGCCATCTGCAAAGACTTCCTTTGGCAACACAAATGCAACACCCATGTCAATTCCAGAGTGCTCAAAAGAGAGTTCGCCCTATTGATTCAATACCATCTTAGCCTGAAAATTCTCATCTTGCACTTCATTACCATACTTTTCTGCTTGACTACTGCATTTAAAACCTCCAAATATCCACACGAAAGACTGAATATTATTATAAATTCGATTACATTTTGTTGTCTATACCATAAATGATTATTCTTTAGCTTCTCTTGAGATACCCCTATCACTGCTCTCCATTGATTAGGTCGTTTATTAATATTCAAAGCCTCGAATCGCAAACAAAATGGGGCTTTTATTTTATGCATCGAATTTACTGATAGCCACTCTCTACTTTCAACACTCTTAGACAAAGATGTCCTCCATCCATCCAAATATGGGATTTGCTGGCTATCCATCTTTTTATTAGTCAAAGCCAACTCATCTTTTAAGTGTTTAATTTATTATTAAAGTATTAGGAAATGCTTAAAATTAGATACATGTTCTTCTAAGTTGACTTCCTTGATTTTCTCACTGCAACCTTCAATTGGACATTAAATTTTTCTATAATAAATGGATAATTAATACTTTTAAGGACATATCGTTTAATGATCATTATAATCCATAAATACTATTTCCTTTAAGCAATCTTCACATTTAATCATTCTGCCTTGACAAACCTCTGAATGTTGATTCTAATTAGATCTAATTAAAATTTCTTAACACTTTTCGCACTTAATTTATTAATGTTCACATTCATGCTCTATATGCTATTGAAGAGATGCTCTTTTCATCACCACATTACAATTTTTATTGGAGCAATTCAACTATTTTTCAGGACATTCTTTTTCATCGTGTGTCCAATATTTGTCTAAGGATCCCTTCCAATTACACTTCAATAAACACTATTTCAATTCTAGTTCATCAATCATATTTTTAATGGGTATTGCTTTAATTAATTAATTTTCATTTAATGGCTGCTTGTTGATGGGACATAGCTTCTATTTTTTGAGCCAATCCGTGATGCATCCATAACAAAATACATGTCCACACTAATCAAAAACTGGATTTCTAAGAACTCCCAACCCTATTGGACAGGTTAAGCCGGTCAATTATTCATTTACAAATAAATCTGAATCATAACATGTTTCTGATTAATTCATTTTAAATTAGATTAAAATATATTATTTCAGTATTTGTAATACCATCGTATACACAAATTTCAAATAAAATTTGAAATTCCAGCAGGAAAAGCAGTATTATATTGGAATCGAAAATAAATTTATTATGAATTGATTTCTAATACTCATTCTATTTGAATTAACTATAAATATATAAATATAATTTAAATGACTCGATTTGTAATCATGGTCTATGTTTGGGGAATTCAATACTCCAATTAGGAGAATTTTGAAAACTCTTCAAATATATCGGCTCTCATTGCAACAGGCATACAGGAACCGTCAACTTATAAAAATTGATTTAGGAAATTATCATTCTCCTCGTCTCTTCGAGGAGTGTAATTAAATTAGTTATGACTATTAGCTTAACTGTGAATATGGCTTTCAATCGATGAAAAATGAGCAGGAAGATGATCAAGTTTTGCAAACTCATTTTCTGATGATTCTATGAACATTTTATGAAATTGTTCTAACTATTGGGCATCGTGAAGATTGCTAATCACACTGAAGTTGGGCTTATCAGATTATAGTGATTGCAATATGGAATGCATGCCGGATTAAGATTATTCCTCCTATTATTATATTGATTTATTTTATTAAATTTGTTCGATGATTTGTGGTTCAATATCTTCAATACCTGTTTCAAGAGTATTTTGATTTTGTAAAAGTTCAACTTGATCATCCTCTTTAGTGAGTTGTCTCCTTTGATTTGGTACTATATAATAAGGATTTTCTTGCTTGGCATAATTCTTTCTTATATATCCATAAAATCTATTCTTAATCATGTTCTCCTAAAAAGGGAATAAACTAAAATTTTACTGGCCTTCCTCTTAGTTTCTTTGCCATCTCAGACCATCTGGATCCTATCTTTTTGTATAAGGTCCATATTTTTAAATCTTCTTATTAACTCCATGCCTTGGTGTTTATATGTGGGTCAAGATGATTTATATAGCGTTCTCTAATTTGCCTTCCAGTTCTATTTGAGAGAAAACGAGCAATCACCTTCCAATCAAACCTATATTCTTTCGTTAACCTCTTAACTTCTTCATCTTCTTCAGGTGTCCATTTTTGATTTTTTTCTCCCTAACAATCGTAGAAATTCAAAATTACATCGTCAGGCTTGACTCTTTTCCATCTCTAAGCACATTAACTGGCATTTCGCCCATCCAAATACTCAGCAATCAACTTCCAATCTGATCCATGCAACTAAACTGTTGATTTTAAAATATTATCTTCCTCCTCAGTCCAATATTTTCTAGATTTATTAGAATTTTTGTATTTTTAGCAATTATTTTAATCTTTACTAATCCTCTTCTTGATCATGTAAAAAAATAATTAATTATTTATTTATGTTGTTAAGTTGTATTTAAATCCCAAAGGAAGTATAAGTATAAAACAGAATAAAACGGTAATGTATAAGTCACTCTACCTAAATTTCGAAGTTAGTAGGTTATTCAAATTAAAAATAATACATATTTATCTGACTTACAAAACTATTTACTTACTCACTACTTAGTCTTACCACAATCTGTTATTTCCTAACTCAATTAACGTACTTTTATTCCATATTTACTCTTTTTGTCCATCACAACTCATTAGGTCGCATTTTCAAAAGAACTTTATACTTCACAAAACAACAAAATTATTGATTTTCAAAAAAAAAAACTGCCAACCAAAGCTCTCCGATAATTTGATAATCTTTATCTCCTACACTCCTGATCAGTAATTATGTGTGTTTTTCTCGTCTTACTCTAAATATACTTACAAAATTAAATTTTTTATATAGTTAGAATTTAGACTGAGAATGCAAAATTTACTAGTATATTTTAAATTATATATTTTATCTATTAATGCTTAACAGTTTATATTATTTTGACAATTCTTTCTATTCCTTTCACCAATCCAGCATTGGCAGTTTTATTTGCTATTAGGATAGTACAAATTAACACTTTTTCGATTAAGATTTCACAACTACGAAAAATGGTCAACGCTAACATATTTTTATAGTAAATAATCCCTTTTTCACCTCAAATTAAACATAAACTTAATCCTATTTTCTTAAATCATTGGGATTCCCCAAATTTAAGGGGTAGAATGGATTATAAAATCCATCTTCTAAATACACAATTTTATATTATAAATAAATATATTTTTAGAATTGCAATTATAATAAACAATATTTTTATGCCATTCATTTTCAATTAGATTAACAACTTAATTTATCTAATTCAATTCATTTTTTAAGAGAAATTGTAAATAGGCATATTGATTTCAAATTACATATTGAAAATTATGTTAATTAATCAACATGTAAAGTAGCAATACTCCAACAAAACATCATCTCAATTACATTAAATCAATTATAAATACTTTTTTCTTAACTAATAAATGAACTTCAAATATAAGAAATAAAGTTATGTTCTATGGACATTCAAAAAAATAACTAAGTAGTCTTGTAAAAACTATAATTTCTAAATGATTTAAATACAGATAATGAGTTATCAGTCAAATAAGACAGTCTAATTTAAGTACATGAAAAAATTATATTCTTCAAGTCTTATATTCTAAATTATCAAAATGGAACTTAAATGCTATGTTAGTGCATAAATGATTAGTTATACTAAGTGGAATACTTCTAAAAGTTCTTTCATCATTTATAGTTAATCCTTTCTGATTTCATGTTTGATAATCAAGTTTCCACAAAAAGAACTAATTGTTCAAAAATCCAATAAACTCAATGAACATGAAGATTTTATCATCAAATATGATGTTTATATTGAAGGAGGAGGAAAAATAAATCTGTTTTACATTTAAAAATAAGATAGGTTTACACAAAAAATGAACTCTTCTTAAAGTCTTTAGTTCTAATTGTCAAAAGAAAGATCTTCAAATGTAGAATTTAAGGCAAAAAAGTAGTATATCATAGCTTAAACAAGTTAGTTCATGTTTTAATTAACATCATAAATTATTTTTATCACATTCTATAGTTCTTAGTTTAATAATAATATGAAAATTATTATTAATTTCATAGAATGTGAGATTGGGATATATCTATATTTATCATTCTGTTTCTTCAATTAATAATTGACAACACAACCAATCCATTTTTTTTAACTATTGTTTGGATACAATAATAAAAGGTCAATATTTCAGAAAGTCATCAAAATGATTGAAAAAATAACAATTATTGTAGTTTGTTTTAATAAATAATGATTGTGCTGCTAATATAAAATAATTTTATTTTTTTTAATTTGAGAAACTTTGAATGGGAGTGGATTTGTGCTCTTAAATACCGACAGAGTGTTTTGCTATTATCATTATATAATCTGGAGCTATAATAATTTTGATGATTTTGATATTATTGATGTATAGATATCAAATTGTCCATCAATTGCATCCAACTATGATCGTTGATGTAGAACCAATTAAATTAGATAAACTTTAGAACATAGCAAATTGTGACATGTCATACGATTCAACTATGCATTAACAATGACATTTTTATCTACTTTTATTTAAACAATTTAATATTAGAAGCTTATTTAAAATGTTTTAGTCCTTTGATTCCGTCATGAGATAATATCCAACGTTAATAATAAGATAATATAATATACATTAAATATTTTAATTATTATTTGTTCAGACGAGATTTTCTTTTGCAATCAGCTATCTTAATTGCCTTTCAAATAAGTCATCAATGAATAATGCAGCCTATGGTAATAAGATGGTTAATTTCTTAACATTTTAAAATTCGTTCAAGTAATGGCCTCTAACAAATAACAGGATTAACCCTATTTTTAGAAAAGTGAACACTAAATATATAATGGAAACAATCTAAAATAAGATTCTAGAATTACCTAAATGGTCATATTTAGTTGATCAGCCTATTCTGAGAGTCCTGTTTTTATAGTTTGCAAGACATTCATAATAATCACACTCAAATAAATTCCAATTTCTATTTCATTAAACGGGGGATTGATTCTATAAGTAAATGATTGGGAGTTGTTCATTTCAGTTAGAAGGATGTTTCTGATTTTAGTGATTGTTATAGATAGACCTCTATCCATGACATTGTCATAGATTTGTTTGCACAAATACTGTTGCTGCAAATCAAAGGTTTTGGCAATACTTTCATCTTCACATAAGGTTTCATTATTCAATTACAATAAAGTTTCATCATTATAATTACTCTCAAGAGAGGTGTATGTTTATAAGTAATTACTCATAATATCTAAACTACTCTGTATGATATTTAAATATTGATCAGTTAGATTTTATGACATGTATTGATATCCTGCAAAGTTATTACTTTTAAAGTATAACACTTCTCTTAAACTGTATGCTTTAGGTATAGATAAACCAAGCTCACCAATTGAGTTGTATTGTTAACTCTTCATTTGATAGTAGTCCATAAAATTGATCCCTTGCATATTCATTGTGAATGAAAAAATAAAGAAAACACCAAAAAGCGATGCAAAAAATAGAAAACTGCCTAATCTACTCATAAATAGTTTTTATTTGGTATCCAATTTAACGAATCCTGCTCTCTTGATCTTGTCTTGAATAATGTGTTTTTTAGAGAGTTCACTTTTAAAGAATCTTTCCTTCAAAAAGATATTAAATTTATATCTAAACATTAAATTAGAATCCTTATTGAGTAAACTAAGTAATTCCTTGCATCTTTCCAAATCTCTTAACACCCAAACAACATCCACCTTCTAAAACAATTTTAGCAATTTGGAGTATTTACGCATATGTTTCATGTATAATAGCCAAGAAGATATTTGAAATAATAGAATTAAATATGTGCATCTAATACATAGAACAATCCACTTGTGTTATAATAATAGATTGCTATCACTAATATAAGTGATAATTTCTGTATTTAAGTTCAGAATTTCATCGTTGATATCATTCAAATTAACAATATAGGATATTAATTATTACATCATTTCTTCCAGTCCATTCTCTTAAATGAATATAGTCTAAAAATTATACTGATATTGAATGATCTGAAAAATTGCTTCACGCATTGAAATTTGTTCAGATGTAAATTAACTCTCTTTTAGATGTTGAAAGTCCAAGAGAGTAGAAGATAGGTCTTATTACAGTAAATTACCTTTAGATTGATTGCCATAACTCTATTTGATATTCACAAAGGATTGGTTAATGATGTATTGATTGTATTGTGTTAATGATTACAGGTTTTATGTTTAATTTTGATCGAAGGTCCCATTTTTATAATTGTAAGTGGATGCAAATGATGATAAAAATAAATAACAGGGATTCATGAAAGAAGTGTAAAATTCCAACATTTGTAATTAGCTTAAGGCACTATAAATATCAGTACTTGAATTATTGATAAGGACGATAGCAAAGATAATTGAAATCAAGGATATAATTAAGAGAGAAAATACCATAAGGTCAAAAATAATTGAAAATTTGACTGATTAAACAATTTACTGGAGCAATTCGTACTTTTTAAAGAGTTAAAAGTTTTAAGAAAAGGTACCCAAAGTACTAGAGGCAGCATTATCTAGATTAAGTTTTCTGGCATGAATGGAAGTTTAATTTTCATCGTTTAATTGCTATCTCAAGTTTTCTCTGATTTCAGCATTTTATTAGTTTTATTCATAATTTAGTTTTGCAAATCCCTTTTCAGCTCCTGATTGATTTGATTGAGATTGCTCCTTTTCTTTTTCTTCAATCTGATTCTAAAAGAATCTTTGTTGTTAACTGAAATTTATTTAATGAGTTGCAAAACTGGTTGTTTTATCAATTAATTGTCTGTTGCTTTTTCCAGGACTAATTAAATCATATTATTATATTGATTCTGAAAGCAATTGTCTCTATTATAAAGACAGCACTCTATTAGTATCAATTTAATCGATATGTTCAGGTATTTCTTCTTAAATATAACAGTAAATTTAAATCTCAGGTTCCTTTTTTAATTTAGGAAATAAATCATTATTAAATAAATTAGGCTATTGAATATGCAATTCTTCTATAAACTCGTAACATTCTTGTTCAAAATTCTCCTAATCAAGAGACTCCTATTAAATCGATTTCTTTGATTCTACAACAGTTTTGATCTCTATTATTGAATGAGTCAACCTAATTGTGACTACAATATTTGCATAATAGAATCTGGTGCATTCAGGGTTCTTCTTCAATTACTCTACATAAGTTTAGAGTGACTTTTAGCCAGTTGGAGTCTTATCATTGAATACAATTTAGACATTGGAAAAAGGTTAACTTTTATCAATTTTATTTTGATCAATTAATTAATAGTATTCTGGTATGATCTATTGGATCTCAGTTAAATAGAACATATCTGGTACTCTTTCGTATTCAAACTCTTACAATTTTAATTGTTTACATAATTCTCTGGTCACACCTAAGATTAAATGTTTATTATTCAGAATCAGATAAGAGTTCGTACCATTGGTTTCTGAGAAAAACACTTAAAAGGTCAATTCTTATAATTTCGTAAGATCAAAATCAAAGAAAAAGTCAACAGGACTTAAGAATGAGTCTCTTTGCAAAATTAAATTCACATTTTATTCCCTAAAGAATTTTGATCTCCCCGAAATCAAGAAATCTTCAATAAGATGTTTATGAATAGTTGAGAATCCTCTAGGTAATAGGGACAGTATTGATTTGACTTCTTTAAACTCCTATTACTCATATTCCACTATCTTATGCATTTAGTGTGATCTTTCAACTATCTACAAACCTGTTCCTTAATGATCCATTACTAAGATCATATAATGTAACTGAGTGCTTAATAAGTCCACTTAATAGTTCTTTTAAATCTTAATTAAGGCATTATCAGAAATTGCATTATAATTGATAATCCTATAAGCTTGCAGAAAGTTACTCAAAATTTCTGCACAATAAAATGAATATATAGACTGCATTTTTTTACTTGGAAATTCTTAAAACAAATGCTATAACTCATTTTCCATAATGTTGATTTTTCTTATCAAATCTAAACATTGTTGCAGGAATCTTTCAGGATTCAGCTTTGTAGTTGATGACATCACCATAAAGATGTCTTTCTTCCTATTGATTATGTTAACAATATTCTGTTTTAATTGCTGATGCTACTCTTCAACCTTCATAAATAATTGTACACTTTAGCTTAATTGTGTTTTTTAGACTACATTTCCAAAACTAAAGCTTGAAATTAGATTTTATTTGGCTATCTCCAATATTATGCTGAGTTTGATGAGATTGATATAGCTGATTTAGTTTAGGGAGATCTTTTCAAGTCTGTGGATCATATCTGAGTTGCTCTTCTTCTTATACACATTCTGGTTCTCCTCAACTGTTACTGAATAGCTGGTTTGTTCACTGAAGATATTCTGCTAATCACTGATTTAATGCACATTTTATTTGAGTAGTAAGATATTGGTTTGTTGATAAGCCTTCACCGATTGATTAATTGCAATAAGACTCTGAATATAAAATAAGGAGAAGAATGCTTTCGAACTCTAATCAGCCAATCTGTTTATGGACTTCCCGAAGTCCAATATAAGTTGTTTAAGGTAGAGTTACCTTAATTTAATGTCATTTTCCATTAAATTTGTCTTCTTGCATGAACAGGATTTGTCTTGGCAATTGTTCCTATGGTGAAACACAAACAAGGAGAGACTGAATTATTAAATGCAATTCAATTAATCTTTTTATGAAAATACTGTAATTAAATATTGGAGGGTGTCTGTAGATTAATTTTCAGGAAGTAGGACCAGCATATTAAAATCTGTTTTCTTCTTTACTTGTTACACTATTGCTATCACTAAACTTGGGACAACCACTACTATGATGATTAAATTCTATTTATCTGAAATGAAATCATTTCCTATCAAAATTATTGATATCAAGATGAATGCCACATTCAAATTGATCAAGTAATCCTGCATATCACAGGCATATTGGTACTTTGATAACAACTAATTTAATTTCAGTACAGTTGAAATTATAAACAATACAAAGATCAAGTAGTTTCTCAGCTTGGTGTCTAAGTTTATACAATCCAATATTACGAAAATGTAAATTAAGAACATATAAAAGTAGTCTAAGCCTTGGAATATTAGCACCTTAAAATTGAACAGTTGCAGTGTGATGGCTTCCTTCACCAACATCATATAGAGTAATTGTATCCAAAATACTAGAATTAAGGCTATCATTGAAAACAGAGTATTGATAAATTCTACAGCTCCAAAAGAGTCACTGTTGATGTTTTTTTGGAGCGAATAACACGCCAATTGGATACAGGGAATACAAAATAGTTTGTCAAATAATGCTATAAATATTAAATTTAAGGCATGAAAAATCAGTTTAATATTATTGCTTTTGAGTACATATTCCATAAGGCTTTTTTAAGATTGGATCGAAAATTAAAAGTAAGTAAAAAACTGATGGATTATATATAACGATAGAATTGTTAGTGGAACAGTGTAAGAATATAAAAAAAAGTTATCTTGAACAATTAATTTATATGGCCTTGAAACAATGGAAATAATGTTCAGTCCATAATCAATATTCATTATTGGTAATTAAAGTAATTCTTCGTTCAAATTTAATACGATGATTCCAAACATCTAAAATTCTGAGATCAAATGAATCAAATATAACCATAATTTGTTTAAGTTAATAAAATTCATTTCAAGCAAAATGTGATAACTCGCAACATAATAGTTAAAGTTTTTCAATTAATTAAATTGCTTCATTTCGTACAATTTTGTCTAGCTAATTCTTTATAAATTAATTTAATATTAATTCAAAATGTATAATCAATATACAATGAAAAAATTTACAATTTATTATCCAAAGGCTTATACGCTAATTGTTTTCTACAATAAAATGTATTTTAATATAAATGATGATTATACTTGAAAAAAAAGAACTAAAAATAGAAGAATGAAAATCATTTACCTACTTTTTTTGGGTAGAATAGTGGAAATCAATGTAAAGACAATAGATAAGACTGTATATTCATGTAGTTTGCAAATCAAGATGGTAAAAATAATGTTGTCTAAATACTTATTAAATAATTTCAAAATCAGTTTGCATCCAAAAATATGATGAAAAAATCATGAGATTGGATTGTACTGAGTATTCTACGCAGATTAGATCCAAAATATTGTCATCGACATCGTGATAAATGAGTCATTTTTTAGTTTGAATTTGCTCTATTCTAATAATTTATTATCTACAGTTAATTAAGTCTCATTAATTTTTTATTAGATAATCATTTCTAAATCTTTTATACATATTTAATATTATTTTAAAATGAAATCTGCTTCTAAATCAGCGTCGATGATCATCACAATGTTCACGTAGCAGAAGTAAAGTTTAAAATTAATTATGTAGTTAGGAAATGCAACTTGCCTAAGCCAAAAAGGAATTTGATGAGATGGCTAAGGAGATAGCAGACCGAAGAAAGAAATTACTGTTCTAACTTGAGAAGGGCAAAAAAAAGGAAGTAGAAAAAGTTGATGCTTCAAAAGCAGAAAAATTCAAAACAATGGTAGTGTTTTAACTAACAAAATAGGACGAGCACAGAATTCCGTTAGAGGAACTTGAATAGAGGTTTCAAACAAGTGCAAAGACAGGCCTAACGAGGGAAGTGGCGGATCAAAAACTAGTGGAGCATGGAAAAAATTAATTGAGTTAAAAAGAGAAAGAGCCTTGGTATATGAAGTTAATTCATGAGTTGACATCAATGTTTGCTTGGTTATTATGGGCTGGAGCAGCATTATGCTTTCTGGCTTATGGTCTAGCACCAGAAGATCCTTCTAACGTATTTAATATTATATTACATCATTAGCTGTATTTGGGTATTGTAATTATGGTTGTTAATACATTAACAGGAATTATCACATTTTTTTAAAATGCAAAATCTGAGGCAATCATGGATGCCTTCAAAAACTTCATTCCTCCTGAAACTTTAGTTATCAGAGATGGACAACAATAAAAATTTCCAGCATCCAATTTAGTGCCAGGTGACGTTGTAGTAATTGAAAATGGTAAGAGAATTCCAGCAGACATCAGAATATTGGAGAGTAACGAAATGAAGGTGGATAACTCAAGTCTTACAGGGGAGTCGCTATTATTATTAAGATCTCCTGAGTGTACTAATCAGACTAACCCTTTGGAAACTAAAAATTTGGCATTTTTTGGTACTCTTTGTAAAGAAGTATATGAATAAGTTTACAATAGGGTAATGGCAAGGGAATAGTTATATTTACAGGGGATAATACGGTTATTGGATAAATTGCAGGATTAGTTGAAAGTTCTGGAGGAGATGATACAACTCTAAGACGGGAACTCAATGTGTTTATTAAATATATAGCTGTAATTGCTATTTCAATAGGTGTAATATTTTTTGTATTGGGCTTCATTATTGGATATCGTAAAATATATTGATAATTTTAGCTGCTATTACAAATCTTGTATTTGCCATAGGTATTATTGTCGCAAATGTGCCTGAAGGCCTTCTAGCAACAGTCACAGTAGCTTTAACTTTAACAGCAAAGAAATTAGCATACAAAAAAGTGTTGGTAAAGAATTTGGAGGGAGTTGAAACTCTAGGATCTACGTAAGATTTATTCTCTATATCAAGATCATGTATTTGTTCAGATAAAACTGGTACTTTGACTTAAAATAAGATGACTGTTGAAAATTTGTGGTTTAATAATAAGAAATACAAGGGGTTGAATAGAGAGAAGATGGGACCTAAATTTAATTATGAATACGATATCAATGAGGTAGGATTCAGAACATTGCATGAAACTGCAATTCTATGTTCTGAGGCTACTTTTGATTCTGCACTTCCATAAGAGCAACAAATTAGGATTTAAAATACTATAGGTTTAAATCAATAGCAAAAGGATTAGAAATTGAAGGAAGCATAAGAAAAATGGAATCAAAACTTCTAGAAAATGAGTTGTCAAGAAAAGCCTACAATTGGAGATGCTTCTGAAACGGCCTTAATTAAATTCTTTTAGCCAATAAATGACATCATTTAAACTAGACAAAGCAGATAAGTTGCAAGAGATAAAGAGAATAAAATGGCCAAAATGCCATTTAATTCAACTAATAAATATGCATTTATCATAGTTGAGTATGAAACTGCAGATTCCCATTATTGTCTATTAACTAAAGGTGCTCCTGAAAGAATTTGGGGACTATGTGACTCAGCATATAGTAATGGAAGAGTAGAATTAAAAGATGAAAAATGGGAATAATCATTCCTTTCGATAAATGAATAATTTGGAAGACAAGGAGAAAGAGTGCTTGGATTTGCTAAATTTCATTTACCAAAAGATTAATTTCCAATTGGCTATTAATTTAATCTTGATAAAATGAACTTTCCATTTAACAAATAAGTCTTTGTTGGTTTGATATCTTTGATTGATCCTCCTAAGGATAATGTACCTTATGCTGTTATTAAATGTAAGACAGCCGGCATCCAAGTCATTATGGTAACTGGTGATTAACCAGTTACTGCTGCTGCTATTGCAAGATAATGTAATATTATTACTGAAAAAACTGTTGATGAAGTGATGTAAGAAAAAGGCATCTCTTTTGAAGAAGCATTCCATCAATCAAATGCATTAGTGATCCATGGAGATAAATTAACTAAAATGGCAATTGATGATGAAGGCTTGCCTGAAGAAGATAAAGGGAGACAACTATAAGAATGGCTAAGTAAACCGCAATTAGTATTCGCAAGAACAAGTCCAGCATAAAAGTTAATTATCGTTGCTGGTTGTTAAAGAAGAGGACATATTGTAGCTGTTACAGGAGACGGAGTCAATGATAGTCCAGCAATTAAGAAGGCTGATATAGGAATTGCTATGGGAATTACTGGTTCCGATGTTGCAAAAGATGCTGCTGATATGATTCTGTTGAATGACGATTTCTCGAGCATTGTTGTTGGAATTGAAGAAGGAAGAAAGATCTTTGACAATTTAAAGAAGAGTATTGCCTATTGTTTGACTTCTAATATTTCAGAGTTACTTCCATTTTTAGGATTTGTTGTATTTAGAATTCCTCTACCTTTGACCACTGTGTTGATCTTATGCATTGATATTGGAACTGACATCTTTCCTTGCACTACTTATGTTTTTGAAGATGCAGACATAGATATCATGACAAGAAGACCTCGATCTCAAGATGAGCATCTTGTGAGTGGAAAATTGTTGGTTTATGCATATTTGTAGAATGGAGTCCTATCAACTTATTGTGGATATTTCTAATGGTTTGTAACATTGTATGATTTTGGATTTTATCCATCAGACCTGCTCTTTATAGGAGTAAGAGAAACTATTTTGCCAAAGGTTGGTGATGTGTATGATCCAAATGACCCTTGGTTCGGAAATTCTAACTTAAAAAGAATTTATGAGAATGGAAAATGCGATTTTGACTTCCCCTCCAGTGAAGTTGAAGAAATCGATTGGATCTATGCTAATCATGCCAAATTGGATCTAAGGATGGCTTACATTGAATGCAAAGATGGAGAGTTAAAAGAAGTCTTTGAATGGGCTCCTTGCAGCGTTAATTTAGTTTCCCCCTACACTAAGAAACCCTATTGTTATTCAACTGAGGCTTCAAATTATGCTTAAACTTCATTTTTCTATGGTATTGTTGTAGGCCAGATATGCAATTATTAAGGTTTGAGATCCTTAAAAAATGCAGGAACCTTTTAAGGTACTCATTAATTACTTCTTTTTAGGTTTCTCCAACTACTATATGTTTTTTGGATTTTGGGTGGAATTCATGTTGACCGTTGCACTTTCCTATATTGAAGTTTTCAATACTGTATTTGGAACCAGAGATCTGTTATTCATCCATTATGGAGTATGTGCTCTGCCATTTGCATTGATTATGTTAATATGGGCTGAAGGAAGAAAATGGATGGTACATCATTTAATTAATCTAATTAGATTCGAGCTTCAAAATCAAATACTAATTATCCAAGTTGGTGGGAAAGATGTGTAGTATTTTGATTTATTATTATTAATCAAAAATAATTATAATTATAATCATAATAATTTTTTATTTTGACTTGATCTTGATTAAAATGTCTGATTTCTTTTGGAATGACTAATTCTATATCTTCTCAATTCATGCATGTAGCAAAACTAATTTACTATTCAAAACATATTGAAACTAAATTTTGACCTTAATTTTGTTTAATTAATTCTTTTTCAGACTTGAAATCTGAGTATGATATTGATAGTTTTGATGATAATCCTATGCTTTGTTGGATTATATGATATCTTAGACTTTGCTGATAACTTTGAGTTGATCAATATATCATAGAGATCTATGATATTTGATTACTTATTCAAATAATTGAAATTATTCTAAGAATTGCTGTATTAATTAAACTCTATGATGCAAAATATGAATTATTAGGAAATTGAACTTAATATTTTTAGAAGTGATTTTAGGAATTTTTAATTTTTAAGAATATTAAATGAAGCTTCAAAATAAGAAATAATATAAGTTTAAGAATATGAATATAATTAAAATTAAGAATTTTATTTGTGTTTCAAATGAATAATAAATCAATAATCGTATTTCACCTTTTCTTCCAATTTTGCTCTTTTGGTATTTACTAATCCAATATATTCACACATCTAAATAAATGAGCATGTTGGGTTGATCATCCACCATTCATTTTTAGAAGCTCTCCAATCTCTTGGATATTCGTGATGCCAGTTATGCCATCCCTCACCCAAAGTTATTAATGAGACGAAGATGTTGTCTCTTGGTTCAATTCTTGGATTCCACTTTCTGCTTCCATAAAAGTGGCAGATTGAATTAACACACCTAACTTAATAATTGAGCAATACCATGTGGCATTCAATGTGAAGATGTACTTTCCGAACCCTAAGAACAAAAGACTGAAGAACCACTTGTCGCTTATAATCAAACCAGTCAAAGCAGGGATGATAAAAGCCCAAAGGAAAGCCATTTTATAATAATGTCTCTTTTAGAACATTACGACAGGATCGGCTTTCAAATCGGATATGTCGAGTTTCATTCCTTCTTCAACTAACTCCTTGCTCTTCTTTTTCAATAACCATCCACAATGAGAGAAAAATAATCCTTACTAAGAATTGTGTGGATCCAATGGTGTATCCTTTGAATATATAAAGTTTCATACACTAAACTTGTGGTGAAGTCTGTGATCTCTACTCCAATGCCAGATACTTCCTTAGAAACAATTTGAATTCATAAACATCAAGAAAACTCTAATTGGCCATGATGCTTTGTAGGATTTATGTGCCCATAATCTGTGAGCTCCACCTGTGATTCCTAATCCTGTAAGGCAATGCCAAATTAAGAAGGCCTAAATTTAATGGAATTATTTACAAGGTAGTATTTGTAGAACAATTCTGACTCCAAGAAGAAGCTCCAAATTATACCAATCACGCCCAATACGTGACAGTATAACAGCCATCCTGACTCTATTAACTTGATATCATTTTTGTCACAGTACTTGACAATGGTCTCAAATATTTACATAAATAATATATTTTATTAGATTTCTTTTTGTCCACACTGCTCATAAACCACTGAATGACGTATAATTACAAAATTATTTAGAAATTAAAATATTCCTATCATGTTATGTGAATAATCATTATAATATACTAATTTACAATGCTTAATGATAGAATTCAAAAATCAATTATTTTGTAATTTGAACCGAGAATAAATATTCAGAACATGGCTCGTATAAAAATTCATCTTCAAAATTGAGAGGATAAAACACATCTACAGTAGGTCTGATGTCTTCATGTTCTTCTTGTGATTATTTCCATTCAATATTTACAGGTTATTTGTTAATTTTTCTAAAATTCCTAAATGAACACAATAGTATTTAAATATATTTCTTGTGGTGGTTAAAAACCACAGCTCAACAAACTCAATATAGTTATTTATTAAGATAATTGACGGGTTAAACAAATAGGTAAATACAAGATGAGAGAATCGAATATTTTTTATAAACATTTTCCAAAAAGATCATCTTTCTTATTTAATGTTATAGATTGATTATATAAGTATTTGGCTTGTATGATATCACTCATAACACCAAACTATGAACATTCTATTATATGAAATAATATCATGATCAATAAATGAACTTAAACCAAAAATCAATCGATTTAATTTTATTTTCTTTTATTAAACTATTTTAAAATTTATGCCTCGTGATGTAGATAGATTTAGATTTAAGTAAAGCTATGTTTTCGGAATAAAAATAGTAAACAGCTTTGATAACCTAAAGTGACAATAATTTTCTTTTTTTTGTATATCATATTGCTACTTTTTATCCATTTATTTTATTTCACTTTAAAATTCCATAATTTTCTAAACTATCTTAAACAAAGTAATTTTCTATTGTATTTTATATGTGTTATGTAAAAATTCTATATATTTATTTTTGTTTCAGAGGGCTTTCATCATTTCTGGAACTTCTATTTACTAACTTTATCTAACTAACGGAGTAATTTGATGGACTTATTATCCATTTATTAATTAAATCTTGGTTTATGATTTCACTTTTTATTAAAATTATTGCTGATCTCCCATATGATTGCTATACTATTTTATTAGTGGTCTATCAAAGAGAATTTATTTAAAGGAGTCAGCAATTTTGTTTTGGACAAGGTATACCTTTTAATAAAAAATTTAATATTAAAATCAATTCTATATATAGTCTGAATTTTATAAATTCAAATAAAAAATCATCCAAAAAATGAATATTAGTGATTTTTCTTTTTAATTTCATACATCTTATTAAAATAATAGTTATCCATTTATAATCCATCAAAACTGTATATTTTTAATAATAAATCTTAAGATTTTAACAATATTATTTTGTATTATTTTATTCATATTTATAGTTCATTATCAATCCTCTCCTGCTAGTTCTAATAATATGTCTTGAATTGTAACGCTAGGATCCAGCTCTTTACGAACTTTCATCTATGATTCTGCTTTAATCAAGAAATCCTACAATTTCAATAATTCAGTATCATTATCTTGACCATTATACTTTGATATTTGATAAGCATTTTCAGAGTTGGCTTGAATGGATTTCTAAAATTTATACCTAAGCATTAATCCTCATCGTAATCCACAAATATTACATTGTGAGGATTAGATGTCGTCATATTAATTTCCTTTCTGATCTTATTGCGAGATATTACACATGACTATGTGAAAAATAAAATTTACTTTTATCTGTAAAAATTTTGAGAGAATTGGATGCAAAATTGATCTATTATTGGAGCAGCAAACTCTTTAATTTGGGTTGTGTAGATGCTGACATCATAAATTTACGAAACATTGCATAAAAAGTGATCTAGAAGTGGCCTATGTTTAACATAAAAATCCTGGGTGAGTCCTGAATGATATCTGCATAGAAATATTGCAAGCATCTTACTGAATAATGATTTTATTCCACCCTTCAACTGGAGAATGACTTGTACAAACAAGAGTCCCCTCTAATCCTATCAGTAATTTCAATCTCCCAGTATATGATGAATTTGACCTAGGAATTTCCTGATAACGTCCTAGTCCAAACTTCTTTTTTGGTCTTATTGTTTTACGTACAAGCCTAATAGTCTTATCAATGAATTGACATAGCCAAGCTAAAATATATCCGAACATAATTTAATTAATAATGTCACAAATAAAACTCATAGAATAAAAGAATCGAAACATAATTTACAAGGTTACATTAGATTTAATTTTGGATGTCAACCACGGATAATCATAGCAGTCAGTCAAATGATTCAAGAGAGTAATTATTTGATTTATTTTTGGTTGATCTAAATTGAAGTATCTCAGAATTTTAGAAATTCTAGCAAAATATGGAAATTAGCTTGAATTGATAAATAACAAACAAACATAACTTATATTAAAAAGGAAAGTGTAAAATACTATAAGCTCTTAATACTAACCAACATGTGATGTTTTTCTTGACTTCATAATTTTAATTCATTTTTTCTAATTATAATTTATTTCTCAGGATATTATTATTATGCACTATGTTATATTGACTGACTTATAATCTAACTCTTTAATCCAAAAAACCAACTTAGAGTATATTTTTTCTTTAAAAATAATTACTAATATTATATATTTCTATATATGCATATGTTTAATTGATAGTTATAATTATCTCAAGGATATAATGTATATATTTCCTTCAAGATTATAAGATTGTTTATTCTTATTATAGATAGCTATAATTGCGGGTTTCCAAAAAGCATGGGATGAAAATTTCTTAAAATATTTATTGAATTAAGAAAATAATATAAACGACACTATTCAAATGATATTACAGATACAATTATAATAAATCAATCTAAACTTGAACATATAAATTGATATTTACCTTGCTTTCCATTTATATTCTTTTAATCAAAATATATTTCTCTATCCACAATTAAAAGTTCAAATACAGTAGAATAATTAGTTCACAAGAAAAATGTCCTGTTAAGTGTTGAGATTGGGTACAACAATAGATTTCAAACCTTCAATGATAGGATAAAAGATGGTATGGTATTTTCAACATCATTAATAACAACTTCATTAGATTTAATTTTTCCAAATTTTATCATTCAGGTACTTTCAGTTTACATCTAAAATGTTTCTTTATATGTCAAAATTCTAATAATTAAACCACTTTCATAATTTTTATTATGTCTTCGCAAGAATGTTTAGAATTTTTGCTTAGAAGAGTTTGTGTTCATTTTTGTGAATAGGAGTATATCTCAAAACATTCTCTTTATTGAACACTTAACAAATCTAAAATATTTTAATTTATTATAAATTATGAATACAAACAAATTGAGGATGAGCAAGTCATTGATAAGATAACGATAATCTCCAATTCCTCCTTTAGAACCAAAGCTTTTTGTTGGCTAGCCTTTAAGTTAATCTCCTCCTCCATAAAAAATTCCTCAATTGACTTTTTCATAAAGGTTGAAGTTGTATTATAAATCGCAAAACACCTTAAATCCAAAACCATGGAACCCTCCTTCTGATGAATAGGGAACAATTTTAAGATTGATATCAGTGCATGAGATAATTAAACCAAAAAAGAAGGAACTGTTATGTAGATTTCCAAATAATGGTTGTAAACCCAACTCTCATAAGAGATTTGTCACAGATATGCCTAAGATTTAAATCGATATTTCTACTGCCAAGAAAATTAAGTTAAATTTTAAATCCCCCATAAATGTTTTAAACAAAAGTAATTCTTTTGGACCATGGGATTCTCCTTTATGAATAATAAATAATTTATTTTGGATTTTTATTAAAATATGGACAACATATATTCATTTATTCAATTATTCTCAGAAAGACATTGGCTAAGTCTGCACCTTCTCTGTAATTGTAGGACTACTTGATAACTTGGATTGTCGTCTTCTCAATACAAGTTGATTCGAATCTGGCCCACCTAAGACTGGAACTTTTGAGAAAGAGGCTCCTTCGGTTGGGATAATGTAAAAAGCCTATCCACTTCCGTCAGTATACTTTTTCTTTAAAATAGATTCCATATTGGAATTGTGAGACTTAAATTTAAGAGTCTTTGGCTTAATAAGAATCACAGCTTGGTTGTCATCTGCTGTTACGCTTTAGGAACAACCCATGTAGATTATTATTTATTTTATTAAAAAATATTAAAGTAATGCTGCCATATATGTTATAAGTTAAATGCTGAATTGAATAAAGGATTTAAATTAATAATTCGAATTCAAGGATTATCCATATGCATAATATTCAGTAACTTTAAATACATGATATAAAACTTGTACTTTTGATGTTCACAAAACTGTTATATTTAATTATGTAATTGATCTTTTTCTTTGGCCAAAACCAGTTGATTTAACATATCAATATATGAAGAGAATTTAATACCACTAGGTGTTTGAACACTTGAAACAACAACAGATATATTTCCAAGCATTGGTCATATGATTTTAGATCGAGATGTCAATAATATCTTTGTTATTTAAGTTATTTGTTTAAATGCTTTCAAAAAAAATTATGAAATATATAATAATAAAATATTGTGATATAATTATTAATTTTAATAATATTTTTGGAACAGGATTATATTAATTTGAAGCAAATCTCTATAATGAGGGAAATTTCTGTTTTCAAGATATGAGCAATAAGAATAAATTAATTATTGGAGATTGGGATTTACAAAAAATAGGAAAAAAGGAAATCAAACTTGGAAAGAGTAAAAGTTTTTGAGAATTAGAGAATATATAGAAGCAATTTAAGTATTATGAGTTTTTGTAAAACTTATAATTACAATATTTTATGGGCTCATTCAATCATATTGAATAAAGGAATCAAATTTATTTATGCCAAACAGAGGAGATAGCATATGATTATATATAACAAAATTCTGCAATTAAAAATTTTGGAATATCGAAAAAACTTTAGATGAAAATAGTATAGTAATTTTAATTGATGACTTAATGTAGAACTTAATTAAAAGAAGTTTATTACAAAATTCTAATGGAAATTCAGAACTAGATTTAAATAAAGGCCATCAACAGGAATTCTCATTAATTTGACTAAACTTCTTCAAAAACTGATTTTTAAAGTAACTTTGCTTTAATAATAACAAATGGAAGAAAATCATTATTATCCATCTTATTTAAATCGATCTTTTATTACCTTTATTTCAGATACTCCATATAACTATTGATTATTTAAGAAAATGAATGAATAAAAAATTTATATTTAGATTTTGAAGAATTGTAAATTTTAAGATTAATAAATGAATGAAAATTGATATTAGATGATAAATTAATTTTTTGATATTATATCTGATTAAGTGCAGATAATGAGTCATCCTTCATTTCAAATGGGTTCATGATTTTTCAAAATTTATAAAATATTTTTAATTAACAATTCTAGCTCTTAGCAGATCCTTGATCCATTGATAAAGAAATCTTACCCTTCTTATTTATATGAATCCAATCTAATGAGTTCATTAACAATCAAAATTATTTGAGAGTGCTAATCATAGATCAGTATTATTTAATAAATGTGTGGATGAAAATGAAGGTTATTTAGCTTGGTATAAATAAATTAATTAAGTATTCTGACTTTTTGTCAAATAAATTAATATTCATAATTTCGATAAAATAATTATATAATTACTTGATGACAAGTATAAAAATAATAAATTACAATTATAAATTTATATTGATATGTTGGATATTTTTAGTTTACTATTTGAGTTAGACATTTTTAGTTAGATTTAAATTTCAAATAATGAAAGATAAACATAATATAAGGTTTGCATATTAAATATTTCTATATATTTTACAAAGATCCAGAAAGATTATTTACTCAAATTTTAGTATTATATTAAGTATTATTATAAAATCTAATTGTTATCATTAATTAATTAAATATATTGTTGTTCAATACACATTTGTATTACTAAAGTTGGTACTTTGGTTTTATTTCCAGATTCCTTGCTTAGTCTTTATTGATTATCGATATTGTTCGATTTTATCAACGATTTGTTGCAATGTATCTAAAATTTGATTATTTTTATCTTCAAAGGCTCTATCAATAAGTAGATAATCGGAAAGAATTCTATTTATTTTGTCTACTTATAAAAAAAGATTATATTGGAAAGCAGTGTCTTATAAAGGATCTTAATTGAGATTCCTACCTCCTCTTTTACTTTGATTTATAATCATTTCTTCTATAGTTCCTTTGGTTTGAAATAGAGTTTTGAGCTTGGCTATAGTTTTTTCATTCTCGACATTTCTATTGACGAGATTAAGACTTGAATCAAGTTCATTCCATATAGCAAGAAAATTTTACTTTTGTGATTGAATTTACACAATTGGTTTAGGTTGAGAAACTTATTTTTTGGGTGGTTATTTGCCAGAACAGGCTCCCATCTTTTAATATTAAAATATATTAATATTATTTTTATGAACGAAGACAAGGAATTTCAAAAGAAAGTATAAGTAGCTGTAGATTCTGTATACATTTATATGGATGTTAGTATTTGGGAAAGAGAGATAAGCAGTCATAAATGGTTGAATAGATTTAGAATGTTATAGAAAGGGAGTAATTGATTGATTAAGTCCAAAAATTACTTGTGGAATTGATTACCAAATTGACAGAGCGTTTTATATCTAATGTATAGTCAACTAATATAGTTACAATAGATGAAGAATCAAGTTGAGAATGAGATTTTGAAATTGAGACAAACAATAAGGTCAACACATTAGAGAACATATTCTGCAGTAGATAAAGAGAAATTGGAAGATTAAGTACAAAGAACTTTGAATAAGCACGAAGTTTAGATAAATATGTTATTAGAGCATTAGTAATTTTATTTTTGTTCAATATTTAGAGCTTAATTGAAATAATTGAGATCAGAAGCACCAATAAATGAGAGTATTTTATTTAATATCAATTAAAGTAAGAGTGGGAAATAAGTATTAAAAAGGATTAGGAAACATTGAAACATGAGATAGATGAGTAACTAAAATCATTCTAGCGAAATTATAATTGTACATATCTTTACTTCTATGAATTAGAAAAATAATAGACAATAATGCAAATTTTAAATGATTTAGTTGTAAAGATAGAGAAAATAGAAGTGTAATAGTAACAATAATAATCACGATTGTCAATAATTGGTTCGGATAAGAAGTAAAAGTGAGAAGTAATTGATTTTAAATAAACAAATTTCGTATTACATCAGGTTTATAATTTGATTTAACCGACATTTTGCATAGTATCTTTTTTTAAAGTATACTAAAACAATTTCTTAAAGATGATACATGATTATCAGATACAGCATAACAGAAAGAATTATGAAATTGGTTCAAGTTTTGTATTAATACAATTTTGATGAATAGTTATCTATTAAATTAAACTGATATCATGGTTTGTGAATTAATTAGATTAATCAATTAATTTGAGCTTAAAAAAATAGCCATTGTAATATGATTATAATTTTAGTAATTTTATTAAATTCTGGATTGCCACATAAATTATTATAAGGTAAATTTGATCTCCATTTATATATAATTTGCGAGTCATTAGTTCAAATATTAGTACTAATACTCATACTACTTAATTTGAGACTAGCTTATAACTAAAAATAATTGATTGATTGACCAACAATATCTTAGAAACTGTTTTAATTTCTCAGAGTTCATAACAAAAAGGATAGTAATGATGTCATTATTCTACTTTTAACTAGTATCGTAACTAGTTTTAGTACTTATATTGATTATATATTTTAGTTACCTTTTAAAAATAAAATCTTTCTTTCCTACATTTCAATTAAAATGTTCCTTCTTCTCTATTTGTTGAATTAGATAGTGGTTATTAAAATGATATCAAATATTTAGGAGCATATATTTAATTTTAATTGTAAATTATAGAACCTTCTAAATTAGAATTTTTAATAATTTTCTTCTAAAATGAGTTCAAACAGACTTAGAGATATGAGAGAGAACTTTCATTCAGAATTGAGAAAGAGAACTTTAGAATAGACGTTTAGATTGAAGAGATTAGTTACTAACCCAGTAAAGCATTATCCAATTGAATAATTAATCGATATAGTGGACAAGTTGATGAGATTTGAGGAATTGAACGATGAAGAATTTTAAATAATGGTATCGATTTTAGATGATGTTCAATCGACTGCGATAAATGATCCATCTTAATTTTGTGAATGGGCAGAACATTTAAGAATAATCAAGACATTGGTTGATTCCATGTGTTTAGGTTCGAATCCAAAGTATTCTGTGTTTGCTACAAAAGCAGCAAATTGTTTTAGATAATTGGTTAAGTAGAAAAAGTCAAGGGTCTATGTAAATTAACATTTCGATTAAGTTTGTGAGATTTACAAATCTTGGATAGACTCTGACTAGAGTTTATTAAAAGAGAATGTATCAATTAGTGTAAATTTTGTTAATAGGGATTAAGAGGTTTAAATTAATTAGTAGAATTGCATTCCCCTAAATTTTCAAAATATGACATCGTTGAGAGTGTTCTAAAGTCACTACAGGTGAATAGGAACAACGATAAAGCACTTAGAATTCTGGCCAGTATAACAAAGAGTATTGATGATGACAACTAAGTAATTGCTATTTTGAGAATTGCCTCCAAATTGATTGAGAGTGCGGATAATAACTGTAATTGATATTTTGAAATTAATTAGTAAAAGAGAAGGGTCTAATGATAATTGAGAATGCGAGTAGAAACCTTTAAAATGTTCAATTCATTTTGACTATGAGGATAATGTAATCTATCATGAACTTAATTAATAATAAGGATAAAAACATCTCTAAATTGTCTCTATCTATATTAGTGAGTTTGTCATTCACATCCGAATTTGATGAGTGTTCAAAATTGTTGGATTTAGGAATTATGGATGTCCTCTATGGGTTACTGAAGAACACTTAACGTACCTATTGCAGGATTTATGGAAGCATGATATTCAATAATTTGATGGCCTCTTCTCATTTGATTTTGGATTAGATAGTTTCGAATCAAAAAATACTGGAGACTGTTTTTGATCTTTTGGAAACTGATGTTGTGGATGTCAGAAGGGAACTCTATTAGGCATTTAAGAACTTTTTAGTTGTTTGCACATAGAATTAATTGTTGATAATTCTTGATTCTGGCTTGTTGGATTATGAAATTTCGGGTCTGGATGACATAGATCTCAAAATAGTATAATTGTCTATAGAAAGTAGTCTATTTATTTATTCAATTAGCTTTGGGATTAATAATTAAAGAGTTACAATCAAGCTAATATAAAGCCTAAATTTATTAGTACTTTTCTTAGACTGGAGTTCAGAAGAAACTTGAGAATTTGATCTAGATTTGTGGGGCCGAAAAGATATGCAACTTAGCTGAATAGTGTCTTAAAGAATATTTTGACTATGAATATTGATTAAATTAAATCTTTAATTAGTTTGATGAATAGGAATGTTTTATTTAAGTTTTTTGATCCTGTTACTTTGGCAGGAGATCAAATCAGGGGAGAATGTTTCATCAGAATAACACAGGAAATACCAAAGGCTTAAATAGTTTTGACTTTTTAAACCAAAATGTATTCCAAGATAATTGACAAAAAGTAGGTAATTAAATAGATTTGTATCTTAAGATACCTTATGATCAAAGCAATCCTCAAATGATCCCAGAGAAATTGGTTGAGAGAGCTCAAAGAATTTAAGTGACTCTGGATTCTCCATTTAGATAGCCCAAGCAAACTCAGAAGAAATATGAGCTCAATGGTGATATCATGTATAGAGTGATTAGACATTATGGAACTCATGAATCCTTTGTTTACACCCAGGAATTGTACACTGGATAAGTGAAACCAGGCGATTATAAATTTTAATTTAGTGTTCCTACCCAATATAACATGTCTTCAAGTTTTTCGTACAAAAGCGAAGATGGTATCAATTCAGTTTTGACATAGGGTTGAAATAAGCCAAATGCGGTTATAAGGTGACTTTGAGAGTTGATCTACCCGATGAGGCTAGCACTTTAATGATGGAAAGTGCTGATGTCTTTATTAATGGAAGGACAGCCTCTGAATGTGAGCAATTTAGGTAATGTGAAGGAAATATAGTTTAATTTTTGTGTTTAAATCGAGGAACAGTAGAACTTTCATTGAAAATAAACAAAAACAATTTCATTCCAGGAGAACAATTGCAAATTGAGTATACATTGGATAACACTCGTTCTTAAAGATCCATCAGTAGAGTTGAAGCTAGATTGATCAATAAGCTCACGTTTATTGATGATGATGAAATGGAAAGGGTAGTAGAAAATGTGAAAGTATTTCAACAGAATCTAGGGGGAGTCAATTCTGGTTAAAAATTGGAAAGACAAAATGCCTTATTAGAAATACCAAAATATCTCAGAGCTACTATTAAAACTAATATTATCAGAAACTAATACTTTTTGTAAATGGAAGCTATTGCTGTATTGAAATGATCTTAATCACCAATAGGACGCTTTCTTAACTTGGTTGTCAGTTCCAGTAGTCTGCCAAATCCCTATTAATATTCAGGAATCTCAATTACCTCAGAAAATCAATTTGGAAGGATGGAACTTTTTACCTATCATGAATGTCTCAGTCAATGCATTTTCCAATCTAACTGTTCAATAGTCATTTGTACCAACATGATTATTTATTATTAATTCATATACTCACATGGATAAAATAAAATCTCTTAATATTGATTTTGCTTAATACCAGACTGATTACCTAAGACCCATTCCCAATATTGTGATATCTGATCCATCATGGAATGACAATATTCTTCTGATGAATGTCCAATGGAATTATACTCTTTGAAATTAACCAAGATAAATTGAGTCAAGTCAAAGAGATCATCCAAAAAACCTGTACAACTGAAATAAGTGATGAAGAATAAAGAGTATATAAAATCCCTATCTTCACTTAGCTATTATTTGATTATCTCTCTAATGAAAAGGATTTGCTTAAAAATTGCGGATTCACTTGTCAAAGGTTACCCATCATTATTGAAAAGAATAAAGAGATCGCACATTTTTTATTGATTTAAATATGCAACCTAGATGGCTTCGAAGAGTATTAACCAAATAAAATTTTAGATTTTTAGAAGTCTTCATCTAAATTGATGTTACACAGAATACCCTTGAATTGTTCGCCCAACTATTTGGGGAACTCAAATTACCATAAGAATACATCACACAGTATATTAATTATTGCATTGACTTCTGTAATAACATCAAGGTAATTCAAAAATTATGAATTATAGGAAAAATAATAACAAAATAAATTGGTTAGGTTTGTTTCTGTATTTATCTAGTAGATGCTCAAGCAAAAAGCATTTGTCACCAAGGACATTCTCACTGATGTAAGAATATATGACATTTAGTTATAAGCATTCTGTATTGAATTTTCCAAAGTCGGTGAAGTATCAAAGCTTTTCAAACTGGTCAAAAGTCTAGAACCTGCCACATAATGAATTCATATCATTTCATATTCGCTTTGTAACTAGTCATATTTCCTAAAAATATATATTATTATTATCAACTCAAATATCATCAATTATATACAACAAAAATTAATAATTAAATTAAATGCTTAGTCATGGTTGAGACCTTATGAAAAATTGATACTTAATCAAGTCGAACTCTTAGGCCTCCCAATAATCACCCTTTAACAAACTCAAGTGAATAAGGGTGATAGTATGATAAATTTCTAAATTTTCAATGAAATATGACATGAATATTATTGCTTACGTTTTCGAAATAATTTTCTTAAGTCACAAGGCATTTTAAGATGGAAAAAACATTTATTTAGATAATATTAAAGCCAGCTTTTCGAAAATCCGAGGTTGTGTAATTCAAATTTAGAGAAAATAATTTAATATCTAATTCTTTAGATAAGTTTCACTTTTTCTAAATATATTATTTTATGTATTTCTACATGGAAGAAAATATTAAAATTAATATACTTGCAGGATTAAAATTTTTTATATGTTTATGATAATAACTCATTCATGATATTAATTATTTTAATAATTTATTTAAGGAAAACTTTTTCTGTAAATTTATACTTGCTAATGAAAACAGATCAATAAGACACAAAAATTTTAAATAAAAACTAAGAGAATGATGAAATTATTGAAGAACCAAGAACTGTCTTAATTAACTAACCTATGAATAGAACTTAAAATTAAAACCTTTTTGTCTTTGAATTTAAGTCTGATTCCATGAGTAGGCTCAACCTTTTAAGATTCAAACACTCTTTGGCCAATAAGATCATCAAAAAATTTAAATAATGAAAAACCTCATGATTTTTTCCAATATACACAAATATTTTCCATAATTATGTATTTTAAACTTCTTTTTGGTCCTTACTTTGGTTCACTTTTGCTTTAATTACACATAATAGGTCATTTCTATTCATATATAAAATTCTCAATAACTTATTCTGATCAGTAATGTTAGGTCTAAGTGATTATGCGATATAGTTTACAGGCGACTGATATTGTCGATAGATAAGAACGGAAGCACCATCAAACCAAGAGGCCTTCGTAAACTCCTTTATTATTTTAAGAAGGACACCAGTATATATTAATATTGGTTTATATTTAGAGAAAGATGGTTATTCAAATATGTTTTGTTGCTCGTAATTTCCCCTTCCATTCTGTATTACATTAGGAGCAAGCTGCTGTTCATATTTAGAATTATTTTGTGATATTTTTTAAAGTAATAGTTGATTCTACCTGAAAATTGAAATTGGATTATGGAGTATCAACTATTTTGAAAATGATCTTTATCTCACATAAATAAGCCGACTTTAGCTTCTTAAATATATTTAAATTTAATTGGTGTCTAATTCTGGAAATTATAATCAGATTCAAAAATTGATGATAAAACTCTAAGATTTTCATCAAAAATTGTAAAAATTATAATTATGTTGATAAATTGGAGAAATCAGCAACTCCATATCAAAATATGAATTTAAGATGATATTTTGTTATTGCAGAACTGAACACGATGCCAATTCAATGATAAATTAATTATATTAACAAAATGGCGCTAAATTTTGTTTCTTAAATTTCGCATTTTTAAAATATTTTAGATTTCTTTATTTGTAATATTCTTATTTTATACTCAAATTACAATTAATAGGATAGACTTAAATTTAATTCCATTTATAACTTAAACACAAAACTTATTTTTTCTTAGTAAATTTGTCAATCATCATATTAAATTATTGATTCTATAAATTAAATTTATCACTGTTTAAATTAAAATCAATAAATGAAATAAGTAAGAATTTTATTAATTAAAGAGTACAAAATAAAATGAAATTTCGATGATGTATGTCTTATTAAATGATGCAAAATTATTGAAAATAAAATTTTGATAATTGAACATTAAATGGATCAAAATGTAGAGAATAGATAAATAAATAAATATTATTATTATTAATATAAAATTATAATGAATTCAAGTTTAATTGCACGATTTTAGAACAGCGCAGTGGTTTACTACGCACAAAGAGGATGGTATTGGACAAATAGAATAGGAAAGTTGAATATTTTGGCTGTTTCAGCCATTTGGTATATTGCTGCAGAGAGGTAATGATTAGATGGAATTTTAGTTAAATCGCAGGACATTAGAGAATGACTTTATACAGACATAATTGGATATAGAATCCAAAGCCTTCACGTGTGATCTTCGAGGAGAGATCATGAGATATATATCTATATCTATATTGGAAATAAAATATAATTATTTTGAATATGATTTTAATTTTTCATTACTATTGTGCTGTTGCAGATGTTAAAAGGTTGTCTACTGGATTTGTACATAGAAACTAAAATAATGAAAACAATTAATACATCTGCTTATGGGTTGAGACATTAGTAACAAACTCCATTATTTAAATAGTAGCCATATTTACAAATACCACAACCATTGGTTCCAACGGAGTAACAATTAGCTTATGCTAAGGTGACGCAACCTCCATTCTAGAACACATAGCCAGCTATGCAAGATGTGCAAGTAGTGCCTGGAGCGACACAAGTTTGACATTCTGGTTGACATGCAAAGCAACTGCTGGTAGTCACTGATGTAGTTCCAGAGGAAGTGGTAGTAACAAGGAAGTAACCATCAGCACATTTGGTACAAGACTAAGAATAAGTAAATTGTATTACATTAGCTTATTAACAAATAGAACAGTTGCTGACACAATTGTTACAAGTGACAGTGTTATTGGAGGTTGTTGTACCGGTGGAATTATTGGAATCAGTAGTAACTGCAGTTGGATAGTAACCAGCGGAACAGGTTTAACATCCAGCAGAATTACAAGCTTCACATCCTTTGACATTTGGACAGGCTGTGCATCCAAAAGATGTGGTCAAATAATATCCAGTTGTGCAGGCAGCACATTAAAGGGAAGCAGATTAACTTGATCCAGTGTTAGCGATGACTTGACATTTTACACATTGAGCATTTGTTGATGTACATAATTGACATTAATTACCAACGATAATGTATCCAGTGATACAAGATGTACAACCTGAAGCACCATCATAGGTTAAGCATTTGTTGTTGGATTAAGCCACACAACTTGATCCATTCAAATAATAGTTATCTTAGCATTGAGTTGGACTTGTTGATGAAACACATCTTAAATAGTTCTTACCAGCTATTGAACTACACTATGAACAGATTGTAATGTTATTGGTAGTGTTACGATAATACTGATCAATACAGGCTGAACAAGTTAATTGGGTTCCACTATAGGAGCATGAAGAACATCCAGAAGGACAAGCAACACATTTCTTATTAGTTTAATCGAAAGCATATCCTTAGGAGACACATTATGTGCAACTGTTATCAGCATCACAGGCTAAACATCCACCAGAACATACGACACATTTTCCACTATATAAGTAATATCCAGATGGGCATGATCTGCAAGTTGGGACTAAAGATTAGGCATGTGGAGCAGTTTAGGAAGTATCACAAGTCAAACAATTTGATATTGCAGCAACAGTTGAACAAAGTTAACAATAGTTGATTCCTGAATATGGGAAGACCATATAATATCCAGAGAAACAGGTTTAGCATGATTGATTGTTTGAACAGGTTGAACATCCTTGCATGCATGGTTGGCAACTTCCTTATGATCCATTTGATGGTTATTAAAGATATTATGATGTTTGCCAGAAGTATCCTGGTTGACAAGTAGTACAAACTGTAGGACCAGTACAAGTAAGACAATTGGATATAGTACAAGCTGAACATTAAGAGGGGAAATTATTGAAATATGGAATTGCATCTGTTGAGACTTAAGAAACAAAGGAGTTAAACTACCAATTCAAGTAGTATCCAGGGGCACATTAAGAACAATTACCAGTAGTAGTACTGAATTGTTGGCAATTTTGACTTGGTAAACAAACATTTGAAACAAGTGAATATGAGGTAGTGCATGCAGTACAAATTAAAGTAGTACCGTCATTACTAATTACATATGTAGAACATCCCTTGGGAATTTCTTGGCATGTACTAATGAATAAATAATGTCTTATACTTTTAAACTAAAGCATATCCTGAATTGCAAACTATGGATGTGCAGTCCATGTATGTTGAGCATATGCAATATCCATTTTGGAGAAGTATTTTTACCAGTGGTTGGCACTGCCTTGCATGGAGAACAGTATTAACTATTCCAATAATAACCATTGGCACAAACATAGGATGGACTGGATGAAACTGCTACTGGAGCGGCAGGTTAAACAGTCACATTAGGAGCTTAATTGGAATAGGCTCTGCAAATAGACTAATAGAAAATAAATTGTAGATATTACATTAGTTAATGGAGATAAGCATTATAAGCAATATCCAATGCCATTGATGGTTGATAAATAGAATCCATATTAACAAGAAGTGCATCCTTTAGTAGAATCAACTACAAGACACTTGATCAACACACATTTTACATCACTGGTAGTTTTGAGTAATGTATAGTTGAGAGAACATGTTTTGCAAGTGGTAGCATCAGCACAACTATCGCAATTACTTATGCAAGTCTCACAAAATTTACTGTTAGTGTTATAATAATATCCAATATCACAAGTTTAACCACTTGCATTTGATGCCAATGTTTATTACTTTCCAGTTGCTCCAGGTTATGCAACACAGCTATTAGGAGTTCCACCTGTAAAAATCAATCCAAGACCACAACAGGTTTCAGATCCTGTAATATTACCTGCAACTTAAATACATGGAAGACAAGATTATCCATCAAGGTAAAAGCCTGGTAGACAAGTTGGATTAGGTTAACATGTGACACTAGAATTAGCTCCAGTCACTGTTGCTGTACAATCAGCCTTATTTGAACTACAGTTGCAATAAGAACATACTCCACCTTAAGGAGGATTTGTTCCCAAGGCGGCTGGCATACAAGTTGCACATTAATTACCAGTAGCAATTGTTAGACAAGTTTATAATGTGAGATTAGTTGCTTAAGTGTTCTATGTTTTGGCTAATACGCAAGTAGTATCATTTAAATAGAAATATCCATCCTAGCATTAAATTACTTTAACTGGGTCGGTGCCGCTCTTTGAACATCTTAAGTAGCTTGCATCAGCTGAAGAACAAGCTGAACATGCACCACTATTCAAGTAATAAGTATCTTAACATGTATTACAAGTTTATGTATTTGTTGAAGTTGTCACACTATAATCAAGACAATTAGGTGGAGATGGCAAACACTTTAATGAATCGGTAGTAAGTTTAGTATTTGTTGCACATGATGTGCAAGTTACACTTGGAGTATTTTAACTATTGTAACTACACTTTTAACAACTGGTTATTGATGAGGAACATAGTTAACATGCACCGTTATCATCTTTATAGTAAGTATCAAAGCATTATCCACAAGTTATTTATGTTTGAGCTTAATCACTGTATGAACATGATTAACAGCCATTTGGACATGCAACACAGCTTGTGTTTGATTTCAATACAAAGTATTAGACACAATTGCTACATTAGACTTGGTTATTATAAGAACAAGAATTGGAAGCACAATTAACATCACATTTTTAGCAAACATTATTTGCGTCAAACACATAACCAGTTGAACAGGCAGTACATGTCAATTGACCACCTTAAGTTGAGCATGTTTAACATCCTGTGATGCTAGTACATAGAGTACATGACTAAATATAATGATAATATAAATTACATTTTAGTTATTTGTTTGTAAATAAATGTAGTTACTGACAGTGTCACAAGTATCACAAGTGTCTGAATTTTAACAAGACAAACAACCGGTCATACATTTAGTACAAGTTCCTTTAGTTGATTAATCTGATGGGGCAGTGTAATAATATCCATCTAAACACTTGTCACATGTTGTTGAATTCTAACATTTAATACAAGAAGGTATATTTGCACTACAAGCCATACATGATCCAGCATTAGCATCATTCTGATTACTAGACAATGCAGACTTTGATTATGTGGGACTCCAATAGTATTAATCATTACATTGAACACAAGTAAAACTATGTTAAATATAAAATTATATTGATACCCTGATGTACATATCTTACAATTATCGAGACATTTGTTGCAAATCACTTAATTGATGTTTTCGTAATAGTCCCATGATTACAATGTTTACAACTGGAAATTTTGAGTGAAATAAAATCCATCCACACAAGTATCACAAGTACCTGTTACTAAATTCATCTAAGCACATTCGTTTGATTTAACACATATTCCAGCTTTGAATATTCATTTAATATCATACCAACCATGAAATAGCCAGCTGCACATTATGTACAAATTACGGATGTATTTGAATCACCCCAAGCATAATTATTACATCCTGTTGCTCTCAATAATATGTATCTATGAATAAGAACATAATGCATACGAGTTTTATCCATTCGTCAATACTTAGCAATTTATTATGTTAGAATCACATACTTTTGTATCGCAGCCGCCATATGTTGTGCACGTGCAATATCCATTTTTCACTTACATACATGGCACACATACTTAGCCATTCCATCCAAATCCTAAAATGAATAATCATCATAATGCATACCATTGTTGCATACTCCTGTTTTAGCTGGTTAAGCCTAAGCCGTTGTAGCTGCACCTTATGCAGGATTTACAGGGTTCACTGTGTAGTCTATAGCTGAGCCAAGTGTAAGGAGCTAGCTGAAGAACAAAATTGTGAGCAAAATCTTTGTTCTCATTTTTTTTATTTTTAATAATATCTCTAATCACTCCAAATAATCCGTATTAATAGTAATGAAATCCATAAATCAATCTTTTAAACTATTATAAATCTTATCCAATCTCAAATAATAAAATTTCACCCTGTCTTTCCTATCTGCAATTCTTATATTTCAATATTCTTTCTCCTTCCCATTCCTTCACCAATTATACTTTGAGTCCTCATAGTCTCAACAAAGTTTCTACATATATTTATGCAACCTGCCACTTCAATACTATATATTTGTTAAAATATGGAACCCATTAATTTTAAAATTTATCTTCCTAAATTTATTACTTTCCGACTCCAGTATATCATACGCTGATTCAAGCGTCTTTAGTTACGTTTTGATAGTAAAGAAGGAGCATTTTTAATTTATATATGTCTTTTTTATATAGACTATATCATTTTAAAATCAATTCAAAATGTTTAACATAAAGAATGATCAAAATGTGGAATTGCTTGTTTATAATTATTTTGTTTAATTTCAAAAATATATATACGCATTTTTTGTAATTGCTATGCTTCGAGGATGGGACAGAATAATAATATTTGTATTCTTTAATTACAATGCATATATTAATATTATTTTCTTGTTTTGTAGATCATTACCTTCAACGAAAACTACCCACTGCAGGTTAAGCAAAATTACATTGAATACCATTATGCAAAGAGATTAAACTTGAGGATTCTAACATCCCATTCAATTTCACATTCTTGAAATATGATAATAATCTTTCAACTGAATTATAAAAATTTATTAGTATACTAATGGCCTTTTTATCTGAAGAAGATAGAGGATTGACATAAACAAAAGACCCCTATCCACATTTAGGTCCTGGAGTGTATCAAATTCCAGATCAGCAGACCAAAAATTCTTATGCTCCTTTTCTCACCACTGGAAAGAGATAAGTAGAGATAGCAAACAAATAGAAAGCGTTATTTCCTGGTCCAGGTTAATATGAAGTTTAACACAACATGGGTGATTCAGGAGTACAAGCATACTTGAATAAAAGCACCGTCATAGTCAAAGTTTAAGGTAACGGAAGTAGTTCCTTCAAATGTGGAATTGAGAGATTTTAAGAGAACAAAAAAGTCAAAGATGTATTTTATAAAACTAAGCCAGATCCCTGGTCCAGGTCATTATGATACATTCAAAGATAAATCACAAAACAAATAAGCTTATTTGTTTCAAAATCAACACCTAGACGAAATTAGATATTAAAATCACAGAAGACGTATCAATTCAATACCTGAACCAAAAACATAAATTGGGATGGTTTATGAAGATATTGAAACTTTGGCTTAACATCAAAAAATACTTTAGGAGTAAAAGAAGATCAAAGATGTCGGCCCAATCACTTATGACATTCAATAGACTAAGTAGGCCAAAGGAATTTCTTGGAACAAATGCTCTAATCCTCGATTTTAATAAGAACAATCTACAGATCTAGGACCTGGCAAATATAATATTGCTGAGGAAAAAAAGAAGAAAAATAAATCTCCTGCTTTTCTATCTGAATCTGTTAGATCCTATTATGACAAATTGATTTACAAAACCAATAGAGAAATTAATGCTGGTTTGATGAAATAAATTAACTACAAAGATTAATACTCTCCAGGACCTGGTTAATATAATGATTGCAGAGTATCAATCAAAATTCAAAAAAAAGCCTAAGAATTCTAGTTTTTCGGTTCTTCCTTAGAACGATTTAGAGAGGTAAAGGAATCTTCTGTTGGCCCAGGAGATTACAAAATTGAAAACTCTTCATTTGATAAATAATTGAAAAAGAAAAATTATACTAATGCCACATTTCTGAGTTCGACGGGAAAAGGAGATCTAGTAGCTTCTGATGAATAAATGCCTGGGCCAGGAGCATATTACCTACAAAATGATCTTTATACAGATTTAATTCGAAAGTAAGACAGAGGGGTTAATGGATAATTTGGTGGTAAAGAGAAAAGATTTTATGATAAACCTCCCCTTAGTAAGGCTGGACCAGGAAGTTATGATATTACCAAAGGGGAGAAAAATAGAGCTGTTAGTTCTTGCTTTAAATCCTCTTCTAAGCGAGATTCTGTAAATAGGAGCTCTGGTCCTGAGATTGGCTAATATAGATTGGATCAATAAACTATTGGATATAGAGTGCAAAAGTAGTTAAAATTCTTAAAAAATCTATAAAAAATAGATGTTTAGAAGCCAGGATTCGATTGCGCTTAACCTAGGTTTAAAGAAAATAAGGAAATGATCTAAAGCATGTCCTTTACCGAACAAACATAATGCCCATCTGGATCATTTAAATAAATAACTGCTCCTTTCAAATCTTAATAGCCTCGTCTCGCATATCTCAAAAAATAATTCACCCCTGGAGTTGGAAAATATGAGGTCGAATCCAACAATTGGAAAATAAATAGTTTCAATACACATTATAATAAAATACTATCAGACTTTTGATTATTTTTATGATATATTGATTAAATAGATCTCATTGTATATAATTTAATCTCAAATTTTTACCCTCTCATAGATTAGTAATTCCTTGTCATTATGAGGGGATTAGAATGTTAATATTGAATTAATATCAACTATCTAAGCGTTTTCCTATTTGATTTAAATCCAACTCTTATTTTTGCATAGAGTAATCCAATAATTTACTTAATTACCCTCCTAAATCCAATGTATCATACTAATCAATTAATATTGACTATCATCTTATTCAGGATTCAAAGACCTAATGGGTAAAATCAAAGAAATCTTAATGTCTGCTTATTATAGTGATAGTTCAGAAGTGTTGAAAATCAAAATTTAAGGGAATATGATAAAATTGAAATCTGATGCTTAATCATCGATCTTATTTTCCTGACCCTCCAATTTAATCAAATCATTCAGATACTTTGAAAACTCTCCTTATGGTGTAATGATTGTATCGAAATATCTAATATACTTGATACTATTAATTAGTGGAACTTCATTTGGCAAAACTAAATATTTTATTAATGCTTACTTTCTATATTAATTGGAAATAATCTTTATAAGAAGAAAAACATATCAAAAATTGGAGAGTCATCAGTCTGAATAATCTATGCAATTTATGATTTTTCCTTTTCATTTTTAATTACTACTTTCGTTAAATAATCGATTATTGAAAATAAAAAATCATTAACCTTGTTATCATTCTAATTTTAAATCTTGATCAAATCCTATAATTAAGTGGCTGTTGAAGATTAAATCTAGTCATTTTCTTTTCTGATGTAATTTATAAATTGAGATATCAATACACATACCTTTTCATTAATCTTTAGAATCTGACTCAAAGGAGTGATTAATTCCAATAAATACATTGTAACATATAGATAGGACTGCACCCCAGTGAATATAGGAATGCTCCTTATTCCTAAGGATTCAAAATTAAAGTTGATAATCTTTGCATTCTTTACTTTCAATTGTTAAATTTCATTTGTATATTATTTAATTTCTGCATTTGCTGAAACCAACTATTCAGCTTAAGACTTCATCTGTTGTTCTAATAGCCTAACTTAATTTTAGAGGAGATGCTGTTTATCAAGTTCTATTTCCTAATTGTAATCGAAATAATTTACGTCATACAATTTATGAATTTAATTCTATAGGACTTAATTGTCTTATTACAATTTAACTATCTCTACTTTAGCCTACTTCAAGTCTTGGCTCTCCTTATAAAAGAGTGTGTTAGTATTGATCTAATTTTTTAGATCCTAGATTTCACTTTTGAGTTTGCTGATTTCTTACTCTAGCATTTTTTTATCTACTTCTAAGAGCTTATTTGAGCTAGCCAGTTATTCTAATTGCTTATATAACTTTTTATTCTCATAAACAACTTCAATAAAATTCTTTTAGGTAACTTCTCTTAGTGTTTATTCTTGCTAATAGTTCTTTAAATGCATTAATTCAAGCTCAAATTACGATTTGAAGGCTGAAAATTCCTAGATTGTCTCAAAATTTAGATCCCATTTTTTGATTAAATTGTGACTCTAATTGGATTAGTTTTGCTCTGTATTTTGATGATGCTGGGTCCAAAAATATACCAATCTTTTTTAAAAGTCTTTCAATTCTTCTGTTTCGTTACCTGAAATGAATCCAGAGTTCAACTCTATTTCTTAGAGCGAGTTTACCTTTTAATTTTTCATCTATATAGTATTTGATTGTTTAGGGAGGTTGTAGGTACAGTGCCATCAATGACATGTTTTAGAGTATTTTTTGGTATTTGTTCATATGGAAATTATTTGTATATATATATATGTAAAATGTTTATGCTGATAATTTATTAGATTCAAATGAATAAAATCAATAATATAATATTAAATGTCAGAGAAATTGCCTTAGATTCATAAGGTGAATAAAAGTGACATACAAAGTCCATTTCGTTATCCGTCTGACGAAGAAGTGTTTTTGTTTAGAGAATAGGATCGCAAAAAGTAGGAAGCTTAAAACCATGGGGAAATGCATATATGGGATAAGAAAACTGCTACGAATAGAACTTAGTTAAAGCATTTCAAAGTATAGATGTTACATTACTTTTAGTCATATGAAACTTAAATTGATGACAAATTTAAATCGAAAACTGCTTATAATGATAAAGATAAGAAAGTAATAAATGAGGCATTGTAAATCATCTAAGAAAGAAAGAAACAAAGAGCCAAGGGAGTGTCGAAGGAACCCATTGTGACACTCTTGGAATAGAAGAAGGAAATGTTTTTAGTATCAAAGGCTCACGGAATAATTGAAGAGGAGATCGGCAAGTTAAAGTTGATGTCGAAGGAGAAGAAGGAGGCGTTGGAATAGAGTTTGAAAATGTTGGAAACTGATAATGAGAATTTCTAAAAGTACTTGGATACAAATAAATAACAAAAATTAGATGCAGAATAGAAAGCAGATTAGGAGGTGAAGGAGAAGAAGGCAAAGGAATCTGAGATCAAATCTATTAATATTAAGATAACAAGTTTAAGAGCAGAGAAAACGAGGAATGAGGAAGCTGTTAATAATTATATGGATCATAAGAAATTTTTGGATAAGTTAGCTCCAAAAGAGTGGCATGATGCAAAGGAGAAGAAACGTTAACAATTAGTGAATAGATTGAAGGAGGAATTAATTAAAATCAAGGGACTAACAGATAAACAATTTTAATAGATGGTAGATAACAAAAAGCTGTAATAAAATACAAATTGATATTTATTAGAGATGAATTGGAGGAATTCGAAGATGAATATGAAATGTATTTTAAATAACCATCATAATTGGTGGAGATATTTAATGACTTGGAAGAAAGGAACTTATTTTTAATTTAAACTACTCAAGATGCTGAGTAAAACTTAGAAGAATTGAAAACTAAATTTAATAAAATAAAAAAGTCCCTTGATGACAAAGTATTTACATTACAATAGAACAAGGAGCAATTGAAAAAGAATTACGAAGTAAATGCTATAATCTATATATATAGAATGTGTGTTAACAAATTAAGACATTGTAATTAAAAGGAACAGAGAAGAATGCTAAAAAAGATCATAAAGAACTCAGAAAATAAATAATTGAAGTTTGCGAAAACTTTCCTAATGAAATATAGGGAGTTCATGATTTATAAAACAAAGAGACTTTGGATATCTTGGTTCAGATTGAATTGCATTTGGAGAGACAATTGAAGCAGATTCGTTCCTTTAGACCAGATAGAGTTGAAAACTTTGTAAGAATTTGTATAATAAATGTAGAGATAAGAATGTGAAAGAGATTGGAAGGTTAAATAGAGGGATTCAAATAACTTAAAGTTAAAGCAGGAGGAGGAGAGGAGAATCAAAGCGAATCAAGAAAAGATTATGTAACCCAGTAAGAAGAAAACTGGAAGACAGCCTATGTTTAGATCTAAACCATTTGATAGAGTTATAGTCTAGTAGGAGGAGAGTGTCAATAATGAGGAATTGGAAGATTAAAAATACTTCATGGAATGATGATTCCAATATTCAAACATTTGATTATCTATAAAATTTAGTCTCTAAGACTTTCACTCCACACATCTTGCAAATGCCATCCTTGTAAGCACATTCTTGACAGAATTTCTCATTTTTTTGAACCTATCTTTTTTTACATTTCTAACATTTATTCTATCCCATCGGATCAAACTTGTTCTTATTGAATGATGGAAGTATCATTCCAGGCTTTTTGTTTTTATTGTCTTTGTCCCAAACATCTGGAGTGGCCAATTTTGTCAGTTTCTCTTGACATTTATCGCATACCATTTTAATTAATTTAAATATTGCTACCAATATGATAATAATTAATATACAACTAATAATTTTGTTAAAAAGCAAAAATAAATAAAAATAAATATTGTCTTCTTCAACACTTTATTTGAAAAACTCGCTCTTATATTAATATCCCCTTATATAAATATAAGTCATTTTAAACAATATCAAATAATTTTAATAAATAATGATCTAGAAGTGTAAGGAGGGCCTGAAATTAATTGATATATTCGGATAAACCATTAACCTTTCTTTTAGATAGGAAGAGTAATATAAAACCAGCATAGGAGGATTTCTATCTGTTTGTATGATAGCTACCATCATCAGCTTCTTTTATTCCAATATCATTAACTTTTTCGCCAAATTAAACGTAACATCTACACAAGAGTTCAGATTTGCAAACAACCCAGATAACTTAATATTGGATAAGTCCCACTTTATGTTTGCTGTTTAGATTGAGCAGGATGACTTCACAACAAATCCTTTCTTCAATATCACAGTTGAATAGCGTCATTACCATCGATATCCCAATGGTACCCAATATCGATACCCAAATATATTAATCGACTTAGTACCATGTACAGTGGAACACTTTTCACATCTCTTCGAGTAGTACAATGTCAATTTTACAGATCAGTTTGAGAAGTAAAATTTAGGAAATTTCCTCTGTCCAAATCAAAACTTTATACATAGTCAGAATATGACCGTGGGAGGGGTTTGGGCAAGTACAGATTATTACTTCTTGAAGTTCTCTGTGACCAATTGTGTAAATTCATCAAATAGTAATCTAACTTGGAACCCCACGTGTAAATCCGCAGATGAAATTAAGAACACCTTAAATTCTTAAGGTAGTTTTCGATTTCAGGTTTTTACAACTAACTTTGTAATTATTGATATATATTCAATATTAGTTAATCAATCCCAATATACCAAAAGATTATGTTTAACCATTTTTAGCAACCGATTAATTTTACACCTTCGTACCAGATAAAATGTTTGTTTAATCAGATATTTTTTTTCGAACTAAAAAGGTGACCACTGATCAAGGAATTCTTATGTATCCTGATAAACAAAATGAAACATTCGCCTTCAGAGACTATGGCGATCAAAGAGAACAATTTGAAATATCTAGAATCACTCCAAACTATTATGCCGCCTTCTACTTTTAGAGAAGTCCCTATTCCTATCAAATCAACAGGAAATTCTTACGATTGGATGAATTGCTAAGTTACTTGGGTGGTTTCACATAGTTTATGATTGTAGTCATAGGAGTTCTAGTACGATTTTACAATCGATAACATTTGATCGTTTCAATAGCTAACGATCTCTATGAATTTGACATGAGTTTAAATAGAGCAAATACATAAATGAATTTTAATAGTCTTTTAGAAAAAAAAGAGAGAGGCAGGGAGATGGGAAAGTAAAAGACTGAGGGAAATCAATAAACATTGCCAAAAATATAAACTATGACTACTTTTTAAAACAAACCTGAAATGTTACAACGTACAACTCCTGCAAGAAAAGATTCACAAAGGGATGAAAAAAAATTATCTGTTGAATTTGTAGAACCGAAAATTTAAAGACTATAAGGGAGGTTAAGTATTCTCTAAGCAAAGGCGTTTGAATATTATGATGATTTTAGGGAATTTCTAAAAAATAAGTATGTAATTGGTTTAGGATTTCGAGTGATATTGAGTTCTATATTCCCTATAGAATCTATTAAAAATGATGATTGTAAAGTACTTCAAAGAGCCATGTAATATTAAATATTATCTTAGTGATTAAGTGAATAAAGAGTTGGATATTGAGTATATTATCAAACAACTCCATGAACTTACAAAACTAAAAAAGGTTTTGTTTAGTGATGAATAAATTACTTTATTTAATTTCAGTAGAAAACCAAAAATAGCATTATTCTAAGAAGGAAAGAAACGAAGATCTACTAAGTAAGTTAGTAAATTTAATTGAAGGTTCATTGTTAATGGTGGTATAACAGTTGAAGAGCAAGGATTGCTTAGATAATTTAATGATTTAGTTACTTCATATTAGAAAATCATGGGTTTGGACTTTGAAAATTAAACTCAAGAATAGATAAGATTTAATTAAAGATTGATTATGTTGTTAGGAACCGAATTGATGAATGTATTGGATAGGGAAATTTCGCAATAATAACATTTGGATTCAGAAAACAATGAGATTATTAAAGTTGAAGAAAATTTTATCAATGGTGGTGAAATTGATAGCAAGAATGATTCATGTAGATGAAATTTAGATATTTAGTAAATAATTTTTTCATTTTTATAAGAGATAATAATAATTCTAACAATCACTTAAAAACTCTAATATATAATTTTAATATTTAATTATGTTTGAGGAAATTTAGCTGAGTGGAATCGTAGCCAAAGAAATAGCATCTTATTCCAATATTACATTAATGGGAAACTAGGTGGAAGAACATTTTAAATGCACAGATTAATCGATTACTTAATTAATAGAAGAGATCATTTATGTTGTGTATGTTTTGTGTTTTATTTATGAATAGAAAAGTTACGAATGGTCAGACTGTATCAATTCATAAATACGATATGAAGGATTTATTTAACAAATCAATATAGTTGAGTAGCGAGTACTTTAACTTTTCTCATTTAATTACTCAGAATGGTTGCGTTATCATGAGAGACCAGGATACACCTTATTTATTTGTAGTAACACAAACAGGATAAATCTTTTATAAGAATTTAATATCATATGAATCTAGAATAATTAACAATTTAATGGTGGACAATCAAAGACTTATGTGTCTGGCTAAACCACTCATATACAATGATTAGATCAAATTTTATGTATTGAGCGATACTGACTTTTTAAATTTTATAACTATTGATGTAAGAAGAGGTGAAATTGCGAAAAGCAAATATCAACTGAGTTTTGGTACCAAATTTTTGAGTAAATTTTTTGGCAATTAAACTAATGATTGGAGGACTGCTTTTTAAATTAGTGAAAAACAAATAATCCACTACTCCTTTTAAACATAGTTCCATTTACTTGAGATCAAAGGATCTGATATTACTTGTAGACATTTATAAATTGAGGATAATATCAAAGTCAAATAAATAGAGGTGTTTTAGCATAAACCCAATGGTTAAATTACTTTATGTTATCTTCAATAGAATCAGTTGAAAATATATTCGCTTATTGGAAATTCTTTAAGAATAAATTGTGTAATCTCCTAATTAGATTTCTTATTAAACATCACCTTTAATATTAGCAGCATCTAAAACTCAATAATTTTGATTTAAGGATGTGAAATCTATTAATTAAATAATGAAAATCCTTCTTTTCAATTAGTAAATTAAAATAAATACCCTGTTTTAGGTTATATAAACCAAGATGATTAATTGTTATTGTTTTATAAAAATCATATTTCATTTATTAATTAAGTTTAAAATCAGTTTAGTAGAATATAATATTAGTTAAGGCAAGAGATTTATAAGTTTAAAAAGGATGTTGAGAATTAAAAAAAATTAAAAGATGAGGAGCTGATCCTGCAATCGATCTCCATTGAAGTCTATATAAAAAATAAGTTTGATCAATTCTAGACTCTGTTGAAATTTATGCATCGCAGTTTAGACTAGAAGAAGGTAATCCAATTGATGAAACGACAATATAACAATTTTTGCATTGAAGACTTTATGAACCAACTATTAGAGGAACTGGAAGATCTTTATTATTATTTGAAGCCAACCATCTAAATGTTAGAATTGAATTTCCATAAGATCTACAACCAATTGAGAGAATAACTCAGCCGTTTAGATCATTTCTTAATGCATCTCTATTCTAATTAATTCTACCCCTAATAAGATTCCATATAGGATCAATCAGTTAAGTTATCGTTGCTCAAATCCTTAGTAATAAATCAACTGAAAGACTATTACTATATGTATTTGGAAATATATTTAGGTCTAGCTGTCATAGTCAACATTTCCAACATATAATTTGATCTTAAACATAACCACTAATTGTTTTATGCCACAATGCTTCTATTGACTTTATTTTAGGAGAAGTCTTACATATCCTTTTAAAATCTAGTAAAAAAACAATTCCAAATTGTTTCTAGGGATATTTCATTACAAAATTTAACTGCTATTCAGAATGTTGTAGACAGATTTATTAATATAATCTCTGGCGAAGTATTCAGAGACTTCGCTATTCCAGAAGAATTATTATGTGAGAATTTCCAATAGAATTAACAAAAGTCACTCATAAATAAAAATAATGCGAAGGAACTAATTAGGTATTACTAAGTGAGTTAATGCATTGGATATTAACAACATAATATCCTTGAATTTATCAATGAAAATGAAGATCAATACTAAGAATTAAAATTGAGAATTTCATTCTATCTGTAATAATAACATAGTCTTTAAAACCAAGATGAATAGGAAATTATATTGAAAAATTTGATAGGTTACGCTATTAAATAGGAAGAACATCAGCTTTTATTTTAAATTCTTAATTTGAACGAAACAAAAAAAATAACTAATCAATTGGTTGAGATGATTGATAGTTATCATTTATATAAATGTCAATTAAGTAAGTTATTTTTACATATGTTAGCTGCAAGAACGACTGATCAAATTGCAGAATTGTTACTTCAATATTCACGTGAGAAATGTCGTAATTTGATGAATGCTGAAAAAGTTCTTCAGTACTTTAGTTTTCTAATGAGACAGGAATCCAAAGACAAAGTATTGATTCATATCTTATGACAAGGCTTTAACACTATTATTTGAGTATATTGTAAATTTGGAGATGTTGCTATTCACCTTAAAAAGTAGGAAAGTATCTCGAGCAGTTAAGATTTAATTAGATTATATAAAATTATTGTTGAGTTAAATGCAATTATCAAGTAAACAAGACTAATATCCTTACTGTCAATAATTAGTTTGTAAACTTAGCAATTAGAATTATGAGTAGTTTAAGAATCCAAGCATTATAAATGATAAATCTGAAATCGATTAAAAATCTCCTGAAAATATTAAGATTGTTAATTTAGAGCAGATAATAAAATTTAAGAAATACAAAGAAATTTAAAATTTTGTTTGTCTTAATTACATTCCTTATGCATAACTCAATAAAGTAGTAGAATAACTGATACTCAATGGACATCTGAAATGAATTGATTTAAGTATTTGAATTGAGTTTGGATCCAAATATTGAGAAGAATATAGTGTTTTTCTATTTTTAAAATAAGGAATAAAGACAAGAATTGCTCAATAATGTGAAACCATTTTTAACTCAAAAGGAACTTTCAATAATTTTAGCCTAGATTTGTGTAGTTTGTAATTTGGATTTAGAATAATGCAGTGAATTGTTTGAGATGACTCAGAGTTAAGAATACTTCTTATAATATATGATTAATGTTAATAAGGAATAAATAGCATAGATAATTATCTGATTTTTATATTCATTTTATACATTTTTAGAAAAATATATTAATTAACTATCTGACTTATTTATCTACCTTATTGAGTTTACAACTTCATTAAAACTGGTGTTATGTAAATAAGAATAAAAGAGATGGAAGAGAAATATCTATGAGAGTGAATGCTTTAGTAGACAAAGATTTAAGTATTTCAAGCCTAAAAGGAATCGAGTATAAAAGTATTAAAATTTCGGAATAAATTAAAGATATTTTAAACTTACAATATTCATATCAAAGATAGATTTTATATCTAAAGTATAATTTAATGCCATTGAATAAATTAGAAATTGATATACATTGGTATAATAAATGTAATTTTAGAATTTATGTTTCTAACACCAAATTGCTTTATAGATTGTAACCAGCAAATAGTTTTGACCAAATAAAATGAAATCCTAAGAGAAAAGATAACAAAAGGATAAAAATTAAAATTGAAATCAATATAATCAGCGATTGATACATCCTAAAGCAATTAAAGCTTTGGTTAAAAATCCTTTGTTTTAGTAATTATTTTACTGGGGCTATTGGTCTTACTGGCGTTGAAACTAAAATTATAAGCTTCTAAATTTCATTGCTTCCCATTCTTGAATTGATGATTTTTAACCAAATTAAAGATTGTTAATTTTGGATTGGCTTTCAAGTACTTCAGATGTGTAATGAGTTGATTTTATGGAAATCATTGAAGAACTTCGTATTGATCCTTTTCTATCTTATCCTTAGGACAGCATCCATTAATGATTTTAGATTTTATCAATTGAAGGTCTACAATGAATAGTATGTTAGAGTAGACTGTTGATTAAAGACTTGCATTCATCAGAAACATCGAACTCAAATTCCACTTGTCTTCTAGATAATATTTTTTAACTCTTTTCCATAAATGTCATGCCTTAAAAAGGTGGTTTCCCTTAGACCATTTCATACAACAGCACCCCTAGACTCCATATATCTGTTTTATAATCAGTTGTCTAAGATTATATCATCTCAGGTGACATATATTCTGTTGTACCACAAAAGGCTTTATGATAATTCGGCATTTAGGTAGCCCAACCAAAATCTCCTATTTTTAAGTCTCCTGATTTGGTTATTAGTAAGTTTTCAGGCTATCTTTATATCCTAATTATACTTTTAAATCTCTGTGTACAATCTACATCTTATGCATATATTCTAAGCCGGATAATATTTGAGAAAAGAATACATATGCTTCTTTCTCCTATAGTCGTTATTTTCGTTTAATCAATGAAAAAAGTGAACCCAGTTCTGCGTACTCTAAGATTAAAAATACACTAATTGTTTATAGTTACATAACAGTACTTAGACGAGTCTTCATAACAGAAGCATAATTTAAGAATGTTTGGATGACTTAGTTTCTTTTATATTAATATTTCTCTTTTCAAGTTGTCTATTGATTCCTGGGCTTTTAATTTTGATTTACTAATCTGTCATATATCATCAAGTGTTACCGTCTTTCGAGCGTAATAAATTCGGCTGTTAACATCTCTCACTAGTTGAACAGAGCCGTAAGCACCAGAACCTAGACATTATTCAATAATCTGAAAGTCCCTTTGAAAAAAATTAAATTATATGCTACTTTTCACTTTTCTGATTGTTATTGCCTCTTTAACAAGCCTAAGGGTCAATTTAAAACAACCTTTTGAATAACTTAAAAATATACAAATCATTCTTTTACTAATTAGGAACATGATCATTTATTTATTGAAACACCTTTAAATTCATATCTTCTTTTTTCTTAATAACGAATTTGTTCATTATAAATTCTTTGAGATTTTTTCAAGATATTAATTATTTTGATCAATTTGTTCTCTAATTATACTATTTGTTAAATAACCTCATTAAATAGATACAATGGCTTAAGCGCATTTTATAATCTATTCAATATTTACTATTCTAACTCTTTAATTAAATTATAAATAATTGAACAAATATATTACAATTTATAAAATTTATAATTTTAATACATGATTCCTATTTTTTAATTTGATCATTTAATTATATTGCTATTAAGCTCTTGGGAGGAAGTCAGCTTTTCTAATTGCTCAATTTACCCTTATTAAAATAATGGTAATTATGATATTTATTATTGATCCAAAAAATATGGAGTAATTAGAATAAAAGTATAAAATAAATGATTTTTCAATATAGTTACGTTGGATGTTAAAAACTTATAATGTTATATTGGTGCTCCTTTTGATAGATTTAGACATCTTTTATTTTGATGTAATATGATGATTATGACGAATTATTAAATATAAAAAATTAGAAGAAAATTCTTTCATTACATTATTTTCAATATCGATATAGAAAAAGTCTTCAAAATAATCTTTATTTAAAATATGGAATAAAAATCTAGCTTTATGAATGGTAAAGATGTTTAATAAAACTAAAGTTGAGGAAAGAGTTTATTTCCCTGAAGAGGAACTTAAAATATTGAAGTATTGGAATGAAATTAATGCCTTTCAGAAATAATAAGATTTGACTAAAGACTGCCCTCGGTTTACAATTTACGATGGACCACCATTTGCAATTGGATTACCGCATTATGGTCATATGTGTGCAGGTACAATCAAAGTACTGAAATGTATCATTTGTAATTAGGATGTTGTGTGTAGATATTTTGCGATGAACGGTAAATATGTTGAGAGAAGGTTTGGATGGGATTGTCATGGTTTGCCAGTGGAGCACGAAATAGACAAGGCTCTTAATATTCAAAAAAGAGAAGATATCTTGAATGTAAATAATTGAGCAAATGTAAAACTTAGATGGGAATTGATAAGTATAACCATCAGTGCAGATCAATTGTATACAAGTATGCCTCAGAATGGAGGAGAATTGTAGAGAGATCAGGCAGATGGGTTGATTTTGATAATGAATATAAAACTATGGACACTTCATATATGGAGAGTGTGTGGTGGGTGTTTAAATAATTATGGGAAAAAGGGTTAGTATATCGAGGATGCAAGGTTATGCCATATTCTAATGGATGTTCAACAGTTCTAAGCGATTTTGAAACTTAATAAAATTATAAAGAAGTTTGGGATCCAGCAATTGTGATTAAATTTCCCTTAGTAAATGAAGTAAATACAAGTTTAGTTGCTTGGACAACAACTCCGTGGACTCTACCGTCCAACTTAGCTTTGGCGGTTAATCCAAAACTTGTTTACATAAAAGTGTTAGATAAAGCTACAAATACTCATTATATCCTAGCAGAATCTAGAATTGTAGAGCTCTATTCAAAGGCTACTCAATATGAAATTGTAAATAAAGTATTGGGTAGTTAATTGGAGGGGATGGAGTATGTGCCTCTGTTTAATTACTTTTTGGATAGAAGGTAGCAGGGATGTTTTAAAGTATTATTAGCAAACTATGTAACCGATCAGGATGGAACAGGAGTAGTACATATTGCACCTGGATTTGGAGAAGAGGATTATAAGTTGAGTTTGATAGCTGGAATCATTACTCACAAAGATCCATTAGTACCTATTGATTCTGATGGCAGGTTTTTGGAATGTGTAACAGATTTTTCAGGAATGGATATCAAAAGTGCAGATAAGGAAATTAGAAGGACTCTGAAACTAAAATAGAGACTAATTAAGGATGGACAAGTTTACCATAGTTATCCTTTTTGTTGGAGATCATAAACCCCATTAATTTATAAAGCAATCAGTTGTTGGTTTATTAATGTCACAGCCATTAAAGATGAGTTGATTGATAATAATAAAAAAGCTAGATGGGTACCTAATGCAATCAAAGAAGGAAGATTCAATGATTAGATAGAATAGGCTCAAGATTGGTGTTTTAGTAGAAATAGATTTTGGGGTAATCCCATCCCCATCTGGGCAAGTGAGGATTTAGAAGAACTTGTCTGTGTTGGATCAATTGAAGAGTTGAAATAATTGTCAGGTGTCACAGATATTTCAGATCTTCATCGAGAATTCATAGATTAGATAACTATCCCAAGTAAATATGGAAAAGGAGTTTTAAAAAGAATTGATGAAGTTTTTGACTGCTGGTTTGAAAGTGGGTCTATGCCATTTGCTCAATAACATTATCCTTTTGAGGGAAAAGATTTATTTGAAAGCATCTTTCCTGCTGATTTCATTGCTGAAGGGTTAGATCAAACCAGAGGTTGGTTCTATACGTTGAATGTTATCTCTACGGCTTTACGCAATGATACTCCTTATAAAAATGTCATTGTCAATGGAATTGTCTTAAATGAAAAAACGATAAAAATGGCTTAGTCTAAGAAAAACTATCAAAATCCAGAGGATGAAATTATTAATGTATTCGGAGCAGATGCCATGAGGCTTTATTTAATCAATAGTGGATTAGTGAAAGCCTAAACTCTTAACTTTAATAAAGAAGGTGTTTAAAATGTTATTAAAAAAGTATTCCTACCATGGTATAATGTTTACAGATTGCTTATCTAAAATTTGCAGAGGTATGAAACCCACTTTGGTATATTCAAATTTGACGACTCAGTTATTAATAAAGTCCAAAATACAATGGATAAATGGATCGTCTCATGTAGTCAAGAACTATTAGAGTTTGTCAGAACTGAGATGGAATCATATAGATTATACACTATTGTACCAAGGCTTATTGAATATCTTAATTCATTAACTAATTGGTATGTTAGATTGAATAGGAATAGAATTAAAGGAGATCAAGGTAATCATGAATGGCACCTTAGCTTAAATGTCTTATTTGATGTTTTACATAAAATTAATCTTCTTATGTCTCCATATGTGCCTTTCATTACAGAGACTTTCTATCAAAATATGAGAAAATGCATCCCAGAAGGGAAAAATTAAATGGATTCTATTCATTTCCTGTAAATTCCTGAAGTTAGGAGAGAATTAATTGATCCTTAAATTGCATAAAAGGTTAAGATGATGTAAATGGTTATTGAAAATGCAAGAAAATTAAGAGAAACTCATAAAATTAGTCTGAAATAACCTGTTAACAGTTTAACTATTTTATCAACTGATGAAAAACTACTTCAAAGCATCCAATTACTTTCTATGTATATTGAAGAAGAAATTAATACCCCACAAATTTTTGTTGAAAAAGACTTTGCCCAATACATCCAATAAAAAGCTGAGCCTGAGGTTAAGCTTTGTGGGAAAGAACTAAGGGAAAAATTTGGTCCAAATCTTATTTAATAAATTAAAAATTTTTCGTAAGATTAAATTACTTAACTTATAACAGAAGGTAAGATCTTATTAAAAGTACTTGTAAATGCTAAAAAGTAGGCATCTGAAAAATAACTGATTTAGTAAGAAGGAAATTTAGCATATGAGACAGAATGTGAATTATTACTGAAACATGTCAAAATTACAGAGCAATTTATCTCATAAAAACATCAAAATCTATTGTTTACAAAAGAAGATGGATACTCATTAATCATCGATCCCTTTTAAACTCAATAACTTAAGAATTTAGGATTAGCAAGGGAATTTACTAATAGAATTCAAAAACTTAGAAAGAAGGCTCAATTAAAATAAGAAGATTAAGTTATTATTTTTTATTCTTTTGATAAAGATTCTCAATTATTTAAGGCTTTAGAAAATCAAAAAGAATGGATTTAAAATTAAATTAAAAAACCTTTATATCCATTATAATAACGATCTTTTCTAAACTTAGAAATTGCTTCTGAAAAAACAGAAATTGAGGATTAAATGGTGACTCTTATTATTACTACTTATTCACCTTTATTTAATAAACAAAAACTATAAGTATACATTTATTTTATGATTAGGAATAATTCAATGAACAATAGATAGATACACTTATGAGAGTGCTATCAGAACTAGAAAATCTACAACCAACAGTTGAAATTACTCTTGATGGCTAAAATATTTCTCTTGGCCAAAATCATTATACAATTCCATGAAAATTATAGAATTATTATAATAATTAAATTCAAATTTATTATTTAATGAAAATTTTTTTTTTAATTTTGTTCGTCAAAATCTGCAAATCAGGCATTAGCTCTAATACCAATGTTATAGTGTCCAGGTCTTATTAGTAACATTATTTTATTTTCATTAATTTCTTCATATTATTATACTTTGAACTCTTCATTCTAAAAAAATATCAGTGTAATATTTCTAATGTTAAATTAAATAAAATTACAATTTTAAATAGATAGCTAATAGCTTAATAACAATTTCGTTACTATTACATTCCGTTTCCCAAATCAATAAATTGTTTTACTCATCACCAATTAACATTTTTGCTTCATCATCTTATTCAACAAGATAATAACTAAGATTTCTAAAGAATATAGTTGATAATGTATATAAAAAGGCATCTCCATCTGGTTAAAGTTCATATTGTGAAAAAGAGCTTAATAACTTTTGTTTTCTTTCTTCAATGTCTTTAATGATTCTCAATTATTAGATTTAATATATGAATTCATCCAAAAATTATTTTTCTAATTCCAAATCATCTATTTTTAAACCTCTAACTTGCATTTTACATCTCAAATTAATATGTTTTATGTTTTGAATAAATTAATTGAATTATTCATCTTAATATGTAATTAATAGATGGTTTAAGAATTAATATCCAAAAGCAGTATAAAAGCAGTTACCATCTCCTCTAACTTAAATATAACCTTGACAAATTGTATACAACTATTTTTTATCTGCTAACTTTTTGATACTATACTCTTTAATTAAATCATTTTTATCATGAGAATCTTAGATATATCTTTAATATTATTCTTAAACTGCCCTCAAATTAGAAGAATTTTTATATATTTCCAATAAAATTTAGTAAGTTATTTATTATCGATGTTGATTTCTTTCCAGAAGGTCTTAAATTTTATTCTGTTTTTAAAGATCTTCTTAGCTTTTATTCCAATATATTTATTCTTCTTGATCTTACTCATTAGATTCTGAATGTAATTTTAATTATGGTTATTATTAAGTTGATAAATCTTGCTATTTTTATTTTGTTTCTTATAATTATTCTACTTTTCCTTTTTTTTCTTCATATAATTACTATTCTTATTACTATTGCTATTATTATTGTTCTTTTTATTGCTATTATTAAGTTGATTAACCTTACTATTCTTATATTTTTTATTATTATTATTCTACTTATCCTTATTATTATTATTGTTATTCATGTTGTTATTATTATTATTCAGTTGATTTAGTTTGCTATTTTTATTATTATTCCTGTTGCTATTGCTATTATTATTGCTGCTATTATTATTTTTAGTTTGTGAGTTTGTTTTATGGCAATTACGAAGTTGATTAAACTTTGAATAAATTTTATTCATGTTATGATAGATTTTAATCATAATTTTAATTTTATTGTTATTAGTGTTGCTATTATTATTATTATTCAGTTGATATATTTTACTATTCTTATTTTTAATATGGTTATTATTAAGTATTTTTATTTTGCTATCCTTATTTTTAATTTTATTATTAATATTAACATTCAACTTTTCCATTTTCTTTTACTAAGTAATAATTTTTAGTTGATTAACCTTTCTTTTCTTATACATTTTAATATTATTATTTTTATTAGGGCTGCTATTATTATTCTTATGTTTTTTAAGTTGCTTAATCTTGCTATTCATTATTTTATAATTATTATTCTTCTGTTTTTACATGCTTTTATTATTATTGTGTTTAATTTTATTATTATGGATATTACTAGGTTGGTGAACCTTATGGTTTTTATATATTTTAAAATTCATTTTATTGACTATTTTATCCCTAACTTTATTATTCCTATTTCTATTTCTATTTTTATTTCTAATAATCTTAACATCTTTTATTTTCATGTTATTACTATTGAGAATTCATGAAAATTGTGTTCTAATTCACAGATGCCTAAGAATGGGGTAAATTTTGTTATGAATTATCATTTAGTTTAGTTAATTACTAAACATAATTATTTTAGACTTTAAATGGTTAAGACACATATATGATATTATTATAAACTTGTATTGGTATTCCTCTAGAGTGGTGTGACTGAGTTATTAGATAGGCCGCTTAATAGAATTGCCCACTGGACAGGATTCGCGTTCGTGAGCCAATGCTGC